AATTCAATATCGTATTGTCTGAGGAAAATATAGAGACAAAATTTTAAAATATACTGTACATTTAACTAAAATAAGTAAACATTATAATATCTAATTGTCGCATACAAAAAGTATACAATTTTATTTTAATTCTGCATTCATTGATAAATAATTGAAGTGAATCGTTTAAAAAGAGCTAATAATATTATGCAAGTAATATAATTTTATCCATCAAATTTTAGAATATTTTTTAAGATTTTTTTTTATATTAAAATAAAATAATTTTCTAAAAATTCAGAAATGTTTATACAAATATTTTAAAGAAATATCCGTTATTTACATTATTTACATCCTATTTATATAAAAAGGTATTTCAATCATATCGTTGATACATTTTTATGTAAATATGATGTAAGTATATAATATCTCTTTAAATAATTATATATGTAGATATTTAAGGTTTTTTAAAAAAATATTTATCTTTCTGTTAATAAAAGTAATATAGGATAAAATACAAGAACTAAATATTACATGAAAATATAAAAAAATATGACTTTGTTTCTACGCATTAAAATGACATTTAAGGCGCCTACACCTTTATTTATCGACTCTAATCCAAACAAAATATTTTATTATTTCATTATTTTTTTAAATGATGAACTTTTCTCACAATAGTCACAATATGTCGAAATTCATTTTCCTATACTTGCCATCTTACAACACACAGTGCTGTGCGTAGTTACTCAAATAATCATTTTCTATAGATAATTTTATTGTCAAGTTGTACAGATATTATAGTGTTACGAAAGACGTACAGCTAAAAATATGTACGTGGAATTTTTTTGAAGACGTACAACTAAAAATATGTACGCGGAATTTTTTTAATTTACGAAGCTGTTTAAGAAAATACTTTAACTAACATTTCAGTATGTCAAATGTGATATCAAAAGAGTAATTAAAATAAAGAGTTTCCAAAAGTATACACGATTATCGCGAGGTTTAATTATTCCTATATTGTCTTTTATTCTAAAATTCTAAATTATCATGATTTTGATATACAAGTCTAACACATAAGATATAGATTGTCATTCAAAACTTGTCTGAACTCATAAAATATTTTTTTGACTTATATTTTTTTTCGATTTATACTTTATCAACCCTTTATTCGCACATTTATTTTCAATTATATGTATATCTCTTTATATTTATACACTGAAAAAAAGTTGTTAACTTGACTCGTTCAATTAAATATTATTTTGTTAATTGAACATATAGAAATATTTAAATTAAATAAAACATGTTAAATTTAACTAAACGTGTATTTGATTTAAATACTCTTATATATGTTCAATTAACAAAATAGTAAGAATAATTCTAGCAAGCAACTAAAGAAAACAAAATAATCGATCAAGGTGGTATGACACGAATAAAGAAATAAAAAATTCTATCAAAAATTTAAATTTTATGATTAAAATATACATATACAATTTTATTAGATTTTAATAAAAATATTAAACGATTTGAAAATTATATCGTGTTATTTTACACTTTTCTCTATAGATTTTAATATATTCTCAATATTAAAAAATATATATATAAAATAAATAATGCATAAATATATACATACATATGTATATGTTACATCTATACATCTATACATGTGAAAAAAAATGTTTATGCTACGAAATTGTGTCAGTCGCTATTTTAACTAAACGATTCATAGTACAATATAAACGTATATGAGTGCTCTAGTTTAACATCAAAAGACAATAACTCTAAAATAACCTAGCTTCCTTCTCACACATCAGAGATAAGTGCAGTATAAAATTTATATTTACGTATTGTAATCAGAGGAATGCGCTCATGTTACATATTACATTTTTGAGAATATTATTCACCCATCGATTAATAAGACACCTACACCTGTCGCGCAATAGCTGACGCGACAGAATGGAATCCATTCTGGACTAGCCGCAAAGTGGTCGTTTCGTTACGAGAGAGAAGGAGACCGGCACGGATATCTCTATTTAGATCTCTCCCCGATGGGCAGACGTCCAGGACGCGGTTGCCTACTTTGAGAGACGTCGATGAGAGGTAGTCAGGGTCAGGGTATCCCCTGGTAGCCTAATTGCAGTCGGTTAGGTCAGTCTGAGCTATTTAACGCCTTCGAGATCGAGATACACGTCCTTGCGGATGAGAAATATCAGAAGAATATACTGAGTGTTTTTGCTACTTTCTTTTCTTCAGATTAGAAAAACGCCGCGAAAAAATTTTAAGTTCGAATTTAATAGTTTGTACACTGAAAAAAATTGTTAACTTGACTAAATCGTCCAACTAAATATTATTTTGTTAATTGATCATGTAAAAATATAACATTAAATCTAAGAAAACGTAGTATATTTGACTTAAATACTAATATATGTTCAATTAATAAAATAATAATTTAATTGAACGGTTTAGTCAAGTTAACAATTTTTTTCGGAATATAAACGATAGTCCATTGTGAACATAACAATATTATTTTTTATTAGAAATAGATATGTTAATATGCTGTTGCAGTATAAATTATTGCGCACTGAACGAAGTTTGATATAATAAAATATGAAAAGGTGCATGGAAAATAAAAAAAAGAGAGAATCCAGTTTGCATATTTATATCGTGATAAAATACGATATAGACATAAAACCAGGATGTGATCAAAATTCTAAAATCATAATAATAATTCATGGTGATACAGAGAGTCCTGAGCACTTAAATTTTTTTTTGGTTCAGAATTGTGTCTATAGATTTGAATGTTTCCCTCTGATCTGATCTTCGTCAATGCCAATAATAAATCACGGATATTCTCCAAAAATCCAATTCGTTTCGCAATTTAACGGAAGGATCATCCTGCTTACGAAAGCCTATTATACGACCTCGTTCAAACTCCGTTAGTTAATCGAATAATATACGATTATATCTGTCAGCTCTATGACGAACATTTTGTAAAGTAACACGTAATAGCTTAATCGACTGTTCTTGTAACGGTACAAGTACCGATATGTTATTAATGTATAATCTTTACTCTACTCTGTATCACCATAAGCTGTTTTCATCTTGAAGTTTTAATCATAACATTGTCTGCCTTCTCTCACGGCTAATATAATTATATATATATAATTATATATATATATATATATATATATATATATATATATATATATACATTAGAATTTTTTACAATATTATTATGAAATGTGTAAAAAATTTATTATCGTTCATTCATAAATTCATTATTGAAATATTTTCATTAGCTATTTGGATATGAATGTTCTGAACATTGAAAATTAGCCGCAAATGTTAAAATTGCGTGCAAAAGATAGTCTCTGATGATGAGAGACAAAATTTTAAACCAATTAAATTCATATAATTCGTAAATAAATTCTATTGCATCAGATCTTTGAATTAGTGTATGCATTTCAAAAAGCATTATAGTTTATAATACAAAAATATATTCAAATATTTTTAATAAAAAAATTAATGGTCTTTTAAAAAAATTAATGAAGTCTCCATATTATGTTATTATTATGTTCACAATAAAATTCAAACTGTTAAATTTATCTCTCTTCTAAAAAATTAAAAAAATTATTTGTAGGACATCTTTCTTTGAACAAAGTATTCGCTAAATTATCTATAATATTTACTATATCTATATAGTATATTATGCGCGTTATTATTCAAAACAAATCTATCATAAATGAGGTAATTTCGAGATATAAAATTTCACATATCAATTTGATTAATGTTTTCTATAAAAACTCATAAAAACCCGAATCAATAAATCACATTATCCTGGAGCTCTTTCAGTGTAAGATGATTGGACTTTAAAGCTACTTAATCAAACGCTAAATCATGTTGATCCCAAATGATTCATATGTCATGGTAATCTTGATTTCCCAGACACAGTTTGCATTAGCAATCTTGCGTTATGAGTTACGGTGAATTGATAAAAAAAGAAGTTTGGATCTACAGGCTACGTTCCTTTTGATATATATCATATATTTTATGCCTTTAATTTGCAATATTTATTACCTTAATTCATTTTTTCTGTTTTCTTTAAATACAATTTTGGATTAATCTGAGCATTCCTGACTCATTACATTTTTAAGGTACAAAAATAAACCGAAAATATGCAATTATTTCGAATATAACTCCACGAATCATAATAAATATGTATACAATGCAGGTCTTAATTAAGGCCACCAGATCTATGTCTTCCTTTATGTGCGCGCAATTTACTCATAACATCTAGAGAAAGATCTCGAAATTTTTCGAAAACTTGGCCTTATCAGCGTTGTAACGCGATAGAAATCACATATCGTTACGTTGACAACCTATTATTCGCGATATCCTGTTATTGCACGGACTTACGAGAAATCATACAAGTTGTTTTGAGACCGCAAAATCTGTCTTCCGCGTACTTGTATGAATCAAGCTATAGTCTCTGTTTTGATTTTGTTCCCGCGCTCGATATCGAAAAGGATCTGGCGCAAATTTGTTCGAACGCGGAGAAAAATAAATAATTCTGATTCGCAAGCTCTTTTCAGAAATAATGTTATTATTATGATAAATTTATCTGCGGTGGAATTGTTATTGCGTCGGTATCTTGAAAAAATCACATGATATTCGATAATTTAACATACACATCTATATTTTATTCCATACGTGAAACAATGGAAAATTAAATTCTACAGATAATGATAAAAAGATAATAAATTTTTAATTCTCGTTCAGCCTTTTTCTTCGATTTAAAAGTTTATAATCTTTCGATGCACATATTTCAAACAATATGCACAATAATATACAAATAATAATTTTAAAAAATTAATTGAATTTATCATTGAGTTTATCATTATTTAATAATTGATGATCATGAAAATGAGCAAAAAAATTATATAATTCATTTTTTGTATCTATATTATATATTTGCAGAATAATCGATTGATCAATCTTGTTTCTGATAAATTTTTCAAAAAACTTACAAGAACCGGAATCATTACGGCGACGAGGTTCCATGTTAATAAACAGCTACGGAAAAAAGCACGCGATGACAGATGACAGGTCGTGACACTAGCAATCAGAGTTAATCAGGGTACGAGTTCTGCGTACATCCATTATCACGTATCAGAAATAGAGAACCCAAAACGCGACGGGGGGTTCAAAATCAAATTCGACGAATTGTGCAAATAAAACACAGATAGTTTGTACGCCACTCGCTGAGTTTCTATCATTGCGAGATAAATATAGAAGTATGGGGAAAAGCACCGGCGCGAATTCTGCCGAAACGCGTACTGACGCTCGCAATTAGTCGCCCGAGGACTTTTAGCACTCAAACTAACGGGGCACTCCCGTTAGAGAGAGCACTCACGTGAGAGAGAACCGCTAATCGGAAGAGCGAAAGAGAAATGCTCCGCGTTGCGCTCGCGAGCGTCGACTGGCGATCTCGAAAGCGCAGGAGAATGAATACCTGACGTGTAGTTTGCGCGCTGAATTCTCGCGTGCGCTCTCTTATCGCGTGTCACGCATGATGACAACGAATCACTGTCACGGCGATTACTGTCTCACGATAACGGCCGACGATAACTGTTTAATCGCTTTACCGCGAGTTACGAGATACGTTGGTACGAGTCCTGGCACATCCAGGTACATGAATATGGAACGTGTCACATGTATGATACGAGAATAGATTAACTGTAGGAAAATTTCGGAATTCTTTTTTAATGTATACGATGAATATCTAAGATGTTTCAAGTTCAAAGCAACGTTTCCTGTATTTTTATTCTTTTAAATATTACGATAAAACGAGAGATTGCACAGAGAACATTTTCTTTTAAAATTTACCCTGAAAATTATAGTAATCATAGGACAATATAATATTGAAAGAATTTTATAAGAGGTTCTCTGTGTGATTAAAATTGACTACAATAAAAATATTAATATCTTATTATGTTCGATTAATTTCATTATGTACATAATAAAATTTACTATGTACATATTAATATTTTTTATTGTGATAAATATTAATCAGAGAAATTTTATAAAATTTTTCTAAGAGAAAATTCTAAGAAAATTCTCTCCTTGTGCAAATTAAGAAATGTTTGGTACATATATTTTTGTGTAAATTTTGTAGAAATTTAATAATCTCAGTTATTCCGCTAAAAAAATGATTATTATTTATTTTCTTCTTTACTAAAAATCTCATAAAAAGTTCATTATTATAGTATCATTAATAATTAATAATAGTTTGATAAAAAATATTACAGTTCCTAAAATGTATCTCATATCAGATTAGAACGAACTACATTGTTATTTCTAAGCATTCAACCGTCTGTCATTTAAATATCAAAGTTCAATCTTTACGTCACCACATCATGGTAATTATATAGAAAAAAAAACGAGTCTCTTGTCTTGGAAAAGAAATCGATAATCATCACGACAAAATATTTGTTCTAACAATAAGATACATATATATACACACGTATAAATACATAATGTATAATAATAACTAATAATACAATAAAAATGACGTTATAAACTGATGTTAAAAAGTCTTGTCATTAACAATATTATATAAAATGTCATATAAATCTATAAGTATATTTTTTAATATAAAGCACGTTACTAAACCCACATTTGTTTTTATTATTATAAATAAACAGAAAAATATTTTTCGTGCGTCTGTTTAAATCTATTAAAATCTAAACTAAATCTAAATTGAAATGGAATCATCTCTAATAATTTTCAAACGTCTCAATAAATCAGAATCTATCCTTAGTCACACCACACACACACATATAATATATGTATTTAGAAGTCAATTTTCGCGTGTTCAGCGTCAATTGAAATTATATCGATTTGAATTTCTGCGTCGCAAATTTCTGTTTCTTCAACATGCATGACGAATGCGTCAATCAATCAATCTCAGTTTTTGTTACGACAGCTAAGTTTCAGCGTGTCTAATCTGACCTTTTTTGCTGTTTTTTTATTCTATCCTTGGCTTATGTTAAATTAATGCATTATTAACGATACACTTTTACCGAAAATAATGAATTACCTCGATGCTTTTTTATCTTTCTCCAATAATTTTACGTAATACACGTCTCGATAATCACGCGTTTTCTTTGTAATTTAATCTTGTAAAGTGAAACAAAATATAAAATCAGGATGAAAACTTTTATTAATGTTTCTCACTGTTCGTTCTAATTAATCGAATTTGACGTTGATTTAAAAGTCATCATTTTTTAACTAGAAAAATTTTTAAAATGCAAAAAATAGCAGAGCATTGTTACAAAGCGACACTTTTTAATGAAATAGCGCCACTTTATCAACATTATATTATTGAGATAATTAATAGCGGACACGTAATTAAACATAATTTTGCCGAGGCATAATTAAATTGCGTAAGTATGTCACTTGATGATTATTTATATTATAATAATTCTAATTATATATAAAATTCTTTTCGGTTTTGATGTCATCCCAGATAGCACAAGCTATTCGAAAAGAATTTATTTGTATGTCACCAATTTTGAGTCCCTTTTCAAATACGTATTTCCCTAAATATGTATTTGAAAAGAGACTCAAAATTGGTGACATACAAATGAATTATTTTCGAATAGCTTGTGCTATCTGGGATATTTGCATTTCTACGATAGTTTATGTCGCAATATGATAAAAATAGAAATACGTGATTGGTCACATATATTTGAAACTGTTTAATTCGTAAAATTAAATATATAAATGTAAATGGATAAATGTAAATGTGCAAATATAAATAAGCAAATTTAAATATGCATTTGTAAATAAAAATATAAAATGAAGTATCTAAATCATTGTCGATTTTATATATATTGTAAAGTTATATAAATTGTAAAGAGTTATATAAATCCAATGAGAAATGACTTTTTGTGAATATACATTCACAAAAAGTCATAATACAGTTTTAATATGAAAATTCAATATATTTTATATGATATATACTTAATATATTATATTTACTATATATTTAATATATTATATTAAATAAAATTATTTAATATTAATATATATATACATATTATCTATATATATAGATATATATCTATATTTATAAATTATATATTTTATATAAAATATATGAACTAAATATATGTATATAAAATTCTATTAAAATATATATATTTTATATATTTTATATATATATATATATATATAATTTTATATAATAATTTTATAAATTAGCATAAGTATGTGCATAGTGATTTGAGTGACTGATGTTTCACGTTAAAGTCGCATATATAAATGTGCTTTTTTTCTTTCAGAAAAAAAGAATCATTAAAATTTTATATAATTAAAACTACTATTATATATATATATTATACATATCTAATTAATTAAAACAATTTATGAAATATGTCGAATATGTTCGTAGGAAAAATGATTTGCAAAATACAACTGATATAATCTCATCACATCACATATTAATTTAGACAGCATAATTAATAAAAAATAGTAATAATTCTTTGTTTTCAAAAATGCAAGCATGCAAGTTCTTTCTCGTGAAATATTCACTCTAGCGTTGTCAATGACGTTTTATACCAGAGAAACACATAACATAACCTATATACAGACGCGACTGAAAAAAACTTTATTCGTTTCGCAACCAAATTTGTCTGTGATTAATGCGAAATCTCAGTTTCGCAAAAAACTAAATGTGTTTCCTATAAAATCTACATAATACACGAGCACACGTGTATTTAATGCGTCAGGCCAAGATTAAAAAAAAAGAAATAACTTACGGGAAAGGTGTTGGCCGACCTCGCGCCCTTAAAGCCTCAATGTTGCTTGTTCGTCCGTGAAATTTGTGTTCGGTGTCGATCGAAGACCACGACGATGATCTGCCGACTCGCATGCTTGGCCAGCACGAAGCGCGGTCCGATCCTCCTCGCGAGAGGGACCAAAAGCGACTAAACTCGCGAAAAATAGACTAGTTCGCGAGGCCACGTACGAATCGAAACCCGCTGATCGACGCTTCGCGTCCTTCCTCGTCGCATCCCTCGACCACCCTGAAACGAGGACCTCTACGTGGATATACGTGTATATATATATATATATGTTGTGTGCCTTTATATTTTTATGTGTGTGCAACAATCTCTCGAATATACTTGTGGTAGTAGCACGCCGTGTGATCTGTCAAGTGGCGCTACTAGTCACGCGGCGTGTAAACACCCATATGCATACATATACATATATTCCCGAGTTATGTGTGTAATGAATTATCATATTTAGCAAGAACATACGAGTTCATTGTCAGTTAAACTATATATCCAGGATTTTTCCAGGAGGGGGCATAATTAATTTTTTTGTTTTCTTAATTTTTTTATTTTTCTTATTTTTCTTTTTTAATATTAAATATATAAATAAATTCCAGTATTTATTGAATTTATTCAAAAGGAGAGCAAATGATACTCCTCTTGATCTACCTTCGTCTCTTTTTTAAAAACGTTTTTAAAAAGAGACAAGAATAGTTTAACCAAAGATTTAAGTTCATAATCGACATTCGTGAAATTGGTCCAAATTTGCTGTATTTATAGAATAATACCTTTTTATCCCGTAGACTCTTCGTATTTATGAAAGACGGAGACCGAAAATTTGGCTGGTCACGTTATTCATCCTCGAATTTCCGAAAATCTGTTGCTGCCTCGCAATATTGCTCGCGGAAGTCCGATCGAAAATACTCCCAGTCGCGCGAAGTCAGGTGCGACTGAAATCGATACCAGTCGACTCGATCGAGTGTTGGTCGACGCTCGAAATGCGAGATTAGCGCTCGCGCTTGCCGATAGATGGCGCCACCGGCAAAAAGCGAGTTCTCCCGCTGGAATGCAATATTTCTCCTTACGCGAAGAATAACGGATTATGCGGTTTGCGGCTAAAGTCTTGACGGAAGCAGCTCAAAGGAAATGATACGAATAAATAAGTCAACATCTAAGGTGTATTAAACAGAGGTTACATCCATTTTAATCTATTCTTTTATTGCTTTTAGCTATTCTTCTAGTGTAGTATAATACTCGACTGACGCAAATAAATATTTACGTGTTTAACGAATGATTCCATTTAATGAACCTTCAAAAAAAAAAAAAGAAATTTGCATATATGCAAATATATAGCAGAATATCTGGAATTTTTCATACATATTAAATCGAATCACTTATTTGTAGTTATGGAAATATACGTACAATTATATAATACAATATTATTATGAAAGAGATAAGCAACTTTTTATTTGTTTAAAAATCAAGTCATTATATAATAATTATCTTTTTGTGTATATATATAGTTCATCTTATCTTTGTCATTTATCAAAACGACACGTGGCAAGCAAATGGCTAACAAAGAACGAAATCTAATCATTGCATTCACACACACACACATATACATCAATCATCGATAACACTTTAATTAAGGTCTTGCTTACTGTGAGTCTAATGTAAAGATAGTAAATCTGTATATTAAGCAAAATGTAACTGATCGTTTATCGTCGTTATAGTTGTTGAATTAATGAACTTTTTAAGTTATAATAAAAACCTGAATAACAAAAAATATTTAATTCATACCGATCATAATACACTGATTATAAATTAACTTCCAAGATATTTTTTTTACCTTCATTATAACATGTAATATTCTATGCGTTCGAATTAAATATGAAGGATCATTACATCGACACACTCGACTTGTCCTGACATTAAGTCGACCTTGAGACCAAGCTGTGTTACAACTGTTTCACGTTGGATCTGTCTTACGAAAGACGTAGCAATCGAAAAAACTCGATACGATTTTACAGTGAACGGGTTAGGTGAGTTTTCCAAAGCGTTTCGAACACTGACAAAAAAGCTTGTTAACTTAACCAAATCTTCCAACTAAATTACTATTTTGTTAATTGAAGACATACTAGTATTTAAGTCAAATAAACGTTCTGTTAGTTTTAATGTTGTATTTAAATTAAATATTTTTATATGTTCAATTAATTTAGTCAAGTTAACACATTTTTTCCAGTGCATTTATTCAATATATACACACAACAGATAACCCCACTAATTATTATATCATTTTACTGTCCAAATGACGTAATTTGACGTTAAAATATTTTTGTTATCTGGGTAGATTTAGTACTAACAATAAATGATCACATATTTTTTTTTCTTTTATGATTTAAAAAAGATGACCTTCGTAGATTAAATAATGAATATAGTATGAGATGGAATGATTACATTCACTATTAAATATAGAATATATATAAATGCTATTTAGAAATAGATTTGATATACATATATGGTGGTACACATATTTCTACATAGATGTTGTAATGTTTATATTTGTACAAGTTGAACAATACCAAATATTTATTATTATATTGCTTTGTCCAACAAGAGCCAATATAAGTAAAAAGAAAAGCGAAACACGCATCACGCAACGCAAATAGATCAAGGACGAAAAATCTGAGCGTCATCCATCGGAATCGGGTCGCGAAAGTGCTGAAATCATATTGCGACGACGAGGCATCAGAGACAAAGAGACGACAGGATAAAAAAGCGAGCGCGAGGCACTTTCAGAAGATAGATGAGCTACTCCCTCAACTCCGCGTTACATCGTCGTCAAAGGACAGCGTATACACTTGAGGCGGAGACCTCATTCCATCGATGGGTGCGTAATCATAGAAATGTCGAAATGTAAACCAAGGAGACTTCGATCGAAAAATCGCACGCACATATCTTTGACCTCTACGCGAGCACCAACACCCGTCGAGCGGGTCGTCCGGTACCGGACGTTCTAAGTCAGGCCAAGTCAGGTCAGGTAGTCGAGCGGTGGGGCATTGCGCTCGGAAAGCCGTCATCGCCGGGAAACAGGCAGAGTATCATTGCTGCTCCGGTGCCACTCGGATATCGCGTCTTCTATCCTACCTTTATAGCGAGCGAAATCGTGCGCCAAGTAAAGTGAGCGGACGGAGCTCGAGCGCGCTCGTCGCGTGGTGGACACCTGTTGCATCGTCTCATCGAATGGTGAATGCAGTCGACGCTGAGCAGTTCGCGATCGCGGATCCGAGGGAATCCCGAGGAACCTCCGTCGTCGAGTGTACGAGTAGTTTGACAGAAGTCTGAGCGAAGTCTTCGCCGCTTCGTTTTCGCGCTTCTCCGAAGAATCATCGCGTCGAACAGCTGTTCTTGATACCGTGTTTCGGTAAGCGTCAAACGTCAGTTTCTGTATACTAATGTCGATTAAATTAAACCTCCGATTAAACTATATCTTCGTCTCTCTTCAAAGAAATTCTTCAAAAGAGAAAAAGATATAATTTAACCGGAGGTTTCGTCTAATCGACGTTGGTACACGGAGAGAATTTTCTCTTAGAATTTACCCTGAAAATCATGGTAATCGTATAGGATAATATGGTGTTGAAAGAATTTTATAAGAGTTTCTCTGATTAATATTTACCACAATAAAAAATATTAATAGTACATTTTACTATGTACATAGTAAAATTAATTGAATATATTTTATATCTTATTGTGGTAGATATTAATATTTTTATTATGCTAAATATTAATCAGAAAAACTCTTATAAAATTCTTCCAATGTCATATTGTATCATGATTTTCAGGGTAAATTCTAAGAGAAAATTTTCTCTGTGTAGAAACGCGCTAAAAACGTGTGTACACTTGTGATTAATAACTTGGTAGCAGTCTAGGAAATATAAAAAAATGTGTGAAAACAAGACATCTGACGTATTAGGATATTAAAAAAAACTGTTTTATATACTTCTAATATATGTATATACGCTAATCGCGATTAATTTTCTGCGCACAGATGATAATTGAGATAACACAACAGTCGAGAATACGTTTGAATATTTCGAAAATGTAAATATTTTGAAGCTATTGTGTGCTGCCTATAGAAGTCTAACTCAGTGAACATTATTGCGATAATAATAATTGTGTCAGTTTGATAACAAACAATGGATTCATTGTCTTTTTAGTATCAATGTTTACTGTATACGGTATTATATGTAATATACGCGAGTTGCAGTTTAGCTGTGTAAAAGCTCATAATGTATTGAAATTCGATATAATGTGCGTGACTTAAAGATTTTTCCTTTTAATTTCTATAATTAATACTCTATTGACGGACAAGTCGATAAGAAATAACGAATTCCCTTCTTAAACTTTGAGCTTGTTTAAATTTTGATTAATACAACATTTGATTTTAGTCCTCGTTATCGCATTACAAGTGTTTATCAAAATTTTATCGAATGCAAACAAAATATGTCTAAAGTATAAAATTTTATCAAAGTAAGAAAGTTGAATAAAATTATATAATAATAAAATTGATAATGATGAATCGATAACTACATATCAAAAATATAAAAAGATTTTTCTTTTTTTTCATATACTTGAAGATATATCCAAAAATAAAAAAATATACAGATATAATAAAAATATTATATATTTTCTATATTTTAATAGAATCTAATATAATTTAATAAAATCTTTGAAATATCTAACATCCTGTTACCTTCCTTTGAAATATCTAACATTATATAACATCCTGTTTATTAATGCAGTTAGATACATATCTTTCTTTTAATATTATAGCTATCGATACAAGGAACATCAATTCCGAAGTTTTTAAAGTCGAAGAAGTCGACTGTCGACCAAAGTGCTGCTGAAGAAACGTAAACATTAAAATCAAATCGTTAACCTTCAAGTAGCAAAAATGTCAGCATCATTGAAACTGGCGGATGATCAGCGATTTGCTCTAATGAAGGTAAGTTGTAGAGATATCGCATTTTAGAAAAACTATTGTCAAAACATTTATATGTCATTTAACAATGAGCAACGCTCAACTATATTGAAAAAATTTACATATGCAATTATCATATCTCGCGAACTTTTTTAACGATAAATGTGACATACTTAGGTACTTTAACTAATAATACTTTTTGTAATCTTTGATTTCTTAGAAGATATAACATTTTTCATAATCATATGAATGCAAATCACAAACAAAAATCAAATCACACACATATATATATATATATATATATATATATATATATATACATATATAATAAACAAGAACAGAATATTTAAATTTATTTTCATTATGTAAATAATAATTTTAGATATAAAACCGACAACAGTTATATGTACTTAATGTACTTATCTTTGAATTATTTTATATAAAAATAATGCAATAATGTTTTTTTAATTAATCAATAAATATGAAATAATTAGGCAACCGTGAAAAATTAAAAGAATCTAAATAGTTCTTGATTTTTTTAATACATTGCAAATACACTTGCGAATAAATTCGCGCAAAGAGCATCATTAGTATTTACTAACTGTCAAAGCTGTCTGGCTATTTATACAGATGAATAATATAATTTCTGTTGAAAGATCTTTATGTCTTCTTTTTATTGAATTTTGTCGAATATAACAATAAATTTCTTTCTGAAAAGTATTAATAGATATTAATGTGTGATTTAAAAAACTTCATTAAAAACACAAAACTAATAATTATTTATTACTTTGAAATAATAAAAGAAATAATAAAAGAAATAATAAAAGAAATACATTAAAATCGTGACATTTAAGAAATATTTTACAAATGTTTATTACATGACGTAACATAATTATTTTCGAATTTTATTTATATGAAAATATAGAAATAATATCGCAATATTATACGAAACAAATTTTCTATTTCGGAACAACGTGTGATTTGATATATACCAAGTTAGATAGAAATATCAATATCATGTAAATGCTATAATACACGTCGATACCATACAATATTACGACTAACATTGGATATGACATAAACGCGAAAGATAGAAATTTACTTGTCAAGTCATATGTTTTATTACGTCAAAGAAGACGTGCATAAATATAAAGTCATTGATTCACGATCAGCTGTACGTATAGTAAGTATCCGTGCATACTTGTAATCGTTACAAATGACCTTCTTCGTACTTTGATGAATTCGATTTTTTCCTTTTTTTAATCAACTATAAAAATAGTCACTGATAAAATTTTATTATTTATAAAATTTTTTATACGGAACATTCGCCATATCAAAAGTCAAAAATAAAATAGGGAAATAAAATGAAGCAAACCGTATTTTTTTCTTCATTGAAATAAAAAGTATTCTCTTTGCTAGAGATTATTATTTACTAGAAAAGAAAAAAAAGAAAGGTTTAATTATTAAATGACTGTATTGTGTATGTATATGACTGTAATGAATTGTATTGTGTATAAACTTTTACTATTTAGAATAAAATATAGGAATAAATATTAATGTAAGGTAATTTCATATAACATTCTATCAAAGCAATTACTATGAAAGTTGAAGTTTTTAGTAGATTGTTAAAGAATTCCTCGATTTATACTTAGAAAAAAATTAGATACATATATACAATAATTTAGAAAAAATCCTACAGAAATCAGGCTTATCCAAGTTTATCGTCATGATTTCTCAATAAAATTAAAAATTTCGTTATTCGTGATACGGCGAAAAGATTTCACTGCGCGTAGATTGCTTTTACTCCTTACAATCTGATCGTTCACCTTCGGTATCTGGAACGAGCAGCAGGCAACCAGGTACTTATTTCAAGTAGCAAGATGCACCAGATCGCGAAGAAGAAATTGACGATTGTGCTTTTTTTTACGCGTCGAACGTGAGAAAAAGTGTTTATTTAACTTACATTTCGCGCCAGTGCTGAGTCAATTTTATTCTTAAATCGATTCGTCAACGGAAAAGACGTTTAGAGAACCTAATTCGCTCACTATTCAACCACCTTGTATTAAATTATACGCTCGTCATCTTGATGTTATATATAATTAATAAATAAAAGAATTTCATCTAATCGCGAAAATGTTGAGAAGAAACACAGATAGGCATCTTGCGACGTATAAAAAAGTAACAAATAAAATTTGATACATACTATATATCTAGATCCAATATCGTTCGATCGGCCGAATCCATCGCCTATTTTTTTGATCAAACGAAAAGGAACGTCACCGACAGTAACAGTCCAACGACACTTTCATGAGTTTACTGTGACAGTCATCGGCATGCGACCACGAGGACAATCGGGCACACACGCAGAACTCGCGCGACACACTTTAAAAGATCCTCAATACATACATAAATCCGCGCCGTCTTGAATTACAACACCGAGGATACGTAAAAAAAAAAAATCGGATAGGCGAAATAACTCTCGCTAAAGTGCATTCGCAAAATGACTTTTTCTCAACTCGCCCCGGTTGGATGAAGCAATCCTCTGTGTAATGTGGTAGAAACTTTTCACTAGTCATAGAAGTTTGCGGCTTAGAAGTTATTAGCTCGATGTGTACGAGAGGTAGATATAAAAATATATAAAATTGAACATTTCGCAAAATTCGGCAGACACGATTTTTGAACGAGTTGTACATATTTATGTAACATATTAGAATGACATCAGATTTTTATCATGCTTTGTACATTTTTTTGTAAATAAGAGATTTATTGATTCTTAAGTAGAAACCAATTGAACAATCTTCTTTTCTTTCATAATTCATAGATCAAGAAGATTAATTATGTGTATTAACTATACATTTCTCGGAATTTTATTATTGCTTTTATCGTGTTTTTCGTGCGTGCAATTTATGTTTCATAATTTCCCGTAGCAAAGTTGAAAGTTTATTGTTTTATGACAAAATCGTTACATACTGTAATGAACTGTAACATAAATTTTTGTTAAATTTTCATTTTCTATCACATTTTTCAATAATACTGTTACAAAAATATTTAGTCGAAACAAAATATTACTGTGCACAGTCAGAGCTTCGATTTATTATAAATAGATGACTATTGTAATATAGTCTTGAAAAAATTAGAGATTTTTATTCGGTATTCGAGGATCTTCATGAATATTAAATATATATTTACTACCGAAAAGGATAACGTAAATATCTGACTGAGCATCGTCAATATCTTCTTCTTTTTAAATAAAAAAGCAAAAAAGAGCCAGAAGATACAACAGTAAAATGTCAGTGTTTCCTGAGTCCGGATTTAAATATATATATATATATATATATATATATATATATATATATAGTGATTTTCTCCGATTATTGTAATTTTCTCTATGTTTTACGTTCAATTACTTTTTGCGGACTACATTCGAAACAATGAGAAAGAAAGAAGCTTTCATTCGTTACAATCGTCAAGTACTTACAAAGCAATACACTTAATTTTGTTTAAATAATGCGAGAGATACACGGATCTATCAGAACTACTCATGAAGGCAAGTCCAAGTTCCTTTAATATAAGAACCGGTTTATTCGCCATCGAATAATTATATGTGACGTATATAAGAGATGCCTGATCCCTCTCACCTCTACGTATTTTTCCCCGTTCTTATCTATCGATCGTGAGTTTTGATGTAATATTGCCGTTATTTTATTACACAAGCGACATTCCACATATCAATATTTTGTGTACAATAATACGATTTACTGTACGAATAATTGTAATTTATATAACGTCAAGTAATTTGAAAGATTTCTACTTCAACTATTTTTCCAAGAGAAATTTCGAAATTATTCAACAAATGCGGCCCATTCTTTCTCTTCATTGAACCGTCACAATTCGTATTCAAAATTCACTCACTATGCATTTATTAAAAGCAAGAGATTAACTGATTACTTGTTTAATAATAATAATACTTGCCATCAAATTTGATGTCCCAAAATTATTGTACGCAACAAAAACGAATTCATTCACATGTATATTCCAATTTTTAAAAAAAGTTTACTTAAACTGTATTTCATTCTCTTAGTTTTCATTAAATTAAAAAAAAAACTTTTATTAATTTATTAATAAATTCAATTTGATAAAAAAGTTTTTTTTGTTAACTGTCTGGTATTTTAATTGCAAAATATTTCTTGTTTCCAGTTGGTTACGCAAAATTATTAAAAAAAATAATAATAAACGTATAGAAAATATTTATAGAAACTAATTATATTAAAGTAGTAACAAATTTTGTATATTTTCTTCGACTTCGTATAAGTTTTCAGTGAAAGGAAGCATAGATATTTAATGAAGGTTTGTTTGTAACAAGTCAATATGGGTCGTGCATTAGTGTGAAGACAACATCGATAATTTAGAGAGCCGACAAGGAAATTTCACTTCCTCGCGTCTAACATGAAACACGATGATTGTGTTTCCTGCAAATTATAATTGTGCATACAAAAACTTTTGCCGGTGGCAAAATAAGCAAAATAGAGACGCAAACACGGCGCTATATTTTCCAGAGAAACGTATAAATAAAAACACTCGACGTAAATATATACGAACTAAATAAACTTTAACCGCACTTTGTATGCTTGCACATATAAAAATAACTATATTTATATCGTATATACATGCATATTTATAATTATATATAAATACATTTTTGTTGCATTATTCACACATCGACAAATCATGTGATAAATGCATATCATATCAAGCTATGTTAATCGGTCACTTTTGACATTTGCATTGTTGTATAATGCGTTAAAGGGAAAGAACACTTACTTAGGTCTTTCTTTTACAGTTCAGACGATCAGTGCAAGATGTCTTGCAACCACATCACGATGATCACTTTCTGCTTCGTTGGTTGAGAGGTACGTTCGTATTTGCGCATATTCACTTATTCATAAATTTTTAATATAATAAATAATAATTTAAATTATTATAAATTTATATTTAAAAAATTAAAATTATATTAATAAAATTTATTTAAATATGTTAATACAATAATTATTAAAAAATAAGTATTATATTTGATTTGGGTAATAAATTGTAAATTTATTTAAGGAAATTAAATTTTCTAATACTATTTATTTGAATAATTAAATAAAAAAAACGAAGGTACTGCTTCGTTGGTTGAGAGTCTAATAACGCATTAATATGCTAGCGAAGAAAACGCACTTTGTGATTTCGATAAGTATTATCCCTTATTATGTGTGCATAGTCTAGCGCAACATTCGCATCGATATTAATGGACATCCATTAGCTTCTTTGTCTGTCGAAGCAATGTTTGCAAAGTAATTAAATTATTTTGAAACAAAATTACGAAACTCGCGGAAACTCAAGATTATCGGTTATTATCGGTTATTAACGCTAAACTGTGATTTACTTCAAACTACGTAACATATACGATATTATTACTGAACGATGAAAAGACTCTTGATGCAAATTGAAGCGGTAACAATCGTATATTTAATTAAGATTTAGAATTAACTCATTTAAAATAGAAATTCTACTTATTAATTTTAATAATTTTACATGCACGCATAATACCAAATTTTATTAGAATATGTACTATACGGAATATGTATGCATTTTTTTCAACGTAATCCGGTGCAATTTTTCATACTCGAATTTATATATTTTCTTTTTCAGCGAGAAAATGGGATCCTACCGCGGCGGAGAAGATGTTGAGAGACGTAAGTAATTATATATCAAGACATTTGATTTATGGATAGCTATATATACAGCTATACAATTTCTCATACATATATATGTCATATTATATAGTTCTCCTATATATCACATCCCACATATCACATTGTAAACGCACGTGGCTTCACATTACCCGGTCAATAGAAGACGATTACGCATTCGACCCTCGTTCACGGATTAGGCTTAAATATTCGTATTGTACAAAACCTAGGCGAATCCAATTGAGAAAGTCTGGTGAAACACGTTCCGGTCACCGAGCCTTTTAAAATTTCTCTACCACGCGTATTATTCGCGAGTCATTAAATATTAAAACGTGGCGGGCGTAAACATAGCGCGAGCCACGTTACGGCTCGCTGCTTTGAAGATTCCTTTTGTTGCATTTCGAGAAATCTTCATTCGTTTCTCAAATTCAACATCTTTCTAACAATATTACCTCAAAATTTAACTCTTGAATACAGTCCCACAAATATTTTAAATTAAAGATCAAGTAATTATAAAAAGAGTTAAATTTTTTCTTTAATAAATAATTTTTTAATTCGGTGATAATAAATCTTTTTTTCAGTAATGTAATATATAACTTAATAAATTGCCTAGTAATAAGTTTTGTTGCATTTTGATGAGAAATCTTCGTTTCTCAAATTAATATTAATATTTTTTCAAAATTTAATTCTTAGCAATGAATACAGTTATCCCAAAAATATTTTAAATCGAAGATAAATAAAAGAGAGTTAAATTTTCGTTTATAAATAATTTTTTAATTCGGTGATAATAAACATTTTTTTCAGTAATGTAATATATGTAACTTAATAGAACTGTATAATGTGAGTATATAAGTTTTGTTTTCTTAAAAAGTGACCAAATCAATCTACAAAATAATTATAGCTAATTTCCGCGAAATAAATATATGAAAGAGTTCTCTTCCGGACAGATGTCAGATGTCAAGCCTAGAAAATTATAAATCGCCGTCGATAGTTTCGCTTTTTTTGTTCTGGAAGATGTTTTATGCGAAATAGAAAGTCGTTCTCTGTACGTGCTATTTTGTAAGTCGAAAGTAATGAGCCGATTCCCTGAAGCACGTTCAAAGTCACCATCTCGATTCTCGTTTAGAGGAGTTTCACGATGATTGAAAACCGAGGATACATAATGCAAAGTGGCTAGTATCATCTAAAATAATCTCTTCGTACAGGAAACTATTCTTTTTCACTTTCTATCCCGCGTGAAACCCTGTCATCACGAAATCATTAAATATAAATTGCAAGAAACATTGAGAACAACTTATACCGTGCAGTTTTACATTGTAAAATGCAAAAATTAGTATTGTTGTATTATATAAATATAATACGTACTCTCTATAAAATAACACAAAACGATGGAATTATTTTAAATTTCTAGTCACAAGTCTGTTATCACACTTGGAACATTTTAGAATACTTTTTATGCTTTCTTACTTCAGCTATGTCACAAATAAATAAACAAGGATTTTTGCACATTTTTGCAATGCATTATAATTTTATATTAAAAGAAGCACATTTAAAAATCTTATTAAAATATATTACATTAACGCGCGTATTAAAAATATGTGACAAGATTGTCCTTATCAATATAATATGTGATAATCAACAGCACATATCAAGTTGCATTGATAATTATGAAGTATCACTTAATCTCAAGCACTTTTATGATAATTAAAATTAAAAATAAAGAAAAGATATCATGAAAAATATTTATTCACAGTCCTTGGAATGGCGGAAACAGTGGGATGCTGATAATTTATCTGACTGGGATCTTTCTCCAGAGATAAAGAGTTATTTTCCTTACGGATTAAGCGGATTCGATAAAGATGGTGCACCAGGTAAGATCTTTTTTTTTATTAAAATCAAAATCATTAATTTTCGAATATTCTAAGTTTACGCTTTGAATTATATTGTCACAAATTACGCCACTATATTGAAAGTGTCAATATTTATAAAATTATTGTAAAACAGGCATGTTAACGCTGAGATCGGATATTATTTATATTAAAAAATTGTAGAAAAATTTACACATAAATAATCGAAAGCCATTGTGTCAATAAAGCACAAATATTTACTGGCAAATTTACTTGAATGTTTTATCGATGTATTATAATTATAATGAAAATATCTGTCAGAGATAATAAACAAAAATATACGACAGCAGAGAAATAAATGTCTCCTGGCTGCTTTTGCGGCTGGTTTGACCTGGTAACAAACGTAACGATCAACATGCTTGAGAGCGTGGAACACAGGTTTCAATATTTTGGTAAAGAATTCGGTCAAGGTCTCTGTTCTGGTCCTCTCAACCTGTATACTTTTCACTAAGAAATACATATAAGGTGCAAGAAACACAAGCGTTGTTTCGAAATAATTATTTTTTATATTAATTCCTCTGATTCTTATAGCAAGATAAACAACATTTAAACCTTCGTCACTTTCTAAAAAAAAAAAAAGTTATTCTTTCAAGAATAAAGAACAACAATGATTAAACACAAATTTATATATTCCAGGGCAAATTAAACAAGATCATAGACTTTGAAAATAATAATGTAATCTTGATTCTAAATGAATTCAGATTTGTGAAAGTAACAAGATCATTTTCTATCTAACAAATTTTTATTATTGCAATGAATATCATTTAGATCTTTAGCAACATTAATTATAAATATAAGCAATAATATTCACATTTTCACGTTTGTTTGAATTTAGAGATCCATAATAATAAAATAAACTCGAAAAGAATTGTAATTATAAAAAATGCTTGAGATAGTTGACGGGAAAATATTGCTACGCGAATTATTTTTCCAAAATTTGCATACATATAAACAATAAATTATTGCAGTTATCATTGTACCCTTTGCCGGTATGGACATGTACGGAATGTTACACGTAATAACCCAGAAGGAATTTGTCAAAGCTACGATAAAAATCTTGGATGGATATTTGAAATTAGCTAGAGAACAAAGCAAGAAGCATGGACAGATCGCAAATCAACTAACAGTCATTTTTGACATGGAAGGATTTAATCTTAAGCAATATCTATGGAGACCAGGTAAAATACTTCAGATACCTTCAGTATACCGACTATTCTTCGAAATTTGTTTTCACATTATAAAGGTTTATATTGTATACAAAAGGTTATTTTCTATTGTTATCTAAAAACTTTCTCTTCTATTATTGTCTTATTGCTGCCTATTTATTTACAGCTGGCGAATTGGTCCTAACTCTTATTCAAATGTATGAAGCGAATTATCCCGAAATTCTAAAAACGTGTTTTATCATAAATGGTAGGTTCAATAGAATATATATATATATATATATAATATAAAATATGATTAGGCTCACAAATATATATGTATATACATATGGTCTGAAATGAAATAGATTGTAAATAGATTTTCACGTATTGTCGATCAAGAAAAAAAGAATAGAAAGTCAACAGATATCTAAAAGACATTTTAATATTTTCTTTACTTTCGTGTCTTTTGAATTTTATGTTGTTTGAATCGGCGCGATAAAAAAAGGAAAATTGACCTCATGACTTAGCAATTAATTCATTGCAATTTTTAATATTGTTATAATTGTAATAAAATATTTTTAAATAACGATAAAATTAATGAAGTCGCCAGTGATGAGTAAAACCATACAAATTTATTGAAATTTCGATCTAACTGGCCAGTACAATTTAATTAGAAACACTACGTTTCGACCCTTAGGTACGGATCCTTTTCAAGTGTAACTTTCAAGATGTTGATTCGACAGCAGTAAAATTACTAATGTTAAACCGGAGACACGTAAATCAAATTAAGTCAAACGTTAAAAACACAATGCATTGTGTTCAATACTTCAGATACCTTCAGTATACCGACTATTCTTCGAAATTTGTTTTCACATTATAAAGATTCTTATATTGTATACAAAAGGTTATTTTCTATTGTTATCTAAAAACTTTCTCTTCTATTGTTGTCTTATTGCTGCCTATAAGACAACATAAAATTCAAAAGACACGAAAGTAAAGAAAATATTAAAATGTCTTTTAAATATCTGTTGACTTTCTATTTTTTTTTCTTTTATAATATAAATTGAGTCCTGAATTAACCGGTTTCAAAGAAAATTATGTTGTGAAAAATAAAAATATTTTGAAATTTCGACCTAACTGGCCAGTACAATTGCATTGTGTTTTTAACGTTTGACTTAAATTGATTTACGTATTTCCGGTTTAACATTAGTATTTTACTGCTGTCAAATCAACATCTTGAAAGTTACATTTGAAAAGGACCCGTACCTAAGGGTCGAAACGTAGTGTTTCTAATTAAATTGTACTGGCCAGTTAGGTCGAAATTTCAAAATATTTTTATTTTTCACAACATAATTTTCCTTGAGACCGGTCAATTCAGGAGTCAATTTATATTATAAAAAAAAAATGACTTTAAGATTATTGTTATATAAGCCTATTGTTGCATGTAACTAATGTAACTATTGTTACAGCTCCGAGAGTCTTCGCCTTTGCATTTACCATTACTAAGAAATTCATGAACGAATATACATTGTCGAAAATACAAATTCATAAAGCTGATCCGCCTAAATGGCAAGCGGCGATACTGAAGGTCGTACCAAAGGACCAATTACCAGTTCATTTTGGTGGAATATTATGCGATCCAGACGGCAATCCGAGATATGCTTCGAAGGTAGTATTTTAATCGACCCAACTTTCTCTTAAATTCATGCATGATTCTTGAACGGGAATGTAATTTATTCGAACAAAATGGAACATTTGATAGAATGTGTGACTAATTGAATAGAATAGGATAGTAAGTAAAGCTTTAATTAGTAATTTTATATATATATATATATATATATATAGAATCTAATATTAATGTTAATAATATTAGATATTAATTTTAATAATAATATTAAATATTAATATTATTTATTATCCTAATATATCTTAATATTAATTAGTAATTTATATACGGAGACACAATGTATTCGTGTATAAGTACTAATTCATATTAAGATATGTTATAAATATGGGTATTTAACACATTTAAGAAATTTATTTTACTTAATTTTTTGCCAAAGAAAAATTAAGTCTGGAATCATAAAAAAAAATAATTTTTGACTATTAACTCTCTTGCATTTTGTCTGCTTTATATAAAACACATTTACTTTAAAAAAAAAAATGAATTTTTCTTCTTTAAATATTAAAATATTAATTTATCACATTATATCCCATCTCAGAAAATAATGATTGAGATTATTGCCAGATTTCTCAAGGTGGGAAGATAGCTAAAGAAATGTATACCAATAATGCGGATAAACTAAACGACGACTATACTACTGTGGTCGTTCGGAAAGGTGGAAAGTTAGAATTCGATATCTGCACACCTGAAAGGGCTCCATTTTAAGGTACATCTATTATTTACTTCCAATAATAAGAGCCTGTATTTAAAATTTTCACATCGATTCTGGCACGTCTCAGCTGGGAATTCCGAGCGAAGGCCACGACATTAGTTTGGGATTTTAAAGAAGGACGTGGAAAATGGTATAAGACAGAAGTTATACCTATTCGAAGGGTCGCATCCCATCAATCGGACGAAATCGGGATTTAACCTGCGAAGATCCGGCTACCTGTAAGCCTAATACCACTAAAGCACAGGATAATATTAAAACAGTGAAGAACGTCTCATTTATATAAATTTAACTTTCAGATTCCATTGTCTTCGATAACACTTACAGTATCTTAAGGAATAAAAAAGTTCACTATGCCGTACGTGTATTACCACCGTCGAAAGAATTACAGAAATTGCCATCAGTTGCGTAATTACAAACGGGTTTTATTAAGAAATTCACAAATTATTATACTTAAAATTTTATAGGACACGGTTCTTATAATACACTAGGCTAAATGATCGGAAACAGATTTTACAAATGAAAAATTTCAAAAAAAATTTAAACAATCTTTTATAGACTTATACATTTGAAACTACAGTATCAATTCATATACAAAATTCGTCATGATTTAAACAATTAAATTGTTTAATGCTTGTTGCAATAATGTTTAAAGGATGTTAATGTACATAAACAATATATATTCTATTATCTTATATATTTGTTTTTTCAAAAGTGGATAATGGCAAGGATAATGATTGTAAAAAAGAATAGAAAAATATATACAAGATATAAGAGTGTAGTATTTGCATACAACACATTTATAATTCACGCGATATGTACAAAATACTTTTTATATAAAATATAAAAAAAGTATTATACACATACACGCACACACATACTTAATCGTCGTCTGTGATTAGCATATCAATAAGTTCAAGTTTTAGCAATTGATCACCTTCTAAACGTTTTTCAGTACCCCATTTAATTAGAGTTGGCAAGACTTTCAACCTGGTGATAGGGTTTGTCCTGAATGGACAATTACGATCCTTCCAACTACGATACATATGGAAGATATTCTAGAGCTTTTCATCTTATAATTTTTCTTCTTTTATTATATAATTTTAATGCAGTTACTATTATATAAAAATATTTATAGCAATTTATCTAAAAATAATAGTTGCAAAAATATAAAAATATAACATTTTATTTACTTACAATGCTCTGTCTCCAACTTCAACTATTACTAATTGTGTTTCCTCAGATGCCGCATTAAAACCTTGTTCAATAAATGGATAAGCTGAAATGATATGAAAAAGTTCTTAAAATCTCAATATAATAGTATATTATCAATAATAATGTTTATACTTCCTCTTTTGTTCAGAGATAAGAATGATGACGCATAATGATAATTAGACATTTATCAAATTGTTAATAAAAACTAATTGTTAGTTGAAAATTAAGGCAAACGATTTCTACTGCACTTTTTTTGAATTCTTTCTTTAGATTATTTATAATCTTATTTTATTAGCATGAAATTCTTATTAAATGTTAAATAGAATAAAACTGAGAAGTGGTGAGATAATTTACTTTCAAGAATTTATGTGATAAATGCTTTTGTTTCCATTGTTGCTCACATTGTTAACATTTTCCGCTTGTCAAAATCTATATATCACCAATACTCTTTTCTTCGAAATGTCACTTTAATGTCACTTTGATAATTGAAATATGCACGTGAACAGCTGTAAAAGATATAGGTTAAATGGTTCGCTCACCTTCCACGCAATCCGGACACCAGCTTTCGCCGGTTTCAGGTAATTTCGTGCCGGTGTAAAGAATGTACACTGATTCCGCGTTTCCCAGCTCGTCTACATACTTAAGAAAGTTCTCGTATCTCTGCACGTGAAGCCGCCGAACCATTTTTGACAGATGAAATGACAGATCACGCGCCGACTGCACGAGCTCGCCTTAAAAGATGGACGATGAGTGCGTGAAATTCTATATCGTTTCGTAAGAAACACTCGGTTTATCTCCATTTTATCTACGATGTATGTATATGTATATATATGATAGATTTTATCAGGCATCTTTATATATTTGTCTCATATGTCGCTTATCAGTTCCGATAATAATTCCTTAAATTGAATATTATATATTGATAATATATCGATACATAAATATAATTATATCTTTCTCTTGTTGAACAAATTGAAATATTTCGTAAGATAAAATTTGATATATATATATATATATATTTTTAATCCTCGATCGAGGATTTCACAAAATTGCACAATTCGCTAGAATGCATATATAGATACTTTGCGTGAAGATCTTTATTCGAGCATATGACGTTTATATTCCAGGAATTCGACATATACAGGATATACATCTCCCGGCAAAAAGAGAGAAGAGCGAGAGAGAGAGGGAGAGAGAGAGAGAGAGAGAGAGAGAAGAACAAAGCTGATTCACTGTCAAACAAAGAAGTATACGAAATAAATATCGACAATTAAGGCACTTTCCAGAATTGATATTCGGAAAAATTGTAATGAATTTTATTCTCCGTAGCATGTGATTAAATTATATATATTTAATTGAGAGATATAAAATAATTTACACGCAAGTACAGGTACGAAAGAGATATAAAAATCTTGATTTATCCTTATTGAAAAATATAAATTTGTGCAGCGTAGAAAATATTTGAACGAAACTATCGCCAGTTAGGAGTTTATTTATGCTGCCTTTTTGAAGAAAAATTCTTTTGTTATTTTTGTCAAGTAGCTTACAAGAGACATTCAAAAATTGGCGCGCCAATCGCGCGCGGAATCGTGGCGTGGGAGACGTGACGCGTGCCGTGATTGGTGGATCAGCCTACCTCCACTCCCGCGCCGAGATACCACGTGACGCACGACGCACCGTCCGAATCCGAGTCCGGCATTCCGCGAACGAGACCGAACCGAGCGGACGAGGGTACCTGGCATACCGTTCGTTCGTGGGCGCTCGTTAGCTTGTGCGTTAAGTACTCTCTTCTCGTGGAGCCGATTAATGCGCTCGGGTATCGCAATTGATACCTGGTAACAAACAAAGTTCGTGTGGACGCGAGATTGTCCGGTGGCTCTTGACACTTTTTATCTGTCCGCGGGCGCGAGTGAGTTTTTAACGAGCGCGTTACATTAATCGCGCTGAACACGATGTCGGCGATCTTCGACTTCGAGCTGCAGGACGCTGGGCTGCTGCACCGAGACGAGTCGGATGACGACGAGGTCATCGAGATCGGCCCGGTAAATGCGATTTTCCTTGTCTCGCTGTCCTGTTCCCCTATTCTCGATCCTTCCATCTTACGTTTTAGTATTGCGCGCACGTGAATGCTACTTTTAACGCCGCATCTGTTTTTCCTTTCGCAGGAGGAGGGCGATGCCGATCCGAGTGAGATTGCAAAGTGAGTAGAACCGCGCGCGTGTGCCTGTTGTCTATTATTGTCGCGCGACCACGCGGTCGCCTGCGAATCCTAGAAGTATGGTGCATCGAGTATTGACGGCGATTTTTTTCTCCACAGTTCATCCGACAATTCTGACGTCGGAAGCGTGGAAGCGGTGTCGATATGCGAGCAAAATGTCAACCGCGAACGCGAGAAGGTCGGCCCGCAGGACTTCGAGTTGTGCAAAGTTATCGGGAAAGGCGGCTACGGCAAGGTTTTCCAAGTACGGAAAATAACAGGAAATGACAGCGGCACGATCTTTGCCATGAAGGTAACGAAATCTGTTTATGTTGTATTTTGTCCGTTGCTTCGGAATATCATGTTTCTCAAACGTGAACAGTGTGGGAGAAACATCTGCTCTTTTCGAGTAAATAATTGCAATTTATTATCAGAAAGTTGAGATGTATATATTTTTTTTAATTATTTTTTATTACTCTTATTACGTAATACTGTGCAAATATCACACAATTTTGCCATTTCATATTTTTCTTACTATATATTAACTTTGATATACATTTATGGATATACATATTTATATGACATTTATAGGGCGTGCTTTACTAATTCTAACATATTTATTACAAATTTTACAAATTATTACGAAAGAAATTTAATTAGTTACTGCAGTTCTTTCTTTAGAATAATAGCTCATATTAATTTATATATGTACTTATATATGTGTGTGTGTAGACTTGTAAAATAAATAGCACATACACACATATTGTTTTATGTATAACTTTTCTTCAGTTATATAAAATATTTTTTATATTATTTCAACAGGTATTACGTAAAGCTTCAATTATAAGAAATCAGAAAGATACAGCTCATACTAAAGCTGAAAGAAATATTTTGGAGTCTGTAAAGGTTAGTTATTTCTATTTATTAAAAGATGCTCATAAATTAAAATGAGAGATTTTGACTGTAATAATAATTAATCTACCAATGTATATGTTTACGTTTATAATCTTTTAAATACTATAGAGTATAGAGAAATTATAGAATAAAAATCTTTAGAATTAAAAACTTTTATAATCTATAAATTATCTTTGAAATCTTTTTAGATTAATTAAGCATTAGCTTCTTTAACTTTTCTACATTTATTATTACATATTATACAAAATATTAATTCATATAACTAAGATTAATTCATATATTTTATGCTTGCATTTGGCAGCATCCTTTTATCGTAGATCTCAAGTATGCATTCCAAACTGGTGACAAATTATATCTGATATTGGAATATATGTGTGGGGGTGAACTATTTCGACAATTAGATGACGAAGGAGTTTTTATGGAAGATGCTGCTCGGTAAATAAATTGTAAAAAACATTTAAAAAATTGAATTTTACAAATATATATAGTATCGTCTTTTACTTGTTTTGCAGCTTTTATTTATGTGAAATTACATTGGCTTTGCAACATCTCCACCTACAAGGAATTATATACAGGTATCGTATATTTTTTTTTTATAATTTGTGTTTATATACTTTAATGCAAAGCTAAAATATAATCAATATAAGTAGCAAAATGATTAATATATCAAACATTTTATTTAGACATAGAATTGAATTAATGATTCTTGTAATGAATAATTTTAGAGATTTAAAACCAGAAAATGTTTTATTGGATGCGGAAGGACATATTAAGTTAACTGATTTTGGATTGTGTAAAGAACATATACAGGAGGGTGCTGTAACTCATACATTTTGTGGTACCATTGAATACATGTAAGGATTATGGAATAACTAATAAATTTGATAAAATTGCAATTGTAATGTAAACTGATTATAATATTATTCTCTTAGGGCACCTGAAATCTTAACGAGAAATGGACATGGGAAAGCTGTGGATTGGTGGAGTTTGGGAACTTTAATGTATGACATGCTTACTGGACTTGTATGTATAGGTTACATTATATATAAGCATATATATAAAGTTAAAGAATACTGTGCATTTTATGTATTATCACATATTATTTTTATCATTTTTCAGCCACCATTTACCTCGGATAATAGAAAGAAAACTATTGACAAGATTCTTCGTGGTAAATTAATTCTTCCACCGTACCTAACACCTGATGCTAAGGATCTTCTTCGAAAATTATTAAAAGTTAGTATTCATAAATTAGTGATTAATTAGATTATTTTATTCATTTAATGTAAATTTAAAGCAAACAGTTTTGTCTTAAAAAAAGAAGTTATTTTGATAACAGATATAATTTTATAATATTTGCACATAGTGTAGATCTTTTATTAGGTAAAATATATACAAATTTTCTTATGATCTATAAATATATAAAACATTTATATATAATTGGCCTTTATAGAGACCAGTTGCACAAAGATTGGGATCTGGCTCATTGGACGGTGAACAGATAAAGGCGCACAAATTTTTCAAACATATCATTTGGGATGATGTTATATCTCGAAAATTGGAACCTCCTTTTAAACCAATATTGGCTAGTGAAGATGACGTATCGCAATTTGATAAAAAATTTACCGCTTCAGCACCAATAGATTCTCCAGTAGAATGCACTTTAAGCGAGTCTGCTAATAGAGTATTCCAGGTGAGTTTTCTTTGTTCTGAGCTATACTTAATATATGCTTAAATGTGTATGCACATATTCAATTATCCACACGAACCAGCCATGATTCAACTACTCGCAACTTACATATTTTTTTAGTTTGCAAATATCACAAGTGTGTTTAGGATGGTGCTTAGATCTTCCTACATCCTTCTTTTTACTTAGATTTTTGGTTGTATTATAATCAAACTTTTATAGGGATTCACATATGTAGCACCGAGCATATTGGAAGATGTCTATTCACAACAATCAAGATACTTAACTACTGTTTCGCAACCACGAGTTATAAAAGCCAGAAGTCCCCGTAAGGCAACTACGCGTGGTTTTTCACCTCGGACAACGCACCTCCATCTTCACAATACGCATTTGTCGAATCACAGGTTTGAATATACAAATTTTTAATTCTTACATAATATCTTTGTCTACTAATAAAATTGCATCTTTTCGATGTATACAATTTTATGTCAAGTTTATATAAAGTTATTTGAGTTCTAAATAATATGGACAATAATTTTTAGGCATGGTGGAGTCGGGCATAGCAATATGGAAGACACAGAGATGATTGAGATAGGCTAACCATTGCTATCAGACTAGTAGATAGCATTTTTGTCCAACTGCTGGATATTCATAATCCTCAGGGAGGGGTTTTATATAATTTAGAGGGAATAGTTAGGGAAATGGATACAATATCCATTATTACTTTTGGATATTCAGCAGTTACACATTTAGCTAATCTTTTTTATATTTGTATATTTTTTTTTTTTAACAAAAATGTTAATGTAATAATTTAATGGCGACGCAGCAGTTATCTGGTAGCGCCCCGAAGTAGTTGCAATTTTATTGAATAGGTTTGAAAACAATTTGCAAGAAAGCGTATTGTGTTATGCAGTTATATAAAATGCAGATTATGTCTCTTAATTTTTTTTTAAGTAGATTAATTTAAAAAATGCCTTTCAGGATTATTTATGCATCAGTTTTTATAAATATTACTATTAAATGCAGCAATCATGTTATAATTCATATAATATCGTAATTTATACTGTGGTTTAACTAAGATAAGCTTTTAAAAACTTGAAAATATTCAAGCATAATATGCTTGAGAAATGTAAGATGCTATATAATTATTAGATGCTATAAAGACTTAATCTTGATAATATTTTTACATCTGAAGATTTATATATAACAGCTATATGTTTCTCTATGATATAAACTTATTTTATATATTTACAACTACACTCTCAATTAACGATTTAACGTTACGGTTAACGTTAATTATTCTCTTAAATGAGAAAACTTTTGAGAAATGCTACCACAACCGCTCCGCCGCTCAAAGTTCGTTCCATATACCATATTGTCTGTTAGGAGAAAATATTTTCAGCAGTAATAACGTTTCCATGGCAATAAGAAATAGTTTGCCTAAATAATAATAACTATAAAGAAATGAAGTATATAAGGGTACAATGGAATTGCATTTACACAATGAAGAAAAGTTCCTATTGCAAATTTAATTACAATTTTTTGTATTCTCTAGGAAACAAACATTTTGTTAGTCATATATTCTAATGATCAATATTTTGGAATGAGGAAAACGTCATTCTCTGTAACTTTTTTATGAGGAAATTAATCATTAAAATATTAAACTTTTAATAATTAATACTTTAATATTACAAATATTAAAAGTTTATTAATTTCTTTCTATTAATTAAAAATTTATGTAAATATATAGAAATAAAGACAGAACAACATCAGTATAATTCTCTCATTTAAAAGTGAAGGAGAAGAAAAATATAAAACACATGGATGTAAATTTATATTTTATAACAAGTTTTTCTCAATGTAAAATATTGATGTTAGATGTGAAAAGTCAGAGTGTATGGTACAAGATGAGAACAAGTTACCATGGTAACAATGTTACTGCAAAACATTGACTTTCCATCCGAATGAGTATTTTATACTTGTTCTTGTGTTACGTACATTAATGTATACATATTTAAAATGTATATACATAATGATTTCACTTGCAGAACACAGTAGAAAAAATAGACATAAGCAAGAGTGATCGTAAAAGTTGCTCGTAAAAGCTCCGAAGTACCCAAGTGTTCAATAGGCCATGTGCTATTAGCCGGCAAATATATCTTTTAATTATTTATAATAAATAACCATAGTCGAGATGTAACATTGTCTGACATCTCTTTCTTCCTTTCGAATATTTTGTTCTCCACCTGGAAACATTGTCTCATTGATGAGTTGCATTTCGACTATGTCTACATAAATAAGCGCGTATAATATATACATTATAAAATCATGTTACCCTATAGCTGTATTATACTATGAGGGAAATGTGTATTCAGAGAGACAATGAAAATTTCAGTCGGTTCTCATGTACGTATTCGAAAAGACATGTATTTTCAATGTTAAATCGAGAATGTGCCTACAGAGTTGTCAAGACGCTATTTGAAGATATATATTACGCTCGATAGTGTTTACTGAAATTTATACTATACGTAAAAGAGATACCAATTACGTCCTAAGTTACCCACTGTCAGATTTTTGATAAATACCAAAACTGCTGTATAAACTACCTGTTACCTAAGATTCGCTTTAAATTAAAGCATGCCAGAAATCGTGTGAAAATCGCTACTCACTGCCTCGTACAACTTTGTACGCGTGTTGTTGCTTCCTCCCGGAATTCCCTAAGTAAAACGAGTCTTGTTTATGAAGTCAGGACATTCGTTGTATTGCGGAGAGAGACCGAGAGTGCGTCCAAATGAGAGAACTTTGTAGATAGATTCTCATAAACACGATTGACGTGCTCTCAAGGAAACTTTGGTGCTGATTATTTTGCTATAGGGGAGAAAAATTAGTCTTCTTTATTATTTTAATTATTATTATGTAGAACGTATAGAGATAAATTTCTTATATTTCACACGCTCACTTCTGATGCATTAGCTAAGAAATTAATGTTAATTATAATGTGTGTATGATTTTTTACATGTAAGTGTCATTTTGCGATGATATAGTTTCTCACACAAGAATGCCATTGTTTACGCGTTTTTGTTTATTTTCGCTGACGAATATTCAGTACAAAGGACGCAGACGGTATAACGAGAACTGACATTGTTAGAAATCGATTTGCCGATTCAGCCCTATACTCTATATTTCGATAGAAAAAAATAAGTAACTCAATTTATTAGTTCTATATATACTGCGTAAACGAACATGCATATTTATTTGCAATACGAAATATATTAGTTATATTTAAGAGCCGGAAAATATCATTGAAAATGATATGTAACGAAGTCTAGCCAGAATATAGGCAGAAAAGTGAATGGTTTATGCTTCCAATTAAGATTAAATGTAGACTCTCAAGATTAACTTATCACTGCTATGATTTGTAATCCTCTATAAATCGTATCTATAAATAAATATATAACGATTTGTGAGAGACATCCCTGTAACGCACATGTATATTTATTGTTTTACTTTTTAGTATTATTTATAATATAAGTCGCGAATATAAAATTATTATTGTAAGATTCGATACATCTAACGAATTAATCATTCAGCCTGAAGAAATTTTTGGAAAATATATTCAACAATATATTCTTCAGCAAAAACTATTTTATAGTTTTAGATTTTTGCGGATCATATATTTTCTCCAATTGTTTCAATTTAAACTTACTTTGACAGTAGAAATTTGATATTTAAAATATATATGTACATATTAATTTTAATAATATATAAATTATTAAAAATATTAATATATATATTATTAAAATATTAACATATATTATTAAGATAATATATATGTACAATTTTCGAAAAATATTATGTTAGAAGTATATAAGTTAAGAAGAATTGCTTTATATAATTTATATAAATTTATCTGCGAAGCTGGATGAGAAGTTTTTCTGTGCGACTAAACGAGCGAAGTGAAGCGACTTTTTCTAGCTCTAACTATATATGTCTTACGTCGCTTTCATCGATGTTCTTTACGTCAACAGGTGTACATACGGGGGCGATGCTTAGGTAGTCGCCTACCACGCGAACTGCATATTAAGACGTGTTACATGTACATGCCGTATTTTCAGTCATCGACGTGACAGCATCGGTAGCGAATGACCGTCGAGATTCGCATTAAAAGACTTTCTGGAAATCTTGACCCGACCCAAGGATTTGCGACAATCTTTATGCGAACCAAAGATATTTGTTTATACCAGTGCCGACTCAACGCGTAGTTTCGAACGCAAGATGAATCATCGCAATAATTATCGAGAAACGATGTAACAAGCTGACGATTCAAGAGTGACGCGATTCTGTTGCGGTCTGCCAGATGATCGATCGACCGGATCGAGCGATGCGTCGCGTATCCTGTTGAAATTCAAAATATATCTGAGAAGTGTAATATTTCATCCACTGTTTGGACATTCCGATCATGAATAATTTCTTCGAAACCGACCGGCAAAAGACCTCGCGAGAGATTCAGCAAAGGAGAACCAGAGGAGAACTGAAGAGAGACATGATATTGTGGAGTAAATAATGCAGCGAAGAATCAACCAGAATGAAAGTTTGATAACTGAGATTTTGAAGTAAAAATTCATAAAGTTGGAAAAAGAAAGTGTAGATTTTTATAAAATTAGGATTCTTTGTTGTGTCTACGTAATAAAAAGTACATGATAATGCTTGACACTTCGCTGGATCGATTCTCATCCGGCGTTTGATGACAATAGAATGAAAATGGTGCGGGCAACTCACACGACGAAGGTGAGGTCGGTTTACATGATCGTAATTTTTGCGAGAATAAAGCTATAAAAATGCAAATGTAAAGCTTATTTAAAACAAGTTTTTAATTATTTTTACTCGTTTTTCAATAAATTACACTCTTCAGAGTCTGTTCTCTTGTTCATGCGATACATTAATATTTGTTAATAGCAAAACTTGGAATTATTTTGAATTTGTTTTAATTTTGAGGTCCAAAAAATTTCTAAATTAAATGCGAAGAATTTATTTTGTAAAAATAGGCACATGAAACCTTGACATTTGTAGATATGCTAAAAAACAATGAATCCATTCTCCTCAGCGCGAAACAAAGTTTGCGTTCATAACAGAAATCGTGCGAAAGTAAACGCATTAAATTCATAGTATCATCATAGTCACGTCATAAAATTACTAATATGTTATAAAGCAAAATATTGTCTAGAATATATTTTTCTGTTCATTCTTCAGTGGAGGAGAAAAATAAAAATAGCAAACTTAGAAATAAAATGCATTTTACATTACGTTGCCGCATGTCGATGATTGATGTGTAATATTTTATTAACATTTTTTAATAATAAAAATAATCAAGAAATGTGTCTTGTGTTTATGTTTATGATATGAAATAAAAAAATTTAAATATATATACATATTTTATTTACAATATCATAAACATCCAAAGACACATTTATTCCTTTATGATTATTTCATTTATCCCAAGAATTCTAAGAAAAATGATATGTTACGACTACAAAAAGCGACAAGTCTTTAATATGCGCGCACGAATATGAAGATGTAAATTTATACCCCCTAAAATATGGTCCATTGTAAAGCTGCAGAAGGCTATCTTTATCCATGTCCTCCTCTGAAGACAATTTCGCCGACACACGTGGCCATGCATGTATAATAAAACCCCGATAAATAGAGAATTGAAAATTGCACTGAAAATGCAAACTAGGCAAACGAATATTAATAAAAAGAAGCGTTGTTTAATTAATAATTTCATAAAAAATTATTTTATTTCATAAAATTTTTAAAAATCTCCAAATATAATTAAAATGTGAAGAATTAACGCCTGTTTATTGACATTCGTTTGTGATCGTGCTCCTTCGCTTGGTCCGGATCCAGCTTCACATCTTGAACGAAAACAGTTCAAGAGTGTCTCGACTGTCATCTCTACGTTGCTGATTCAAGACACCGGCACCAAAACTAATCACCATTTTTGGTTCGCCGAGTGGCGCGGGAATGAAAGAGAGAGACAGAAAAGAGCGCGATTTATAGTTTTGGATCGTCGATTTTGGGAGGCGCCGCGACGCCCGTTTCCGGTTGAAAGAGTTGAATCGGAATTATATATTCCAATTCGCTTTTCTCTCGCGCGGTGCAACGACGTACATTAATACGTACGTGGCATCGCACGGAGATATATAACGTTCGCTCGCTCGTGGCTGAGTCGTGCTATTATTAGTCCTCGGTCATCGAAGAGGAACCTCTCTGCGTGCGCGAGCGAAGAGGCGACGACGACGACGACGAAGACGACGACAACGACGCACGTTCGACGCGGAAAAGTCGCCGTGAAAGAGCCTCGCCGCCGGGAAATTCGTCTCTCCGTGCGTGAACTTCTCGTTCCGCATTTCCGGTGCGCGAAAAAACAGCCATTTCCGCAGCATCCGCTCCGTCCTGGACCTTGGAAAGGATGATTCTCGCACGCTTTTCACTGTGAGTGCTTCTCCCACCATCTATCTCCGTTTCTTTGATGCTTTTCGTCCGAAGGCTGAAACACGCATAATTATATAGTCTAGTTTCATTCATTTTTTTAAATATTTTATTTTATATGTATAATATTTAATATAATATTATATATATAATATTTATATTTTAATATATTTATTAATATTTTTATTATAATTAAATAATATTATTATATTATATGTATATAATATTTAATATTATATAATATTATATATATGTGCGGTCGAAAAGTTTGCTCCAAAATTGACGCCTTTCAATTGTCAACGAATAAACGTAGAAAGGTTGTTATGAAGATTAATTAAAGTTAAGTGTAGTTGAACCGATCTTCTCTGTCTCTCTTTCTAATCCCACGTTTAGGAGAGACAGAGAATCAATTGAGAACTCTGACTAATATGTTAGAGAAGAACTTGTGTCTATGATCAGTTTCGAAATATATGTATGTATGTGACGTCGAAAAAAATTTCACAATTCATCGAAATTGTTATCAATTTCCATATCTTTCGCTCATTATGCTTCACTTTGAGCGACATTCTCGCTATTTTTAGTTGTCAAACAATGTTACGCGTGTGACATTAATGATAACAAATTGTGCACGATATACTGTACTTCCTCTAATTTTATCCGAGATTTCTAAAATTACTTTATATTTCGATTTTTTAGAGAGAGAAATATCACAAGTAATTTTGCAAAAATTATATAGATATTGAATAATTAAATAATGCATCTCTTGGAATGAAGGATTCGCGGAATCAATTATGATATATTGATCCACACAGATAAAAACTCATGTAAATTGCATATAATGATGCACATTTTTAATCACGCTTAAAAAAAAGAGAAATAAAATTTAATTTATAAAAATTTAATAATTTTAAATATATTCTTCTTTTAAAATTTTATTTCCGGTTCTTGAATTCTTTCCGCGTTTCCTTCAGAAATGATCTTAATTATTTCTCGTGAAATTTGCACATTTATGAAAAAGATATATGAAATGATTTATGTAAAATGTATAAAGAAACTTGAATGAGATAGGTATCATTTTGAAAAAGATGATGCAAGAGGGACAGTGAAAGAGAGACAAGTTAATTCGAAATTACACGAGTTATTAACTTTTTCGGCTATATCTCCAATTAATGTTCCACAATACGAAACTGTCCATGAGAATAGATTAATGCGTACATTAAACCCACGCTTTTAACGCTATGTGTCCATGATGTGTATCGTTTATGACGTTTATCCCGCGTGCTTCGCGACTTGTTACCATAACGAGTCTCCGCACATTAAGCGCTCATTGCATTTATTGCAATGTGCATTATACAACGAGAAAACATACTTATGTGTGCGCTCTTTGCGGTAGATATTATATACATAGTGTGAATAATGCACATGCAATGTAATGTTTACAAATGTGAGAGGTGAATATGCCAAGATTTCGCTGAATTAGAAGCATTATTTCGAAATTTTCCATTTTGTAATCAAGACATTAGACTTGCCAATGAACAATAAAGACATTTATGACTAAATAGAAGAGGAAAGAATTGTGTTTAGGAAAGGGAACATTTTATTTTTGATAACAGAAAATATGTGCCGCAGAGTTTAATTTGGAAAAATCTTGAAAACGATATATTGAAGAATTTCATGTGCGTTTTTATAATATTGTAACTTTCTACAGTTTCTAAAAAATTTTTCAGAAATAATTTTTATTACTATTGAAGTATTTATTATATTGTAAAATCATGTTCTAATTATGTTACATATATATGTATTGAAACAATAAGATACAACATCCATTGATTGAAAAACATTACATTTCTATTTTAGTTTGACAAGTATATTAGTATGTCTAAAAAAAGATAATTAAAAATTATGTTTAAAATTATAAAAAATAAAATATATATCTATACATATATCTTAATATGCAATATTTATATAATTATGTACAATTTTATTATAAAATCAAAAGTAACATTTCTGCAGCATTCCTACTTTCCTGAATGAATCACCTTTCTTACGTTTTACATTTGCATAAGTAGCAACCGAGTCTGAAAAGTTAATATTAGCCTTCAATATGATACAACGACGCAATTATTTTCAATTATTGTCCCATTGCAACATTGTTCTACAGCGGAAGAAACATTTTTCTCGATCTCAGGCACAATCATTTTCGAAGACAGACATGAATTTCTTTTTTTTCTCTTTTATTACGCTGTGCATTTTTATTCTCTTTAGATGAGGGATGCGGTTTCGCAGAAAGGAAGTACTAACGCAGCTACTCCCAAGCCCAAACCATCCCTACAGATATATCGACCCCCAGGTTCGTGCTTTCTCGCTTTAAATGAACTAAACGTGAATCTAAATGTACTCATTGCACATGGACGTTAACGTTTGATTTCATGGTCGCTTTTATAGGTGGGAGAGCGGAAGGAACCACGGCGAACGTCACTAATCTCCGTTTAAACGTGCACGCCAAGGAATTCACTATGAAGCAGAACGATTCGCATCTTTCTAAGTGAGTGTCAACTATATTTACGTGTGAATTGTTCAGTTTTTTTGGCAGCTTACAGAAAATAAAATAAAATATCAGTATACGCTGGAATTTTTCTTTAGCTTATCATAAAATCAATCATTCGATTTGTTGCTTCGATATGTTGTTAAGCTATATAGTATACAATTCTAAACATTTCAATTAGCTAATATTTAGTAGCAGCAAATTAAACATTTTTTTATTAAGTTATAATTTATATTAATGACGCTAATTTTATATTAATTATACAAATAAAAAAATAATTTTGCAATGAAATAATTATATAATAATTTTTTGTCAATTTGTTTTATTATTACATTATTAAAAATACTAGCAATCATATATTAATATAAAATATTTTTGAATGAAATGATTGGACGAGAAGTCTACAGAATTTAAGATGGGATTCTGAATTTGGATCGATCTTGTAAATAATAATGAATGAACAGGTCTCGAATTAACGCATCCGAGCGATCCACGTATTATCTACAGCACAGCAAGTCGAGTGGTAATATACATCGATATCTCTATGCTCAACAACAGCAACTGCAGCATCCTTTGCAGCAGCACCATCAATTCTCATCTCGTCATTCTCACAATCAGAATAGCCATCACTCGACGACGAATTCCACATTACGTCAGTCTCATCCCTTGGACACGTCCGCGTCCAGCGGAAACATCTTACATGTAAGTAAAATACGAAAATTTAAATTATCATTTAAAATTCGCTTATTTTTTGGACAATTTTTATGATCCCTTAATTATTTTGAGGGGTATATACAATATAATATCTTTATTTTAATATTTTTGAATATAAATTGTAATGAATTAAAACGTCATTTCTTATTCCATCAGACTACGAATAGAGTACACTTCAACGTAGATCAAAACGAAATCAGGACAAATTCCGTAAAACCAGGCAAGCTTACCAAGTCGCACACTTTTGTGTCCACTTATGGTCTAAAGCGTTCCAAGAGCTTGAATACGGACGTATTAGCTGTCAAGGCATTCAATATCGCGGATGCTTCCGAACTTGGAAAATTTCCTTCACCTATTCAAGATATACTCTTGCGAGCGATAGAAGGTAGGTAATGGAATCTATCAATTGTTGATAGAATACATAATAAAAATATCGGCAAATATATAAATCGACTGTGTGGAATTTTTAGTATTAAAAAGTGTTCAGCAATTAAAAATAATAATTTAACACAATTAATAATAATTGATCATTTTCTCGACAGATCCAAATCTTCTAAACGCGAGAACATTGATGGAACTAGTGCGACATATTCTGGAAAGAGCAGTGGCAAATCGCAAATATGCCGAACCGGCAGCTAAAGTTTGCATCACAATTATAGAGGTATACATCTCTTTCATTCTTTTTCCTTTATTGAAAAATTATTGATAGGTGAACATTAATTTGGCTATTAATATATATGCTCTTCTTTTCACAAGAAATAGAGATACGCAAAAATATTTCAAGAGTTAGAACTTTAGTTTACAATTTTTAATAACAGAAATAAATATTATTTTAAAAAATAATCATTGACGCACGATTAAATATTACCATTATTAGTATTTTTATTTTATTTTATTTTCTATTTTATTAAAAAAATTGCAAACAATCTTATTCTCTTTTTTTCTTTTCTCCCTCTTTCAGTAGTATTTAATTTAAATAATAATCTTTTACAATTAATACAATTTATTTATATAATAAGAAATATAATATTTAATTTAAAGTACGTTTTACATATGCAATTGTACAGAAAGAAACGAAGGAAACCTTTTTGGAATCCTTGCTAAATACGTGTCAGCAATGGTATCAGGATCGCGCTAGATTACTATACGATGACATCATCTGTCATCGATTCTCAGCCTTTATGACGTTCCTTAACGAGATGTATTGCCAGGTAATAATTAATTGCACATTATTGTTTATTTACGCATTAAGTCTCCGTAAGAAACGTTTATCGATTCGTTAAGGAATTTATCGTTAACGACAGTCGTTTCGATCTAACGTGTATAATAATTTAACGCCATTTACTTCATATTTGTAAATCTTTTTTTTTTATCGCGTCGTTACGACAGCGGTAAGCACGTTCGATTGTGCCCGCATACATTGTGCATAATCGCATAATTGCAGCTAAAACGACGACAGTTACAACTGAAGACCCAACAAGAGGGCGTTCCTCCCGGACGCGTGCTCCTCACACTGCTTTGGAAATGTTGCCAGGATTGTCTGCTACCGCCCGTCATCAACTCGCTCGCCGAGGTAAGACCTTGAAATTAATCGGCTAATGTCACCAACTCACACCCAAAGTCAATGTTCTGCCGAAAGTGAAAAGACATTTCTCTAACTTGTCAGGCATACGATATATTTCTTCATTTTTTCAATCCAAAAAAAATTAATTTTGATCCTTTGATCATTTCCATCTCTTGCTGCAAGCTTTATTTTCATCCATGGAAATAATTATGTCTTGAGCCTTGAATTGATAAAAAATTCATCAGTCTTTGCTTGAGTTACAAAAATTTGAGTGGAAACATTTCTCTAACTTCAGGCACGATATATTTCTTCATTTCTTTCAATCCAAAAAAAAATTAATTTTGATCCTTTGATCATTTCCATCTCTTGCTGCAAGCTTTATTTTCATCCATAGAATTAATGACGATATGTCTTGGTTCTTGGATTGATGAAAAAATTCATCATCAGTCTTTGCTTGAGTTACAAATTTTAGTGGAAATGCAAAATTATATTTATCTTTCCATCGAACTCTCGAGTTCTCTTGAACGTTTGACACTTGAAAAAGTCATGACAATAGTGGGAGATTAATTGATATCTTTATCCTGGACGCCATAGACGAATTGCCTGTTCGTCATCCTCACGTGCATCGGCAAGGACCTGGACGCGGAGCTGCCCGCGCAGCTGCAGCAGCTGCTCGGCAGCGTCCGCGATGCCTTTTTAGCGGAGGAGACGACGACGCTGCCGCTTGTCAAACGGACGCTTCTACAGCTGATCGAACTCCACGCCGCGCACTGGCAGCTTCCGGCCCCGGCGGTGGTTTACTACTACCCTTCGAACTCGAACTCCAAGTGACCCGATACATATATTGCTCTCTCCGTCCACTCATTGTCAGATTTAGGGATGATTCTTCCACCTTCTTTTAAGATAAGTTCGAAAAAAAGAGAATATCCCAAGTAACAAACTGACGTCACTAAACGTCAAAATAACGTCAGATAATGACGTTTTAGATAAATTCGAAAAAAAGAAAGGAAAATATCTCAAGCAGCAAACTGGCGTTATTAAACATCAAAATGACGTCATTACTTATCTCAAGAAGTTGGAACAACCGGCTCTAAATGATGAAAGGATACGGATGTACATATACATATCTTATGTTTTTTCTACGCTGGAGGGATCGAAATGTCTTTTTTTTCACGAAAATCGCGCTGAGCAAGCGTGTTTTATTACTTGTCGATGCGATATAAAGAAATGCACGAACGAAAGCACGATGTCGATTTATAAACGTTATTTTCTCTTTTTCGAAGAATCGCGAACGAGAGTTCGCGATGATCTCCTTTCTGCGAAACGGAAACTTTTGTTTTTGAGGATTCTGTATGCAGAATGATAATACGAATAAACGAGTTCTTTTGCATAGATCGAAGGATAAATTGTGATAATTAATTTTCAAGGATAAATGTGTGCGATCGAGAAGGAATTCCAGCAAAAGAGAAAAAAAAGAAAAACGCGTTATAATTTATTCAGATGATATTGCATCCGTCGATCCGCCAACAAAGTCGAGGAGTCGACTTTAGACTTGGACTCGCGAGAGAAGAGGGTGAAAGACCTCTGCACTTTTGAAACGACTGAACAAATACTTTTGATCTTCTTTTTTGCTGAAGATTCCTTCTACCGATTCGTGCCAAGGGCGAGAAAAGATCGACCAGTAGTCGAGAACATTAGACGCGATTTCTCTCCGGATTGAGTCATAATATGTCACCATCTTTTGTCTCTCTGACAACAGCATCGTTTAATTAAGCCACGTATAAACGAAAATGAAATCAGGGAACCGAAATATAAATCTACAATTTCGATATAAGAAACCACGAGCGCTCGCTCGCATGCGCTTAATTACGGTACTTATTAATTACGGATCATTATCCAAGACAATGCAATCATCTAGAAATCGTAAAGACGTCTCAAAGACATTCTAATGGTTTCAAGCGCGTTTTAGATATGTTAGAATTTTTTTAATTTCTGTACTCGTTTGGATATTCATCGAGATCAGACAATGTGTTTGTTGTATACATCGTTACACATATGCATATGAAATATGCAAATTATATAACAGAAAACTATGTTGCAAGATGAATTATACGTACATGTAACATATGTATCAATATATTACCCTACCATTTCCGGACTCCGCTATTTATCGGCTCATCAAGCGATACGTAAGAACGCGTTATTATATAGTGACACGGATTTTTCTCCTCATTCCCGCCTCTGAAAAGGAAGAAGTCATTAGAGAAAACGAGTCTCGATTATATATACACGTCCCATCTCTATCGTGTGCATCGGTCTTCTGCCCATCCGACGACCTTGGAACGACCAGCGGGGACTCGAGAGAGGTTTCGCCTTGGGTAATCGGTGCCGCGGACTTCGAAAACTAGGCCTGCGCCCGCGATGACGTCGCCGCGTCGCATCGCACAAGTCTTTGCGTATATGTATATGCGTACCCTTCTACAGAGGTACCGAGAGCAGTGGTTTTTCAACCGGTATACGTGAAACTGCAACTGTATCTCGGTATTCTTCTGAAAATGTCATTCCCACGAGCCGACTCGACTACAAAAGCCACCTAAATCTACAAATCTATCCTTCTGAAGACCTTTCGCGGCTAATTTCGACAGTCCACGGGAATTGGTGCTAAAAGAGAGATTCCTTTTGTTCATTGCGACAGTTTTGAATTCGAGGCATCATTCGATCCTTAATACCAATCGATCGATGTTAGAAACCCATGTCCCATTCAACCGAGGTGTCAGAAGATGTCCCGTCTATTTTCCATTTTCTCTTTTGCAAAAAAAAAAAAAAAAAAAAAAAAGCGATTGAAGAACACTGACGTAGAGGCCGACGACGTCGTATAGACCGGAGAGGAGACGTCGAGGGGACGAGGTACGGAAAGAAGGAGAAGGAGGTGCAGACGGAGGTGCGCGCGGTAACGAAACAAATAGGCCGGCGACTTTCACCAAGCCGCGACCAAGAGCGACCGTGTGCTGGCGGAGGCGCGCTCGCAGTCAGACCCAACAGTCAGGAGAGGCGACCGACTGTTCTCGGAGGCCCCTCTTCGTCGATCGATCGCGTCCTCCATCGGCGCTTCTCGCGGCCCGATTTTCCAGATCTCTACCGCAAAGTATTATAGTGTGCCTGGGCCGATCGTTCGGTGGAGAAAGGTCAACTAGCACTGGAGACCCCCTTTCGTGATCGGTATATCTGGGGTAGCTGAAAGTGACACTTTGGGTCTCGATCAGGTGGTACCAATTCGCACTTTAGTCACCTCCAGCCTCCGAAGCGCCTTCGGAGAGCAATCCCAGATTTTGTATGGCGGTCAGTGCACTCTCTTGCTCATCCTGTTGACGGACGGTACCAGCGAAATGTGTCTCCGAGGATATCATTGAGTTGGGGTGAACGAAGAAGCTACGTGGCAGAGAAATGCGTAGGGGGCGTAGATCCGAGGGCGAGACCAAGTGATCACTTCAAGATGACGAGACGACGACGGTCGGTCCGTGGTAGCCTGCCTCTCCGCGCGATCATTTGGACACTTTGGATCGTGTTACCTGCTGGAACCGGTAGGTGCAATTTGTCCCACACCTGGCGCGCGCAGTCGTAAGTTTCGCGACTTGGAAAAAGAGGAGTTGAAGATCTCCAGACTAGAAGCGACTAGAATTTGTATTTCACATGTTTTTACTCTTTGCGGGATAACGCCATATCGTATATTTTTAATAGACTGATATTAAAAAATGAGTTTTAGAATCAATTAGATTTATTATTCTATAATAGAAAAATGAAATCGAATTATCTGATTATTTATATTTAAATAATACAAATTTTTAATTTAATAATGAAATTAATAATATTTATAATTTCCTATCGTCGGGTATTTTTATTACCCCTAACTATATTTTGCGAAACGGATTTGCTCTTTTAACAATTACAGAATCGAGAAGCCGGATTTTATATTCCGACCTTTTCTATGCCCTTTGTAGACGATCGTTAACTCTTTTACGATCAATCGTGAAGTGTCGATCTGGCAATCGATAGGCCTTCTGTCAGATAGCGATATTGCAAAACTTCAATTTTTATGAATGCAACGAATTTACCCACTTACATAAAAAATACTATTTTAGATGCGGGACATAATTATGCGGATAACAAACAGAGGTACGATGGATTTTACAACAATTTAGCACATCCTGATTGGGGAGCAATCGGCAAGTACTCGAAATCGCAAATTGAAATTCAAATCTTCACTCTTTTGTCAGGATTCCAGCTTTCTTATAAAATCCAGAAAAGCTTATTTTTCTCATTAAATAAATTATAAAAATGAGCCAAAAAGAACAGTTTAACAAAGTCATTCGAATTTTATTTTACTTAATTTTCTGTTGATTCCTGACAAAACTACAAATATAAAAAATTAATTAATAAAATTAATTAATGAAAATAAATAAATAAAATTGAAACATTAACACGACTCACACGCATACGACTCACCATAGACAGTAAGCTCATCCGTAAAGTCCCTGCGGCGTATTCTGACGGTGTTTACGCGATGGCTGGCCAAGACAGACCATCCCCTCGAAAGCTCAGCGATCTGTTCATGCAGGGTGACGATGGTCTGCCGTCTGTGAAAAATCGGACCGCATTATTCGCCTTTTTCGGTGAGGATAATTACTATATGCCTATTATCTAGTAGAATACACAGGGTATAGGGAGACCGCAAACAAGCCTTGAGTTCAAATGGCTTTTCTATTTTTGTCTGTATATATAGAGACAGAAGGGAGAGTATAAATTTTAAATTGAAATCTGATTGGAATATGATCCTGAATTAATTTTTTTATATTAGTTACTTCCTTCTTCGATGTATTTATTTGTTTGAACAAGAACTTTGTAGCTTTTTGTGTCTTTCTATTTAAAATCTATGTACAAAACTCTTTTATTTCTACACATAATTACTTACTTAAACGTAATTATCTGCAAAATTTATATGCATACGATATTTAGAATAATTTTTAATAAGAATATAAATTGTTAAAATTTTTATTAGATTTTAATTACAAGAGATATATAGTAATTTGTAATATACAATATAGGAAATATCGCCAGTATATAGCATATATTTAAAATTTCCGTAAGACATGTAATAGATTGTTGTTAATAATTATAATTATAGGCGTATTTTAATGTAATTTTATCTATAATATACTATTATTATGTATAATTTGCAACGTAATATTTCATACATAATTTCCTCGATCTGTCATATGTCTGAAAGCACACATTTAATTGTCTACGTCGGTCGGTGCTTCGTGGCTCGTCACGAATGCATAAGCCAATTTAATCTCGAGTGAGCTCTGTTTAAGTTGAAACCAGCAGAAATAAATGACTGAAATGATCGAACTCCAATATTTCATAGCGTGCGTAGAGCTTCTTGCTTTGGAAACTTTCGCGTCATTATCAAAGTGGCAAATCTTTTCAGGACAGCTGGTCACGTCGGAGATAATCATGGCCAGCGAAAGTGGTTGCCCCATAGAATTTCATCGGATCGATGTGGACAAATGCGATCCGGTTTTTGACAAGGAGTGCCAAGGTAACAAGTACATTCCATTCCTTCGAGCGGATTACGACCGTCAAACCGGACGCAGCCCCAACAGTCCACGTGAACAGGTAATTCCCAGTTTTCTCGGGTCAATTTTTACGGAGAATAACTCTTACACTTCCGGAGGTGACCTCGACTCCGTTCGACTTTCACCGCTAGAAATAATGATGCAGAGACACCGAATATGTCTCGAAATTATTACCCCGTGCGACTAGTCACGTTCACGTGCATTCACGAGTTTCCAATTCCTTGTAATATAGTCACTTTGCTCCTCCGTTGAAAGCTCTTGTATACATGTATTATTACGCGATCGGCGAAATCGAAGGCCAATTCTTCGAGAAACAGAGTCGTGAGAAGTAGCTCTGAATACGTGAGGTTGCAGATAAATAAAGTGACGAGCTGGATCGACGGTAGCTTCGTCTATTCGAGCAGCGAGGCCTGGGCGAACACGATGCGGGCATTCAAGAACGGGAGTCTTCTCATGGAACAGACGAGGCAATTTCCTGTAAGGAACACCATGCGTGCGCCCCTCTTTAACCACGCGGTGCCTCATGTCATGCGAATGCTCAGCCCGGAGCGTCTGTATCGTAAGCGCGAGAATTATATACTTATAAGCATACATTAATTTTTAAGTAGTTCGCACTTTCTCAACAATTCTTTTTAACCTCTTCCTCTGCCTGCTATTTAATATAGAGCTTCTTCAAAATTCAGACGTCGTGGATTTAACCTTCTTTTGATATTAAGATTAGGATACACCAATTTTTAATAAAGAGAGAGACAGAGTTTCTGCTTCTATTATCTATTAATAATTAAGACGTAGCTTGTGAAAATTCAATTGTTCAATATTCAGAAAAAATTCCTGTATTTTTATCTCGATTTAATCATCCCAGTCTCTTCCTCTGCCTGCTATTCAATAACATATGAGGAATTTTTTAATAAAATATTTTCTTAATGAAAATTCGGATGCTGTGTAGCCTTGATTATTTTTTTATATTAAACATCTAGATTAAAATATAAAAATTGTTAATAAAGAGCACGATGCTTAAGCGCGCTTCTATTGTCTATTAATAATTAAGACTTAGCTTACGAAAATTTAATTGCTTAATATCTAGAAAAAATTCCTGTATTTTTCTCGATTTAACTATGTAAAATAAGGGAACGAATCTATGTGACTATTCGATATAAATTATATTGATCATTTGCTTGAACAGTAGCTTTTCCTGAAATGTGTCAGGGAAAAATCCGCCCTAATTCAAAACATCCGAGACTTACGTAATATTTGGATCTTCTCACTTTCTGATTAAGAATAAAATTATCTGATAGCTGTATGGAGAACGTGATTACGGTCTTTTTTGCATTGCCTTATAATTATTACATCGATCGTACGCGGGCTTCGTGCTCACTCTATTATAACGCGTTTTAACTTTCCCTTAGCAATTAATTTTCTGATTCTTGCGAAAGTTCTTAACAATTAATTGTGTTGCGCAGTGCTCGGAGATCCAAGAACGAATCAGCACCCGCCGCTATTGGCTCTGGGAATCTTGTTCTATCGGTACCACAATGTCATAGCCGTTCACGTGCAGAGGGAACATCCCAACATGTCCGACGAAGAGGTCTTTCAAAAAACGCGTCGGATAGTCATCGGGACAATTCAGGTGGATAAAATTCAAGTGGATTAAATTTAACCAGCAGAAAAAGTTACGCCTATGAAAACGAAATAAGTTTTATATAATTGAAGATATATGCATAATAAATGAGCTTTCGCGAATGAATATATATGTATATATAAATCTCTTTATTGAACTGTCTGTCGAATTGTAGCGTCGAATTTACATAATGATATTTCGCGCTTACGTAAGACTTATTTCTTGCATGTGAAGTTTTTCGACCTTCTTGCAGAACATAATTCTTTACGAGTATCTTCCGGCATTGCTAAATGAAGATTTACCATCGTACAGCGGTTATAAACCAGATCTACATCCGGGTATTAGTCACATATTCCAAAGTGCAGCTTTTCGCTTTGGTCATACTCTTATACCACCGGGAATATATCGGCGAGATGAAAAATGTGAATACAGAAGGACCAATACAGGCCAGCCAGCCATTAGATTATGTTCTACATGGTGGGACTCAAATGTGAGTTTGACGATAACAGATTTACTGGAAATTTTATATATATATTTTATGTTTGATAATTATTAATCGTACTTAAGTAAACTTCAAGTGCCTAATAAATTAAAATAATTGGAAAAAACTCAAGATAATTTAAATTGGATCCAAGCTTAATTATCGAGCTGTTTAACATTAAATTTAAAAAATTATAGTAAAGAATAATTTTTCTCTAAATTATTCTTGACAATTTTCTACTGAAGAAAAATTAAAAAATAAATTTCAAGGAACATCCTGTATGTAACCTAGTTATTACATCAAACTCTTATGATCACTTTAAGACGTAGGATGCTTTTTTACATATGTATATTTTATGTTTGATAATCATTAATCATTCTTAATTAAATCTGGATCTTCATAAGTGTCTAATAAATTAAAATAATTTGAAAAAACACTCACAATAATTTAAATTGGATCCAAGCTTAATTATCGAGCTGTTTAACATTAAATTAAAATAATTGGAAAAAACTCAAGATAATTTAAATTGGATCCAAGCTTAATTATCGAGCTGTTTAACATTAAATTTAAAAAATTATAGTAAAGAATAATTTTTCTCTAAATTATTCTTGAAAATTTTCTACTGAAGAAAAATTAAAAAATAAATTAAAAAATTAAAAAATAAATTAAAAAATAAATTACAAAATTATAGTAAAGAATCGGGTGGTTTTCGCAGGAAGTTTTAGCTAACAGCACGATCGAAGAACTGATCATGGGTATGGCATCGCAATTGGCGGAGAAAGAGGACAATCTTCTCAGTACCGACATCCGGAACAATCTGTTCGGTCCCATGGAGTTCTCACGCAGGGACCTGGGTGCCCTAAACATCATGCGGGGTCGGGACAACGGTCTGCCGGATTATAACACAGCCAGGGTGCACTTCAAGCTGCCCAGACGGAAAACGTGGAACGAAATTAATCCCGAGTTGTTCAACAAGAATCCGTCGCTGCTGCGGACCCTCGTCGAGATCTACTCGAACAATCTCAACAACGTCGACGTCTACGTCGGCGGGATGCTCGAGTCCAAGGGTGGACCTGGTGAGCTTTTCACCGCGGTTATAAAGGAGCAATTTCTCCGTTTGCGGGATTCCGATCGCTTCTGGTTCGAGAATGAAGAAAATGGGTGAGCGAGTTACTTCCTTTTAGCGAGAAATGAACTTAGTTATGTTTGTTATTTTCTCTCCCTCATTGCATATGATCTTCTTTATTAGAGTTTTTACGAAAAACGAGATACAGGACATCCGTCGTACCACGCTCTGGGATGTGGTCACAAACGCGACTGACATATCTTTCAACGCGATACAGAAACAAGTATTCATTTGGCAGGACGGCGATCCGTGTCCTCAACCCTTTCAGTTGAATTCGACGATGCTCGAACCCTGTGTACCCCTGCAACGTTATGATTATTTTGAGGTAATTAAATTCAAAAAATATACAGATAAAAATTCATTTTTTATCTGTTCTCTCTAATAAGAAAGGATCATTTCAAAAACGAGACAAAGGAGATGGCTACTTTCTTATTTGAAAAAATTATTAAATACTGCCAATTTCTGAAAAGGAAAGAGACGATTCATGTTATTGGTAACTATTTTTTTAATGTACCAAATTTTTGAAAAAAAATTATTTTAAATAAGAAAGGATAATTTCAAAAACGAGACCAAAAAGATAGCTACTTTCTTATTCAAAAAAAATTATTAATGACTGCCAATAATTTCTGAAAAGGAAAAGACGATTCATATAATTGGTAAATATTTTCTTTAATATATCAAATTTTTTTGAAAAATAATTAATGTAAGTTTTGCAAAAAATACATATTATAGGGTAGCGAACTCGTTTACATCTATGCTTGCGTATTCCTCGGATTCGTCCCGATTCTTTGCGCCGGTGCTGGATACGGATTAGTGAAGTTGCAAAACAGACGTCGTCGGAGATTGAAAATACTTCAAGAGGCTATTCAGAAGCGAAGCGACGGTCGGATCTGTGTCGATAAGATGATTGTACGCGAGTGGTTACACGCGAACCATCGCCGTCTCGTGAAGGTGAAATTCGGACCGGAAGCGGCATTGCACATCGTCGATCGAAAAGGGGAGAAACTGCGCACGTTCGACTTCAGCGGCGTTAACACGATAACTATGGAGGAATCGCAGGTATTCTTTACAATTCTTTTTTTTTACAGAGATATATTATATTTTTCAATATCCATTTTGTAACATTCAAAACTTATATTATGTATATTATGTCAGATATTTTTAAATTAATTTATCAATTAATTTAAAATTATCTTTATTATCTATATTAATATTATCTATAATTAAATGTTTATTTTTAAAGCGCTTTAAAAGAATTTGAATGAGATATAACTATGTTATATTAAAAAAATTAAGCTAATGTAAAAAGATAGGAATAATCTAAAATAATTTTAACGAAGGAAAAGATTATATTTAAAAAACCAAAGTTTATTGAAAAATATTTATGAATATCAATGACGACTATGAAATGACGTAACTATATGTAAATGATGTAATGATTAAAAATCGCACAGATATAATTGCGTTTGATGAAGTATTTGCAAATTACATTGCAACTTCTCTACGCTTTATTGAATAACTTATACTCTTTAATGTCACATCGGCGCACCTGGTTAATTATTAATCGCGGTTTCAGGAGAGCGAAACCGGACATCGTAAAGCCCTAGTGCTATTACGTATACCGCGCGATTACGACCTTGTCCTTGAACTCGATTCGCTGGCTTCGCGTAGAAAGTTCATTGCGAAATTGGAGGCGTTTCTGGCGTCACAAAAAAAGCATTTCACACTTACGCCAATCGCGCGAGATATCATGCTGGCAAAAGCGGAAACCAAGGAGCGCCGACAAAAAAAGCTTGAACAGGTTTGCGTCTCACTTTTACACATGTTGCATATTTATGAATAAATCGAAAGCTAAATTAATGAAAAAAATGCCCTTTATTTAAAAGGACATCAATAATATTTTTTAGAAAATTAAAAGATAATCGCGCATATGAAGATAGTGCTTAAAAGTATTTAAAATAAATTTAAATGTTTCTAGTTCTTCAGAGAAGCCTATGCTCTGACTTTCGGCTTACGACCTGGCGAACGAAGACGACGATCCGAAGACAGCGATACCGGAGAAGTCGTCACTGTGATGCGCACGTCGCTCTCCAAGAGCGAATTTGCAAGTGCTCTAGGTATGAGACCCGATGCAGTCTTCGTGAAAAAGATGTTCAACATCGTCGACAAAGACGGCGACGGCCGGATTTCCTTCCAGGTATACCATCGAATCGCGTTGATTTAACTGAGACTGCTTTTTACGTCATCTCGCACTCTTATTTGATGAGTTTCCTCTTCAGTCGAGTCGTCATCAGCGAAACTCAAATTCCAGGAATTCTTGGACACGGTCCTGCTGTTCTCGAGTGGCAAAACTGAGGACAAATTGCGGATTATTTTCGACATGTGCGACAAAGACAGCAACGGCGTAATCGACAAGGAAGAACTGTCAGAGATGTTAAGATCGCTGGTCGAAATAGCGAGAACCACGAGTCTCTCGGACGATCACGTTACGGAACTAATCGACGGCATGTTTCAGGTGCGTCTTACTTATCTTCATCGCATACTGCGGGGTGTCCCATAGAAAATTGCTTTTTTCATTACCTACTTTTTTCAATAAAATAAACTGGTATACAAACATTTTATTTATATCCACTATAAACTGCAGACTTTCCTCTTTTAATATAATTTTTGTTTTCTCAATAACTACATGCATTAAAAAATGACAGCTGATTAGTTTCAGCAATTTCCTGGGACATTCTGTAGATTCGCAGAACTGTTTCAAAATGCCTATCATCAACACTTTTGTCTATTGAATTTTTCATTCATCAGGATGCCGGACTCGAGCGGAAGGATTATCTCACGTACAACGACTTCAAGCTGATGATGAAGGAGTACAAGGGTGACTTCGTCGCGATCGGTCTCGATTGCAAAGGCGCCAAACAAAATTTTCTCGACACCTCGACGAACGTCGCTCGTATGACCAGCTTCCACATCGACCAGCTACCACTAGAGGATTCAAAGAGCTGGACACGGAAGCAGTGGGACGCTATATCGACCTTCCTCGAGGAGAACAGGCAGAATATATTCTACCTCTTCGTGTTTTACGTAGTTACTGTGGCTCTTTTCATCGAAAGATTTATCCGTGAGTGTCGAATTCTGAATTATTTACGTTAACTCATCGTTAGACCATGAAAAAAGCTATGATTTATCGAAAGTAGAGATTTCAAGCTTTAAAATCCTTTTTTAAAATTTAAGTCATCATTTTTCGTAACAAAGTTACTGCTACTTAAAAATTGTCTATTTTTGTACAATTTTTTTATCCCTTAATTATTTTGAGGAGTATATTTAAAAAATGAAAATAGCAAAAAAATTAAATTTAAAATATAATTAAGAGAGAACAACAAAGAAGAAAAGAAATTTTAATCATGCCTTCTCCTGGAAAAATCCTGCGGACGTTTACGTTAGACAGATTTTTAAGATTAATTGTCTGTAAATATTTGTTGTCTGTAGATATTTTGTATCGTCATAAAATTTCTCGCAGATTACTCATTCATGACGGAACACACGGATCTGAGGCATATAATGGGCGTAGGAATTGCCATAACGAGAGGATCAGCTGCAGCTCTATCCTTTTGCTACAGCCTCCTGCTGCTGACGATGTCGCGTAATTTATTAACGAAACTGAAGGAATTTTCGATCCAGCAGTACATCCCCCTAGACTCGCACATACAATTCCATAAGATCGCGGCGTGCACGGCACTTTTCTTCTCCGTCTTGCACACGGTCGGTCATATAGTCAATTTTTATCACGTTTCCACGCAGCCGATAGCGCATCTTCGCTGTCTCACCAGCGAGATCAGCTTCCCCAGCGATGCGCGGCCTACCATCTCCTTTTGGCTGTTCAGAACAGTGACTGGTGAGTGTCTTTGATTTGGTCATTTTATTCGTTCACTGAAAAAAAATTAATTTGACTAAACCTTTCAACTAAATCACGATTTTATTAATTGAACATATCCTAGACAGCACCAAGTCCAAAATTGGCTCATAAGATATCATTAAGAAATCTTTAAGACGGCTTTATATAAGAAATTTTATGATATGATATCCAAAAGACATCTTAAAGATATCTTATGCGCCTTTAATATATTACATTTTTTATGTGCAATTAACACAATAATATTTAGCTGAAAATTTCAGTTAACAAATTTGTTCAGTGTTCTTGAAGCGTACATCGCGCTTGAATCTTAATTAATGACTCTCTTCTCACGCAGGTTTAAGCGGCATTCTTCTCTTCATCGTCATGACGATTATCTTTGTCTTCGCACATCCGACCATTCGACAAAAAGCCTACAAATTCTTTTGGTCGACGCACAGTCTCTATGTGGTCCTATACGCATTGTGTCTGATCCATGGTCTGGCTCGTTTGACAGGCGCACCACGATTCTGGATATTCTTCGTCGGCCCGGCGATCATTTACGCGCTGGATAAAGTAATTTTTTTTATTTACATTTTTTTCAAAGTAGGAAGAGAGATAATAACGCGCGATGGGAAGAAAAAAATAGCTTACATTTATTGTGAATTTGCATGATGTTACACATAATTATAAAAACCTATTAATTATGCATGCATCAACTGATGTTGCAAATCTTGTATATTAAGTATATTATCACGCACGTTTAAAATATACACGTGCAAAAATAGGAAGAGAGATAACAACGCACGATGAAGAGAAAAAATAGCCTCCAATTCATACATTTGCGTATACAATCACTTACTCGTGATGTTCCACATAATTATAAAAACTTATTAATTATGCTTGCATGCATCAACTGATGTAGCAAATCCTGCACATTGAGTTTTGTACAATTGCTATTCGAAGTAACTCGATATCCATGAAATACGATGAAAAATAATGCGACAGAATTGAAAGAATCGTTTTTTGCCTATCAGGTCGTGAGCTTGCGAACTAAATACATGGCCCTCGACATCATCGAGACGGAATTGTTACCCTCGGACGTGATAAAGATCAAGTTCTACAGACCTCCGAACTTGAAGTACTTATCGGGACAGTGGGTACGTCTCGCCTGCACCGCTTTCAGGTCCAACGAGTTTCATTCCTTCACCCTGACCTCGGCACCGCACGAGAATTTTCTGTCGTGCCATATAAAAGCGCAGGGCCCGTGGACGTGGAAGCTGCGGAATTATTTTGATCCCTGCAATTACAGTCCGGAGGACGAGCGTCCGAAGATCCGCATCGAGGGCCCGTTTGGCGGCGGAAACCAAGATTGGTACAAGTTCGAGGTCGCGGTGATGGTCGGGGGTGGCATTGGAGTCACCCCCTACGCCTCGATGCTCAACGACCTTGTGTTTGGAACGTCCACCAACAGATATTCGGGGGTGGCGTGTAAGAAGGTGAGTTAAAGAGGATCGTATTCTGCAAATAAATTCGAAATTTCAGATTTTTTTATTATATTTAGGAAAATAATTTTTATGTTTTTCTATTATTTTTCTCCCTAAAAAATTTCACGGTAAAGTTGATGCAATAATGATTTTATTCTAATCAAATGGAAAATGTTTTTTTTAATTTATCAGACAGTAAACGCGATGGCTTATCTTCTTTTTATTTGATAGGTCTATTTTCTATGGATTTGCCCGTCGCACAAGCATTTCGAGTGGTTCATTGACGTTCTCAGAGATGTTGAGAGAAAAGATGTTACAGACGTACTTGAAATTCATATATTCATTACGCAATTCTTTCACAAGTTCGACTTGCGTACTACTATGCTGGTATAAATAAAGTTATTTCGACATTCTTATACGATATTCAAGCATGAAGAAGAAAAAGAAAGTTCCTGCTAATTTTTTATTACTTGTCTATTAATTACATTCTATTTCACATATGTAGTACATATGTGAGAATCATTTTCAGAGGCTATCGAAGAAGAGTATATTTACCGGACTCAAGGCCATAAATCACTTCGGTCGGCCAGACATGACGTCGTTCCTGAAATTTGTTCAGAAGAAACACAGCTACGTACGTGTTCACAATTAAACAAAATTATTTAAAAAATGTAATTAATTTAAAAAAGTATACTTAAAATAAATGAGATTTTGTATTGATTTACAGGTTAGTAAAATAGGAGTATTTAGCTGTGGACCACGTCCTCTGACGAAAAGCGTCATGTCGGCCTGCGACGAAGTTAACAAAACTCGGCGCTTGCCGTATTTTATTCATCACTTCGAAAACTTTGGCTAGTCAAGGTATATCGCTGCCCCCGTTCGCGTGAAATATTGAATGGACTGTCCATATAATTCGACAATATTTCGCGCGGATCTCGTCTATTTTATAAAATGTACATATTTATGCGCTAAAACGCGCCGCTTTTTATTATTTATGAATTAATATGCGAGTAATATTACATCTCTTATTTATGAACAAGAAAAAGAAGATAGATATCCTTTCCTTCCCTATTTTCTTTTCTTGAAACTATTCCGAAGAATTTAATTTATCTTGCAAATTTTTTATAATTTATTAAAATATAAAAATTTATCTTTGTATTCGTAATACTGTTATACTCTTTGGATCTCTTATAAGTAACTCTCTCACAAATCGATGTTTCTTTTTTTTTATTATAAATAATATATTATTAAAAAATACGCTATATAAAATAAATTGAAACATTAATGGCGTTTCGGAAAGTCGACGAATGTTATCTATGAAGCTATCTAAAATGTTCGGGAAATATATCAGCCATTTACGGTTCTGCGGGAAGTTGGCGGAAACGGATACGACCAATTACTAGTACTCTTGTTAGGTTCATCCCCAATTTCTTGCGGGAATTCGGACGGCTCGTGTGACGTATATCCTCGATTAATGACACCCTCAGTGTCCTCCTTAGCATGTCTATTCTGAAGCTTGGATGATAGTTGACTGAAATATTTTCATAGTTATAGAATGCATATAATTATACAGGATGTATCTAAAGAAATGCGAAAAATGTTAGATTTTTTAATTTGTCAAAAAGATTTGAGAAAAATATTTAAATTATTTATATAAGAAACCCTCTTCATTTTCGACAAAGAACCATCTCTTAAAATTATTCGCACTTATTTAGATCCATCCTGTATAAGGAAAAAGGTAATTTAATGACCTTAATAGGCTTTCAATGTGAAGTCATATTTAAGATTCAATTCTGGTTCCTACTCGCTGCAGAAATTGAAAGCTAATTCAGTGAATTTGATCGCAATCACCTCATTATTCGATCGCCGAACGAATCCTCGATCTTGGGAACTTTCCGCCTGACGTTGCGCGTATCAAAGCTCTCCTCTATAATGACATGCCTATCGTACGGCGTGTCATAGTCAACTTCGAGTATAGTCGAGAATTGATGAGGAAAGATCATATCTATAGCTGTTATCACGAGTCCTGCCAAGAGACATGCGGCACCTATCAAACAAAAATTATTATATCGCCATGATGTATCCGCATACGTAGTATACAGAGTGTCAGAAAATTAGTAAACTTGTTAATGGCAGATTCCTGGGATCATTTGGAGCCGATTTTTCCTCAGCGAAAATGTCGAGGGAGGCCATCATTTTTTGCATGTTCCTCATTTTTGTTATCATGTATCTTCGTAATGAAACTAAACCTTAAATTAAAATTTCATTTTAATTAACTCTACATAAAATTAATAAAAAAATGTGATTTTATTAATATTTTATTTCCACATAGCTTTGCGAAAACCCCCTTATTTTCAATCGCTTAAATAACTCGAAAATTATTGATGTCTCGACATTTTCGTTGAGGAAAAATCGTCTCCAAATTATCCCAGGAATCTGTCATTAACAGGTTTACTACTCTGGGACCCCCTGTAGAATTACGATTAAATATTTCACGAACCGGCCGACAGCACCAGCCAGTAATTCCAACCGAAATTGAAGGAGAGGATCGAGCCGTCTATATGAGCTATCAGAGGTTCACATGGTAGAAGAGCCGAGTAAATCAAGTTCGTTAACAACATACACAGCCCCGTGAAAATCATACCGTAGCCCCATATCGCGGCACCACCATGAGCAACAGGTTCATCATCAGCCACGAAGCGAAGGAGGTCCTGCGGAAGAGATTTATCAGTCACGATTCAAAATAATCCTTAGTTTACGAAAGAAAATTCGATCGATTTGTAGGCGAGAAAGCGCGACACTTCATCATCGAAGAGATATAATATACCAAAGCATTATGGAAGCGTAATATCCAGCTTCGCGATATCGCGAGCCCCAGGAGAGCCTTCCTGGTGGAGGCTAAGTACTCCGCCAAGAGACAATGGAAATGGGGCACCCTGATAAAGGGCCTGCTTGAAGGCGCTGGTCATTTCGCCGGAACTTCGCCACCAAAGCGTTCATTGTATTCGATATCGCTGTTCGTCTGCTCGCTTTCTGGCAGTACTGCAAGGATATATCAAGATTAGTTTACGCAAATATAGATCCCTAACAGTAACAATATACCGAAGATGTTCAGAGAACATCTTGAGGATGTTGGAATGTCCTCTAGATATTCTGTGGATATCCTCTGAATGTCTTTCGGATATGGTGTGCTATTAGGGATGTAAATACACGTTATATAAATTGATCCGAAACACTCAATTAATTTTAGAGATTAAAAATTGAACCTCAACATTGTTACATATAATTAAAATATCTGAATCTACAAAAATGCGTGTAAAAATTGATACGAAAAATCGCGGATTATTTCCACGTTGAAACTTACGCTTGTACGTTATATTGATGTGCATTAAACCAATGTAACCGCCGATATCGGCCATCGCCTTGTGACTGGAGAAAGCGCTATAGGAGCTAACAATGGTGGCGGTGCTCGTATGCCAGGATGAACCATATTGCGCCACTACATATGCATACACATGTATATATATAGAGAGAAAATACGATGATTATTTTTTTTCCACTTATTCGCTACATTTACTAGCGTCTATAATGTATTATAATTGTATCAATAAGATTTGTGATTTCATCCGACTACTTGACACAATTGGAAAAGCATCTCTAGTGGATTATTGCATTGTGAAACTCTACGAGCTCACACAGTGGCGTAACTAATATTCGGTTCCACTTTAAACAATGTAATAAGAAATTACAATTAATAAACAAAATTTAATATACAATTAATAAATAATTTTATAAAAAACCTATACACGCGAGAAAATGAAACATAAATAGGTAATATTATTTGCTGCAAAATGTGCCGATGACGAATTCGAAACTCTTTGATTATTCTTATTAATTTCCTCCTCGACCTTCGTCTTCTCTTTGCTTTTCACTCCTCCTTTTTCTCAGACCTCGCTGAAGAACCTGCGATTCAAGCTCCGCGAAGCCGTTAGTTACGCCACTGGCAGTCAAGGCCTCTCGACTTGGAAAGTAGACAAAGTGCACGAACCTTGAATCGTCGCACCCACGAAGAGGCTCATGGTAACCGTGAGAAATGTGGTTAACCGCTACGGCGAAGAAACATCAGGTTTACTACACGCGGCCATAACTCGTAATTGATTTGACTGTCGGTCTACGATCTGACACGACGTATACAAAAGCGGAAAGACTCTGCTCACCTCTTTCCTGACACCCGGGAATATGACTAGGAAGGCCGTGAACAGGGTACCGAATATTACGAACACGATGACCAGGGGCACGTCACCTGTCACAGGAGTGCGATTGCTGTAGCTGTAGAGAGTCGGGCCGCCATCGCTGCGAAAGGCGTCGAACCATCCCTTCATCCTTTGTATTTAATTCCGGCTCACCGGAATCTAACGCAATCAAACGCAAAGTTTGAAATTTTTTCCGGAAGAAATAAATTAGATTACGATATCAAATCGATAATTCCTTTGCTTGTTTCTGAAGAAAATACTGATTAAATATCCAGAAGAGCAAATGAAAACTTTCTACTCTTCCAGACATCCTATATATTTACTTGAATATTATTTTCTCATCATTCAGGAAGTATCAATTTACTTTCGCGCATATTATTGAAGGCAAAATAAAAATTCGAACACAGTTGTCTCGATATGTTGTTGTATGGAATCGCGATTTCGCAGCCATTATGACCTAAAAGTGAACGTGTTTCGCGCCGGCCTTGATATACACGTCTTGAATTCAACAGGCTTTACCTTTGAGGAAATGATCAACGAGCTACCAGCAAGCCACTCAAGGTCAAAGTTGTCGAAGTTGCTTGCGAATTTCGACATGCGTCAAAAACGCGCTCGCGCACCGCGCGACATTTAGGACCCGAAGACGGCGAGGATACTGAGGCCCCGAGTACGTTAACAGGCTTGGAAAGCGGTTTCCACCACAACGGACGCGGACGACCTCGTGTATTACCTTGGTGAGAGAGAGAAAGAGGATGCCGCGGGTGGGGTTGTCATCGGTGCTGGAGAACGAGAGAGAAAGGTAAGGCAGACAGAGAGCTCAACGAGAAAGCTACGTCGGATATCAGCTGATCCAATTCTTCTACCGATTGCTCCGAACTGACTTCTGTTGCTCACGCAGCTGTTCACGCAGCTTATGAATGAGCAGAGTAAGAAGTACACTGGATGATCGTATTTTTCATTAAATGCGCGAATATCGTATAATATTTATTTTATATGACAGCACATCAGTGATTAATGGCATCTTTTCGGAGACGATATTTTCTCAATAAAAATGTTGAGAAATATTTGACATTTCCCATTATTTTTGTCAACATTATAGTTTTATAAATAAATCTTAAATACAAATTCTGTTAAAATAATTTATTTTGACATATTTGTTGAAAAATATGTTTTCAAAAGTTTGTATATCCTTGAAGGAGAAATCTAAGTTGGTTGATAATGATCTATCTATAATTGCATAATAATTACGATTGAATATACCAATCTAAGATTAAACGAGACGCTTTTAAATGTTTGCATCCTTGAAGAAGAAGTCTAAATCGATCGCGGTAATGATCTATCTAGTTGCATAATAATTACAATTAAAAACGAGGCCAAGATTAAGCGAGATATATCGATATGGGTACTTGCTCGATACACTTCTATGTTCTATATCTTTCTTTTTTATATTTGGTGAATCAGTCACCAGCGATTCGATATGACACAAGGAGATTGTGACGTGACATGCGCGTATCATTCGGTATGCGAGAGACATCGACGCCGGCAAATGACATAACTTTCATGATGTGTAATACATAGCGAAAATTTTTGTACGATAATTTGGACTGTCGTTATTTGAATATTGTGAACTAACAATTTTTATTAATTATAAAATAAAATTATAAATTTATTGTATATATATTATATATATATATAATTTTAATTAACTTAATTGCAAAAGACTTTGATATACACTTATTAGAGAATTATAGTTGTTTTATTTAATGCATTTTTTATTACCGCATATAAAATGAAAGAAATGTATATAAAAGGAAAAATAACTCAATTTATATTATAGTAAATAGCAAAATTCTTGTTCTATAGATCAGAAAATTATTTCAGCGATGCATATATTTTTACACTTGAATAATATTTAAGCAGAAGCTGAAAAATAATTAAAATAATACTTAGGAAGATTATGTAAGAAGATTTATATAAACATTTAATCATATTTATAGAAAAAAGAATTGCAATATATACATCATAATTCTTTTTCACAGACATAAAGTTTTAAACGAGAGTCTAAATATATTTGTCTGCCATTCCAGGATAAAAACCTCACTAAACAATAAAAATTGAAAATTCTAAAATACTACATATGAAAAGTACATGTTTTCTTCATAACATTGAATAGATATTCATCCATAACTGCTCATACATCTATTCACAATCGCACTATAAAAAATGAACTCAAAATCGATCACTCGCAGTCAATTGATTTATCGCTGGCGTAGACGACGATAAAAACACTGCGTTTCCCTCATATCGCGCTTAATAAGTTTCAATAACGTAGCACTTTTGCACAGCGAGTAGTTTCCTTTTTTCCAGAAGCCGCTGCAACGTCCACTCTCTTCGGAACACAGAAGAACACAGAGAACGAACGAGCGTCGAGTCGCGTATATCGATAGCGGAAGCGCTCTCCGCGACCGGATACCGCGGCGTGTCGTGTCCAAGTTGGCTATGCGCGCCAATAATTCCGCTATTTCGGGCCGTCTAATTTGGGCCCGGTGACGCTATGCGCTTTTAACGGCGGCGTTGATAGCGAAGCATCATCCAGCACCACCACCACCACTGGTCGGCTAGCAATAACCACCGGAACGACGAGAAGTTCGACGGCGACGAGACGGACGCTCCTCCCGCAGTCACCTGAAGGCTTGTGGGCCTCCTACCTACCACCAACGCTGGTCCTCCGATCCTTAAAGGTAAAATCCCAACCCTTATTTCGAGCGCTTCCCTTCGGATCTCGATTTCGCGTCCGCCGTCAATCGAATTCCTAAACTTTGCGAGATCATCGGGTCTTTGTGACGATATATTTGGATCGTGTATATACATATATATATATACATCAAGTTATGTTGAAGATTGTTGTATAAAATGTCGTACAGTGCGAATAATTCCTTAGTATTATTTTTTAATACATTAAATTTTGAGAAAATTTATATATGTATTTTTTTAATTAATTTAATATACAATTGAACTTTTTTGTAAAAAAAATAAGGAAAAATAAAAAGATGTATGATTATTATTAATCAATTAACGTTCTAGTGCAATGATATGATTATAAAAATTGGTAAACATATATGTAGATTATTTTTAATGTTGAATCTTATAATAAAATTAAGTGATATGTATCGAAAATTTCGAAATGATTAATTATAATGTATGCTATTGTAGAAAAAGTGACTCACTCTCCGAAACATTAAATTTATGTCCTAAATTTAATAAGAAATAATTATGTAATTCAGAAGTTTTGTGTTGCAGTTTGTCGTCTATAAATGTATTATTTTTATTATATCGTTATAACGTTAAAGTAATCTTCTTCATAAAAATTCTTTTTACAAAAAATATATATTTATAATTATTTTTCTTTATTTTTAAAAGAGACAAGAAGATTAAATAAAAATTTCCAAAAGATCATTTACGATTATGATTGCTATGTCGAAATAATTCAAAGTATATAATTAAAACGGTTAAAAATAATTATGAGTATATAGTTAAAACGGATTTAATGGATATTTCGTAATGCGTACTATTTTAAAATAATACGTCCTTTCCATATACGAGTTCCAAATTGCTCGTAGCTTTTGTCTTTCGCTACAATTTCTTAAATTGCGGGCGCGATCTACATTGTTTGCATTCTGACTTTGTATCCGAAAATACGTGACCATCGATGAAGTGAAAATTTAACGAAATCGTCATCGTGACTCGGCGAGCTTCAAGTAACAGGATGGCGAAGATGATCGTTGGCATGCTGCCACGCTGTATCATTTACTAAAAGTCATGATCGGAACGTATACTAACGAAATAAAACGGAAGACATGAATCGGGGATTGTAGTTAAATCCTTGCTAAATATCTGGAAGAAAATGTTATAACACCGCGAGTGCGTAAAGCTAGGCAATATCGAGTCAAGTTGTTTATTTCTCCATCTTTCAAGGAAACTAATGGGCTGCATATAAAGAAAATAAACCACTTGATTTGTTCTTAAACAAAAAAAAAGAAAAATATCCGGGTATACTAAGAGCAGAATCTACAATCTAATTCAATTTATTTTGTCAAATATCTATGAAAATTAGCTTCAAAAAATTAAGAAGCTTAAATATCTCGATTATTCTCCTCAAAGTTTTAAAATCACTGTTATAAGAAATGTTTTAATTATTTCCTCTTCCAACATTTCGGTGCTGGAATAAATGAGGGAACGAAACTGAATGGGCAGAATGTAAATTTATCTTCGACCCTCTTCCGGCGAATCGAACCGCGATTCTATTCATTAAATCTGTCGCAATTTTAATGGGGAACCTCCTTGAGCGAAAATGCTCGCATGCTTTCTCGCGGGAGAAGCATTCTCGTAGGCATCAACCTACGCTGCAACTCGCCCGGCCTATTTATAAAGCGCGACCTCGTGGCATCGCGCGTTCGCCACTACCGCCTACCTATCATGGTCGTCCCGCGTGCAAATCACACAGCTTGCGTGTCTAGCCCTCTTCTTCCTAATTTCCGAACGTATCCGAAAACGGGTCAGAGCTATTTTCGCGCGAAACGGCCCTCAAAGCCTCGAAAGGCTGCCGGCGACGAGGCTTGCTTAGACAGACCGTGCACCCTCAGCATGTGCTTAGCGTCTACTTTCCTCTTCTACCTCTGCGTCGTCATCGATGACAAAGCCGATCTGTCTGTCGATAAATCTAGGTGCATCGCGAAGGTAGGCGTACCTCATCCGATATTGCGTCTGAGTTTCTTGAGCCCCATTGTTTCAGTATATTCGCGATCCAATCCGGATCCAACGTAAGATTAACAAAGTTTGTTATCGTAAACGCATATTCTTCAAAATATACTTTCGTTAATATATTTTTTATATATTATTATTTTTTATATGTTAAAAAATCTGCAGATATGTGTACAATTTTGTCAGACAGTCTTTACTAAATATCGCAGAGTGTCAAATTGAAATGTGTCAGATGATATTCTTAAGCTTCTTTAAATTTAGAAAATTAGAGACATGAATAGAATTTTCTGTGCCTTACTTTCGTTAATAAATTTTTTATATATTATTATTTTTCATATATATTAAAAAATCTGCAGATATGTGTACGATTTTGTCAGACAGTATTTACTAAATATTAGAGTGTCAAGTTGAAATGTATCAGCTGATCATAAGGTCCTTTAAATTTAGAAAATTAGAAAAATAAATAGAATTTTCTGTGCCTTCTAAGAAAATTTCGACGAGAGGGAAAATTACATAAGTAATATTTCTTTTTGCAGGCGTCCAGTCGAAGCGGCGTGCCGAGATGTCGGGATTAGAAGGTGAGGGCCCCTTTACGAGCTCCGTGACGACCGTGTTACTTGAGTGTCAGTTGGGAAGCAGTCGTAGATAGATAAACGAGTGTCAATTGGGAAGAAATCGGCTCGGAGGGACGAGCGTAATTCAGCGTATGCGCGCAAAAATGTAATGTTCAGTATAATCGTCAGTCGTATGATGTGTAATGTGCAGAGCGTTTATTAACCAAAAGTCTCTGGACCACAGCACTGTCAAAACTGTACCTCTGTCTACCGCCTTCGCTGGGGTGCAAAACAGTTTACGTCCTATCGCATTTCCGTGATGTATATAATTTCGCCTCTGCACTGTACTTTATTAACAAGAAACTACGTCATCGATCTTTATATGGGCTCTGCCCATAACGGAGCCAGAAATAATAAGCATCATTTTTTATTCGCTTCTTGTCGACAGAAATTGAAATTTAGAAAATTCAAAGCACATTCTTATATCTCATCGCTTTTAAGTCTTTTCCTCCGATTCACAGAATTTTACACCAAATTATTATAAAATATATATTAATAACAAGTCGTCACATCTCGAGCTATTTTGTGAAATTTTGTATATTTATACAGAAATCGAATAATCTGTCGTTTTATACAATTAGACAGGTAACATTAAGCATTCTGCTTTCTGGTACATACAATTTTGGCGACTAACACATCGAAGGCTCTAATCTTTCAAGCACTGTCGCACTCGCTCATTATTGAAACAAAGAAAAATCTTATTACTGCGAATGATTGCTTCTCATCTCTTTTCTATTAATGTATAATTTACACTTGCATTACTGGACCATCATCTTCAATTTTGCGTTTACAGAACTGCAAGACGCGTCGGAACAAGATGATGCTCAGGAAGAGACAGAGGAAACAGCAGAGAGCAGCAACGAGATAACAAGCTTGACTGAGGAAACAGATAGTCCAGAATTATCAGAAAGATTGTCTACCGAGGAACCCGAAAAAGAGCAGCAAAGAGAGGAAGTTACGGAGACAGAACCAGAGGAAGTAAAGAGGGAAGTTGAAGAGGAAGAACAAGAAGATATTAAGGAGAAAGTGGAAACAGAGGCACCGAGTCGCGAAGAGACGCAAAAAGAAGAAACGTCAAACTCAGGTTGGTGCTCGAATGTTTGTAATACTTGAAGAAACGACTGCGTAGCAAAAATACGAAATACAGCGAGCGAAATTCTGATTTCTAAGAAATTTGAAAATTTGGTTTGATGCCATTTTATATTTTAATAGCTTCCCTTTCTAGAAATATATCTCGCTAAAAGAGAAATCAAACTTGGAAAAAAAAAAATAAAAGTCCGAGTTTTAATTTTAAGAACCGAAGAGAGCAGTTAAAGCACGCGTCTCTCTATGCTCAAAGATTAAATAAGTCAATAAGTAATAAAATCTCCGCTACGTGATCGCGCATCAAGGAAGTCCGAGTTTCTCGCGAAAAGCTCTTTATTTTCAGTTTGTTGAAAATACACAGTTGAGGTGAAATAAACTTCAAATTTATCGGATCCAAGGTAGTCGGAAAATCTAGCTGAAAATCTCGATATATCGGGACTCCGGGCGTTTCTGGGACATTTTCCGCGGCTCCGGAATAGAAAATCTATCGATTCGAAGTAAGCTGCGCGCAAATTTACGGCGTTACGGCGTGTTTACCATCGCGCTTGTCGGAACCAATCGTCGTTGCTCGCACCAAGTCGTCGACGTGTTTGCGTTAGCGCTGCCATTATTCGCGTAGACGTTCGCGGCGTTTATTTGAACAACGACGTCAGCGGGATAGTTGGAGTATACAGCCGATCTGCGTTTCTCGCGGCATGTGTTTCAAGGAAATCTAAACCTTCTTACGCGAACTATTTCGGTCGCGATACACAAGTTCCGACGTTACTTACAACAGCGTTATTTACATATCTCACGCTCTCACAGCAGATATGCAGGGTGTCCCAGGGTCACCACCTGCTAATAGCGGATCTCCTTGAGAGCATTTCGAGACGATTTTTCCTCCATTTTTCAAACGACAATTTCGAGGAAGATCATCATTTTTTTGCAAGTTTTCAATTTTTACCATTAAATATATTTGTAAACTTTGTGTAAGCCTTAAATTAAAATTCTGTTAAAGTAAACTCTACTCGAAATTAACTCAAGAATGTAATTTTGTTAATTTATTAATTTCATAAAATTTAGTTTTGTAAAAAAAACTTTCTTTTTAAAAGTCGTTTATAACTAAAAAATTATTAATTTTCGTTCAGGAAAACTCGTCTCTAAATGATCTCAAGAATCTATCATAAACAGGTGGTGCAGTAACCCTGAAATACTTTGTATAATCACACAATTACCTGATACCATGTATATAATCAAAACGTTTCACATAAATTCCTGTAAATATGAAGTATTATGACGTATCACGGAAATAGTTAAAAATAAAAGAACAAAGAAGTAGGTAATAGTCATAAAATGAGATAAAAGAAAAAATCAGCAGAAAGAGACAAAGAGAAAGAGCGGTAAAATTGGCACAAAACAATAAGAAGAAAAATATTGCAAGTTGAACACTGTGCATTGTTCAGAATGTATAAAGTGGAAAATTTGTATCGTCATTACAATTTTGAATGAATCAGTGCTGATTCTTCTAAATGAGCGCAAAAAGAGAGAGAGTGCATATTATTCACAAAACGTAAACATTGTTAATTCTCTCGTAAGAGTAAAAAATGTAATTTGTGATTATAATGAATTCCTCTGTAAGCTACAAAGAGAAAGGTATGCTGTACAAATTTTTTCATCCGGAAAGAGGAATGGGGGCGATAGTAATGTAGGACACCGCAATTGGGGTGCGACCAATGTTATGTATCTGTGCGCATTCGTCTGCTTATACTTGTATGCAACAAAGTACATTTCGTAACTCTATTTTTTTATATACTCAATTTTTTAATCCATGTGTAGGAAATTAGTCAGTTGTCATTATTTTTGGATTTGGTAGCAGTCTAGCTTGGTTCCCTATTTTGTCATCATTATTATCGTCGTCATCATCATCATCATCATCATTATCGTCATCATTATTATTATTAATAACTTTTATTTCTCTATTTTTTTATATACTCAATTTTTTAATCCATGTGTAGGAAATTAGTCAGTTGTCATTATTTTTGGATTTGGTAGCAGTCTAGCTTGGTTCCCTATTTTGTCATCATTATTATCGTCGTCATCATCATCATCATCATTATCATCATCATCATCATCATTATCGTCATCATTATTATTATTAATAACTTTTATTTCTAGATTTTGTAGTAGTCTAGCTTGATTCCTTACTTCATCATCATCATCATCATCATCATTATTATTATTATTATTATTATTAACGACGCGCTTTAGTTTCCCAAAATAAAATGAGAAGGAAACGAAAGACGAAACAAAATTACACACCGCGATGTAATTAATGACAGCTGGCTGAGTGCTTAGCTGGTGCAAGAGATGATGGGCGCTCTCGCGGTTTGCGCTCGCGCTAAGATAAAGAAACGTAAGCGCAATTTTCGGCGGACGCGCTTTGTACGCGCGGGTAGTTTCGCGCCGCGACTCGCCTCGCCTCGCCTCGCTTCGCTTCGCGAGCAGCTGCGTCGAACGAGCGACCGAAAATAAATCCATGCGAAGAGAAAGAGAGAGAGAGAGGATCCCCGTGCACACGTTGTTTTAAATAAAACGAGGGTGCGCGCGCGATAGAGCCTCCGAAGCCGGTCAGCCTCTATCTCTCGGCTCTCTTCGCGCTCGAAACTCTCCTCCTCTCTTCCTCTTCCGCGAGAGCCGCGAAAAGATCTCTCGCGACGGCGCACAATCGGGTAAAAATACCGCGTGTTCCGCACAGTGTCTGTGGAACAGCGCGAACGGCGCTCTCTCTCTCGAGCATCCCCCGAGAAAGAGAGAGGAGGATCCGTCCATTCTGCATCCGCGTCCATACAGTCCGTAGAAGTTGGCGCGCGGAACCGGTTGTTTTACAATGCTTCTTTAACAAACTCTGTTCTTTCCGCGTCCCGCGCATCTCTTCGCGCGTGTCTTAAAACGAGCGCGACACGTTGACGTGTCGGAAGAGAGATATTCCGAGTCGCGCTCGGACGTGTGCGAGGCGCACGTTTTGGAGAACGCGTGCCTCTTCGTGCGACGATAAGCCAGTGCGAAGCGAGTAACATCGTCCGGAAAGCACGGTGCTCTAATGTGTGAAAAGTCGTAATTTCATTCGGGACGTTTGGACTAAATTAAGATTTGCTGTCGACACGTGTCTATCACAAATTAAAGCCACTCGTTTTCATAGAAATATAACGTCTCCTTTAATTATCTGAATATTTTATATATATTTTTTATAGAGCAATCATCGCTATTTTTTCTACATCTTTTTTTTTTATTTTAGCGCGAAGCAATCCGAGTGTAAAGCAAGTGACAAGTAAAGAAGGTGCTTTGAAAAAGAATGTTAAATGCTTGGAGAATCTTTTTGTGAAAGAGAGTGTTTTCTTGTCAAATAAATTATCGTAAAATAATTTCAAAAAGCGAGATACGCGAATGTGCGTATACAATCGATGCGAGTAATCGAATATATTTCAATCTTCGCGCGTGAAGCACCACTTGTCAAGATTTATGCTCGGAACACTTCAATCGTGAATTAAAAATAGCGATCGTTTTGGCAGAGAAGCAGCGAGTTTTTCTTTTTGCTGTCAAAGCAATATTTTGCCCGCGATACATTTTCTCCGTTCACAGTCAGAAAACATAGTAGGTACGTTCTCTCGCAATTGTGTAATTTTACTTCAATGCTAGAAAATTACTTCTCTAATTGCAAACTTTTAAATTTAAGCAATTTTATATTTATAAAAGAAACAATTACAATTTATTTATTATATTCAAATATTGTTATTTCGTTTCTTTTTTCTAATTTGAGATCAATCATCTTTTCCTTTTATATATATATATATATATTATATCAAATTATTAGAAAATATATAAATACTACAAATAAGTTGGAAGTTCCTGAAAGCTTATTAGCTGTATCTTCGAAATCTAGCATCTTACGATCGATACCTCAAATGATGCAGCAAAGATCTCATCGACTGCGTAAGACAAAAAATGCGACAGAAGACAGATCACATAATAATTTCGCTCGATAAAAATAAAACCAAGTGGTCCATACAACAGAATATTTCAAGACCAACAAATATACATAGAAAATGTATTCTAAGACTAGACGAATATGCTTCTGACCCTTTCTTCCTCTTCCACAGAGCTGGCGGCCGTTACGAGAAGCGCGTCGTCGGACGACGGCGTGCCAGGTCCGGGACAGGTGGAATCGGGCGAGGCCAGGATCCCGTCTGCGACCATCGCCGAAGACGGCAGTGGACAGCGGTATCGTCGCGTCGGTCCCGGCGTAGCAGTCGGTGAGTGGAATTCATTGCCGGTACTGGTAGAACGTCTGCGCGAGGCGCTCGAGTTGTCCCTGGCTGGTTGCCGACGTGGAAGCGGCGGCGGCGACGAGCCGTCCGAGGGTGGCCGGGCGCGCCGTTCCCTGGAACAGGCGTTGCTCGACGGTGACGATCCCGAGCCGAGGAAGGACGAGCTCAAGTTCCTGGAGGATCTGCTGCTCTCGGACATCCAGACCGCGCTCTCGCGTCTACGCGAGACTCTAGAGCGCACGGACGTCGTGACCCTCGCCAAGCACGGCGGGGTCTCGGATCCTACGAGCAAGCTTCACCTTCTGCGACTGGTCTCCAGTTTGCTGTCGCGGCTGCAGGTGCCGGAAGAGAAGGAGGTGGAACCAGGAAGAAACGGTGATGAGAACGATAGGATGATCGGGGGACAGAGTAACGTCGCCGTCGTCTCGTTACCCGGACGAAGGCGACGTCCTGTCAGACACACCATCGGCGTCTCCGCCGAGGAGATCGCTCACGCGAGGAAGCAGCTGGAGGAGAGCAGCGCCGACCTGGCGAGGTTCAACGACCAAGTGTCCCTCGCTCGGCAACAACCCTGGGAATCATTACTGTCCGCGTCGCGAAACGTCAGCAGCGATAGAAAGAACGTGGAGGAGATCCACGACAAGTACACCAAGGATGTTATTAATCACCGTCAATCGTTGCGCGACAAGAACAAGGACAATTCTCGCGATACAGTTGTCTATCGTTCGCTGATTCCGTCGCAAATCGCTAATACAGGGGATACGGTAAATGGTGAACCGAATATTCATCAGACCCGATGTCTAGATAGCTTGGATAGTTACCAGGAGAAGGAGAATGACGACGAGGAAGCCGCGATCAGGAAGGCGAATGAGGAACAGAGTCGAGTGACGAAGCTGGCTGCGGCTCTTCGGCAACGCGCGGAGCTGATCAGCGCGAGCAAGTGCAACAATAACAATAACAACAAGTTTACGGCGAAAAAATCGAAGATCAAACGCGCCAACACCGTCGACATACCAAGCTACCTGAAGCTACAGGCCGAGAGCCACGACAACCCCTGCGTTCTGCTACGACGTCCCATCAACGTAGGCGACAAGGTCACCGCGAACGGGTCCAACCTTGCCGTGCCGTCGTTTCAACCCAAAACGGAGAACGACAAGAAGTTCCTCGCGCTGATCAATCGGAACAACGAAACGCAGACGTACAACGCCGCGCCCGGCTTCGTCAAGTCCTTCGGGTACACCAAGGCGACGGATGTGTCGTCGATGACGAACGAGAACTGGAACAGCCGGTTCTCCAACATCAAGACCACCTTCGACAAACCGTCCGTCGCGAACGAAGCGGAGAGCAAGCTGTCCCCTAAACCGCAACCTGCGAAACACTTCACTCCATCTCAGAACAAGAAGACAACGATCAGCGATAAAATACACAACGGCTTCCCGTTTGCAAATACATCCAAGCCGGACGCGGGCTTCAGACACGCGCCCTCGTCGCTGTTCCGGAAGATCGAGAAGCCGCAGACCCCGAAGTCTCCGCCCGGTTATTACCAATATCAGAGGGACAACGCGCAACCATCTGGAAACACCTTACGCGAGAAAGCCAGGGTTATGTTCGATCGGGACAGCAACGTTCGTCAGTCGAGGTTCAACGCGCAACACGAAGACTCCAAGAAATCCTCCTTTCCGCGACCTCCGTGGCTTGAGCACGCAGACAAGCAGCTTGAGAGCAAATCTAACAATATGGTTACCGAAAACGGACGGCTGGATTATCGACTCTTCTGCAAGCAGTTCGCGCCCTTCGTCGGCAAAAACACCGGGATTCCGGAGCCCAATAAGAGATCGCGAAATCCGGAGGAATCCCGCAGAGAGCGCTCGTCGAACGAGAAACTCGGTGTGGTGGACGGCAAGATTTCTTTCAAGATGTTCCCCGAGAGAGGATCGAACGAGTCGCGTCACGTCCCGATCGAATCGGAACAAGTAGTTCGAGATAAGTTCGATCAGCGAACCGAAAAGGACACTTTCGAACCAATTGCAGGGTGCGACAACAAGCATTCCGGAAGTGTATTTGTCGGAAATAACGCGCTGATCGACGCTACGCTCAGAGGTAGCTCGTCCGTGGGTATTCAGACAGGTCTTCAGGCTGATCATCGTCCAGAGGATGACGCACGTGTGTTTCAGGTGATACCTCGAGTTTTGTCCAGTCCGTTTTTAACGTACAATAACGCGTCTGTTCAGACTTACGAAGAACCGAATTTGGAATCCAGGGAACAGTGGCAGATAAGAACGCCTAGACTCGACGACACGACGTTAGATTCGAATTATCGGCCACCCGAGGATCTGAAAGAATCCCACTTCGTCCTGGACCACAATCGAAATTATCGTCTGGTAGCGACCGACGATGAACCTCCAAGAAACGAAACTTTGCCATTGATCAAAGTCGAAAAAGACGCCATTCGTTCGCCAAACATGATGGAGAACCTTCCTCTTCCTTCTCTTCCGATTCTTGGTCATCGATCACCGGAACAACGAATCTTCCGCCCGAATCTTCCACCATACGAAGATTTCTCATCCAAACCAACGATCGACCAGAAGTATCCACTGTACAATACGGATCCCTTCCAGGAGAATCAGGTGTCGAGCAAAACCCAGGAAGATCCCTCGTATACGAATGACGGCGCTTTGCCTGAGGAACAGAACATCCAAAATCAGGACATCAGTGCAGATACTGGCGTCGTTACAAGATACACCTGTGCGATCGCGACCGTCGCGTCTACCGACACCCCGGAATCGCGATCCGAACCGGAAACTGGCTTGTCACCCGCACCTTCGTCGCCCTTGCCACTCTGGTCGCGTCCGGCCAGCAACGAGACCATCGCGACCGAGGACGAGGAGATTCGCCGACACAATATGCTACAGCAGAGCCTGGTTCGTCGGCTGCAGAACGAGCGCGTGACGCTAAATGATCATCACGCAAACCAATCCCCCAACTTTAATCGACCCAGTGATTTCAATCCACCTCTGAACAGTTTGAATCAGCCTTCGAAGAGTCGATCGCCTGAAATGCCGAAAAAACTGGAACCGCCGAGGAGATTGGAGCCGCCGAGAAAATTGGAACCTTTGAAGAAACCGGAAATACCGAAGAGACCGGAACTGCCCAAGAGACCGGAACCATCGAGGAGGTTGGAATCGCCGAAGAGACCGGAACCACCGAAGAAATCGGAACCATTGAAGAAACCGCAATATTCACCGATTGTCAGCAGTGGTTTATTATCTGTAGCGCCATCCTTTAGCGCAACAAATCGGGTCACCACACTTAGAGGACAATACGAGTTACCAAAAGCGGGAATAGAGAAAAAGGAACGTTCTCCTATCCCGAATGGTAGTGCAATGGATCCGAGCGACGAGTACCTGGTATCCTGCGCCAACAAATCGTCCAGATCTCTCGTCCTGTCCAAGTCCGAGTCTTGGCATCAGCTGGCGCTCTCCAAAGGTCATCAGCATCAACATCAGGCCTCATCGCGTCCATCCCAAATAAACAGTTCACCTCAGTCTCTCAATCGAGGAGCCTACCTCCCGAAACCGCCGACGAAGCCGTCCAAGTCGCCATCGCCCTTCAGGATGAAGAAGCAATACGAGGCGTCCTCGTCCTCGACCTCGGTGAAGAAAATGGAGGACAAGATACGCAGATACTTCGACAACCCGACCACGAACGATAGCGCCTCGGAGATGAGGGACTCGAAGAACCGACGTTTCTCGTCGCGGGACTCGGTGAAGGGGCCGATCGCTCTGTCCAGGAGTCGCACCATGCCGGGGATATCCGACCAGAGTCTCCGCCTGCTGATCCCGACGTCGCAGATTCCCGCGATGAGTCTCAACAGCGCCGAAGTGGACAAGGTGTTCGACGACATCTTCGAGGAAGCTACGAAGAACGACGATCATTGCTTCTGATCGGTTACCCTATCTCTCGTTTCCGTGTCGTAAAAAACCTACGCGACAGAGAGACTGATTGCGACGGAAGTGACGTCCGTTCGGGATTTTTCAACTCTCGGTCTCGGCAAGTCTGAACATTATGGATGATCGTGACAAAATCTCGACTGCACAACGACGTGGATCGCTAGAAACTGTGATTTTGTCCAATTAACTGCTTTAATTTTAAACGCGACTCATTTTCGTTTGTAGTCAGACTGTTTACATTAGAAATTTGCATATACGGTTATTATCATTGATTGTTTGTTTGCTTCAAAAAGCGAATTATTATAAATGTGAACTAAGAGATTTTTAATTAATTATGATTCGACTAGATTTCTATTTCCTTCCGAGTTGACACTTCTCCCGAATTATTTAATGGAAGGGCTCTTTCTTTCGAAAAAGTGAATTCAGTATTATCAGAGTGCATTTTATGTAAAATGCCACGTGTTTTATTAGAAGCTACAAATTCAAATCATTTTTGATTCCTGTAGTTTCCTGTAGATAATTGGAGAAAACGAAAAAGAAGCTGAAGAGGAGCACATAGTTACATTAATGCGCGATTATATGGACTTAACGAGACCTAGATCTACGCTCTAATTGGCTGTACATAATTCTTCGCGTTTTTGCGGAAATCACTCTACATCTGACATATTTGAGAGATCGAAGTTCTCTCTTTCTCTCTCTCTTTGAACGATATATCCAGATGATGGAATCTGACACAGATTAGAAGCCGCCTTTTTTGAAGAACAGAGAAATGTGTTTTGTGAGAAACGCAAAGCTACATAACTATATAAGGAAGATAAAACATTATCTAATAAAAAAGAAAACATATTTCGTGCGAAATCGACGCTTTTATAATGTGGTCTTCGTCCATTACGAGAGACGGTAGTGCAAATCGATGCAACGACCATCATCGCCGCCGATATCCACCGTCATTTCCTTCGTTCTTCTCGAAGATTGTCCGACACGAGTGTGGAAGAAATATCAGCGCGTCGAGTAACAAAAAAAAAATAATAAAGAGAGAAAAAGAGAGAAAGCACACCGCAACGCATCGATTCCGCCGTTATTCTCGCTCGATGTGCACTATTATATGCGCCATGCGAGAAATATATGAAGAACCTACATATTTGACAGCCACGCGTGACGCACACAAGCGCATATCGCGCGTGCCTAATTTGTCATTTACCTTTTTTTTAATTCGAAAATTCGCACGGACGGACTCTGAGAGTCGCTACAGGATCCATGCCAATCCCCGAATAAAGCAGTGAGTCACAGCCCTTATTTTTGTTGATCCTTTGTTACGCGGTAGCGTACAGTTTGCACTGCTGTGTATAGAGAGTGTGTGTAAGAGTGCATATATTATATACATATATATTATATACGTAGTGTACGTGTCTGATAGTGTTGGTACATTTAGCGGAGCATAGCTGTGGCTCAAATTTAACGCTCAATCTCTTGGAAAATGTTCCTCGAATACGGATATTCGAGGACGCAAACCGGACATATACGATTCTTCACTACCTGGACACAATAATGTACTCCCACGATACGCAATATTAAAATTATATTGCAAAACACATTTATCTTTACACACATACGTACAGACATGCATTATAAGTTCTAGTATAATTTAAGATTTTTGATATTTGTGAAATACTTTGCTGTGCTTGCCAAGTAATATAGTTTAAATATATGCCATGTTGCATAACACGATTTAATATTGCACAATATTACAACCGTGTATACATATTTCGTTGTAGCAATATATTTAATGAATATATTATAATTGAATGAGGATATTAATTAGATTAAATTGATTGGAGATATTTTTCTACAAAAAACTTTTTAACATCAAGTTAGCATAGATACAATATCTATTATAGATATTCGCGCAAGCACACTTACCAATTTACAAAGAGGCATAAATTTATTTAACTTCTTAGATATTTCGCTACTATTCTGCTAATTTATGTAAAAATGTAATTAAAACTTAAAAACCAACTAGCAGAGTAACAATTTTCGTGATATTTTATAAAATTTGAATTACAAACAAATTTTACTACTAGACAGTGTGAAAGAATTCTTAGAATATATTAAAAAATATTTTTAAAATTTTAACTTTATATTTTTTATATTTTTTCTCATTTAGGAGACATTCTTTTTTTCACGCGAATCATAAAGAATAGCAAAATTCTTAAATTCCTAATATTCAAAATTTTATTATCAAAAAATCTGCCCATACTTGTCACTACACAAGTCACACCAGGGGTACAAGTGCGTTGTGTGTGCGTGTGTATACACGCACGAGTACCTTACTTAGTGATGACGATCGATAAAAAATTAATTTTCTTATTACTGTTTATTTTAATTCTAATCTGAACTTATATATAATTCGCAAAAAAAGAATAGTTTTCTTTCACATCGGTAAAAGTTATACTAAGGAAAAATACTTGGAAAATTGATATTTATACATGTATATGTTCTCTTTACTATTATCATCTGCTTTTTTTTCGTACTAAGCTGTCATTTAATTTGTTTGTAAGACAATTATTTAATGCATGTCGCGCGCGCGTTGCAGGCATGCAACGAGAGTGGGAAATGAAAGATTTTGCTAAGATCCAGTTTTCTAATCATTTACACCTGTGCCTTTGACATGTGCCTTGATATCGGAATTCAATTATAGGCAATTAAAATAGATATAGAGATTAACATCTCTCTCAAATGTTTAGATGCATCTAGGCACAAGTCTAACATATCGTGCGTTGTTCAAGTTCCTCGATATAGCTTTATAATGTGTCTCTATTCATTTTTCAGTCCCAAAAAAGCCGCTGTCGCCGTTCGCCAAATTTCGTCAACTCGATAAGCAGAATAGCGCTTCTTTAACGCCAAGGTGAGAATAAATAGTGAAATATATAAATGATATGATATAATTATAATTAACAATTACGCGCAGATTATTCAATTTGACAGAGATTCAAGGAGACGAATCGATGGTTAAATAAAGAGCAATTTGGAGAAAAGATATTCTAATTTTATTAATTTATATATTTTTTTCTCATCTCGTTGTAATTTTTGCATTTAGTCCTGTAAAATCACCGGCGACAGAATTTCGATTCAAATTTACCGAACCAACTGTACGAGACAATGCTGTGCAAATTAAAGAGCGACTGTTGGCGTGGTGTCGATCGAAAACCAAAGAATACGAGGTAAAATAAACATTTTAGATCGATATGTAAAATACTTATCAAATCGATGTACATATACTCTATAACATCAATTTTATAAGCGAATTTTAAAGAAAAATGTGCTAAAAAATTAATTATATATATATATATATATATATATATATATATATAAAATTCAATAATTTAATAACTAAATATAAATAATTTAATAAATAAAATAATAAAAGAAAATGTGCTAAAATTAAATATGTCATTGAATTATATATATATATATTCATTTAATATTTTTTCTGTTTCAGAATGTGCAACTCGATAACTTCTCGACAAGTTGGAATAATGGTTTAGCATTCTGCGCGTTACTTCATCACTTTAGACCGGATGCTTTCGATTATAATTCTCTACGTCCGGAAAATCGCAGGAAAAACTTTGAACTTGCTTTCACAAAGGCCGAGTAAGAAAGAACTTTGAATTTCTTCGATTTTCAATATTCGACGCCATCTCATTTTTATCTTAAGAATTTTTATCAATAATTATTGTGAGCAATTGTTTATTTTGATTTTATTAACCAAGAATTTTTATTATTCTTTTCTCTTTTGCAGTGAAGTCGCTGGAATCGCGCCATTACTTGACGTCGATGATATGGTGATGATGCAACGACCGGATTGGAAATGCGTCTTCACATACGTTCAGTCTATCTATCGTCGCTTCAAAGATGAGGACTAGCTTTAAAAAACGCAGCAGCAGCGCAGCACAATTCCATTTAATGCCAAGATAGAACACACGTGACCGCTATTTTTGTAGAACAATGTTTAATCCATATTTAATTCGTATGCGATTTGAGGAGAACAATTTTAGAGAATCATATGTATCTTTCTCCTTTCTTTTATATATAAATAAAATTAATATGGGCGAATCGCATGCGAATCAAATCTATATAAGCGTAGTAAGCGTAGAAGTTCAGATTCAGAGACGATGTCTTTCAATAATAATAATGATGATAATGGATGATGAATAAATCTCGCGACTGCCCGAGAAGCTATGCACTCGTACGCGTCTTATATTTTCATATTTCGCATATATTTTCTTGGCACAGCCTTACTAACGTGTAACTTTCTACCGATGTTTAATGTAGCAGCTGATGATTTCCGCGAAAATACGTGATAATACGCACGTGTAAGCGAGACACTGTCAATCGCTGCCAAGTGATGTTAACGTCGATACTATTATATTAAAAACTAATAAAAATGTCTTGAGAATACCAAAGAGATTTCTCAAATAAATATGTGATACGAGAAGAATCTCTTAGATTTTGTTATTTTTTGTTGCCCTCTTTGTAATATAAAATTATTCGTCAATTAAAATGAAATATTTGCCGATAATAAGATTAATAATATTTTAATTGTTTGCTCCATTTCTTGAATAGAGTATATATATATATATATATATATATATATATATATATATATAGTCAATAAAAATACTTAATAATTATTTTTAAGTATTTTTCAACAAACAAAAGTGTTAGCAACAGTGATATAAATAGATTTAATTAATATTTGCTATTAGTAAAAGATTTTATCAGCATACTACAAATTGATATAAAATATCTGCATTATAATATAACATATATATATATGTGTTCTTTGTCGAAATAATGATAGGAGATGAGAGAGAGATCGATAAAAATCAAATCAAGCAAATATCTGCCTATCTATATATTCTCCTCTATAATCACTTATTAATTAAAATATATCTAGAATTTACTCACTTATTTTCTGCATAGAGATCATCTTCCCAATTATCTTCAGATTCATTACAGCGATTTAAAAAACAAAATATAAATACAGCTAAAATATATGGCGATATTGCTTTTTTGTTTTGTCGCATACGATAATATATAATCAAAATCTAAAATTGATACATGCGACTAGAATTAATTTCAAAATAAACATTTATTCATAAAATTTTGCGCGGATATTTGACCATTTAAATTTGAGAATTTTTTATTATATATATTTAGGAATACTATAATTTTTATATATAGGGTGTCCCAGACTTACTGTACTACACTGTTAATGAGAGATTCTTGAAGCGATTTGGAGACGATTTTTCCTCAGCAAAAATGTCTAAGTACCAATAATAATTTTCAAATTATAAATTATTGAAAATAAAACCTTTTTTGTAAACTAAACCTTGTGAAAATAAATTATTAACAAAAACTACATATTTTTTAGTTAATTTTAGGTAAAGTTTACTTTAATAGAATATTTTAATTTAAGAAAGATACATGATTTCAAAAATTGGGAACATTAAAAAAATGATGACTTTTCTCGACATTTTCGCTGAGAAAAAATCGTCTCCAAATAACCTTAAATAAGATTGAGACATCATGTATATAACAATTCTCAATAATAAATTTCTTTTACAATAAAACTATTTGTTAATGTAACATTGTTACAGATCTATGAATTATTGATGCTTTTATAATATTTATTCCGTTTATATTTGCAAATGCACATTTATAATGCAGAAGTGCAGAAAATTAAGTGCAAATAAACAAATCGTACCTTCATTTTTTGCTGTTGTCAAGCGATGAGACTGTATTTCACTATATTGTACACTATATTATACACTAACACTTTATACATCACTCACTGTATATGAATATGCGAATATACATTAATATATAAATAATTTTCTAATACTTGCAGTTCATCGATGCGTTCCTCGACGCGCGTTTCACGACATGATGGTTTCGAGTGAATTGAGCGCCGAATAGTCTTCGATAATCGAATCGATCGATTAATCGAACAATCGCTCAATCGATCGATCGAATACTTCGAAATTTTAGCGCCAAGTGGAACGTTCCAAATAATTCATCAATGGTAGCCAATCAGTTTCGTGCTTTTCCGGAAGTAGTCGTACGTCATTTCCTGTAACAAAGTGGCGTCTTTCGCAAATAATATTCTATTCTAACCTAACTGATCTAAGCAAATCTGTTATTTATATACAAGGCATCTGTGATTACAAAACAGTTAAATCTAGACTTCCTCATATTTTTAAATAATTATATAAAATAAATAAAATTGTGTTACTTATTACGATATATAAGAATAATATGGAGACTGTACCGAAAGATTTGCGTGGATTAAGAGCATGTTTGGTATGCTCCTTAATTAAGGTATGTATTGTATAAAAAAAGTGTTGCATTCACTAATAATCAATTTTTCAACCAAGTCGATATATACAGGATTTTCTAATATTTTTGAAATAATCGCATTTGTAATCTTGCTTCAAACAGACCTTTGAGCAATTCGAGTTTGACGGATGTGACAACTGCGACGAGTTTCTACGTATGAAGAACAATAAGGATAATGTTTTCGATTGTACGAGTTCCAACTTTGATGGGTAATAATATATATATACAATTGCTTAAGAGTAATTTTTTAAACACATACAGTAATATATTTCTGTGAATATTTAACATTGGCACAAGATTTTTATATTGACAGAGAATATTAAAGATTTGTATGCAAAAATAATTAATAATTATCAATTATCGAATAAGAGTATAAGTATAAATTAATAATATTACACAACTTAATAAATAATTTTATTGTAAAAGATGAAACGACAATTTTAACACTGTTCACTCTATCTCCTTATACTTGGTTTTTTAGAATGATCGCTGCAATGAGTCCAGAAGATAGCTGGGTGTGCAAATGGCAAAGAATAAGTAAGTAAATTTTAAATATGATGATATTACTTAAGAATAACTAATATCTTATAATTGTATTTTATATATATATTACATACTTTTTTATTTTATCTCAAGAAACTTTTTAAAAGCTCTATTTTAATTTTAAAGTTGTATAGTAAAATAAAAATATCACTGACATGTACAAGTCTCACTTATAATGCATGTTTATTTATAATATATAATTCTCTCTCTAAATACTTTAATAAATATATTTATTTCTGAGATTTTGCACTTAAACATATAATACACTTATGCACATATATTTTATTCTTATATATATAAATGTCGATATATAATTTATATATCAAGGAACATATTTATCTGCATACATACAACTCTTTTACTATCAAGATTTATTTAAATAGAATGATGCACAATCGTTTTTTAATAATTGAAATTTCCTACCTAATTAGATCAATTATGGCCAACATTGATAGAGATTCTGTTTGTTTCAGATCGTTTCTGCAAAGGTGTTTACGCTATATCAGTATCAGGACGGTTACCAGCTGGTGTCATTAGAGAAATGAAAAGCAGAGGAATAGTGTATAGGCCGCGCGATACGAGTCAACGTTAATTATTATCATAATTATAAGAAATTTTGTATGTGTAAATAATATAATAAATTAATCCTTTTGTAATACTGCATTGTGTTAAACGCATTATTCATCATGTGAAAATAAATATATAAATATATTTGTGTAGTTAAAATATATAAATATACTTCTCATTATATATCATTGTACATATATTAAGAATTTTTTAAAAATATAAGAACTTAAAAATAATTGGCATAAACATTAAGTACTTTTTTTTTACTTATGTACATATAAGAGATTTCATTTCAGATTATGGATTAATGAAAATTTTAATTTACTTTAGAGATCTATTTACTTTTATCTCTACTTTTAGAGATTATTTTGAATATTAATTCTTGAATTGAATTTACGAATTCTCTATTAATAAGATATGTATGTGAAATTGTATTCTTAATCTAAATTAAAAAATGTCGAATCTGTGTGCAGATTGGTATTTTGTTTTTTTAAATGTGGCTTCCTGGACATATATTTGGTTGATAAAATAAAGAGTATCGCATTACCGGCAACTGATTGTTTACGCAATTGAGCCACAAATTTGCGCATGTTACGTGATAGTTATTATCATTATAAACAACTCGACCACTCGTAATAACTGTTAAACACAGGGAACAAGACACACATTCTCCCTGATGTAATGGCCAAGCTGGTAGTTCAGTGACAATCTGAAATATACAAAATGTACATTTACTATACAAATTCGATACAAATGGATATTCTATAATAATATCTTTGTGTAAAGATAGATGTAAATATTTAAGAACAAAAATTGTATGGAATATAAATAAAAACATTTAACATTTATTATGAATATTTACTGGTATATTAGTGTAAAAAGGTTCCATTTCAGCCCAGATCCGATCAATATCCATCAAAAGATCATCAAATCCAATAATGTTTATGTCCAATTCTTTGTATGAAAAATTAACACGTCTACAAACAGCTGCAACTTCAGCTAATTCTAAAAATAAGTTATTATATGTCTCACATGTGTAACTCACAGTGATATATGTAGTATATTTTTAAAAATTTAATAAAACACTTACGACAAAGAAAGTTGTATCCTTGGGCTGAATTTAAAACTTCCTGCAAAACTAATTCTGATGTTATATTGGTAAATATGTTGGCTGCAACTTGTAACAGTAAAACACAACTTTCCATATATTGTTTCCATTCCCAGTACATAGCCTGTAATAGAGAAGTACTTGATAAAATATAATCAAATCAATGTTTTCTTTACATTTGAACATTTTGATATTTCAATTACAGTGTATACCTGCTGTGTAGCTTCTACAACTTGATCTTCCTCTATGTTTGAAGGTAAAAATGATTTAAGATCTAAGCTAGGCACAGATCCTGATCGTGGCAGTGCTTCGGATGGACCACTAATCAACTCTACACTATTTATTGAAATAGCATCCTCTTTCTGAACATTCTTTCCTATATAAGAATAATATACTACTTGATTTAAATGAAATGAGACGCAAGCAAAAATAAAAATGCGGCATGTGTTGCGAAAAACGCACCTGATTCTACCAATTGTGCTTCAATTCCGTCATCAAGTTTTAAATTATTAAACGACTCAGATACTTCAGATACAAAGTTCAGATCTGTTAAATTGTTACTGTCAGCACTAGAGTGTGCTTTACTAAATTCAAAATCTGCAAATACATTGTTAAAGCTCTCAGTATCTGAAGCATCTGATATGTTTGTGGGATGATTAGCAGGTGGCTGTTCCGCAGACATAAATTCTCCAAACTCGTCGGCCGATTGATTATTAAGAGTTAAATCTAAACTTGCATCATTCACAACAGACGTTTCCTGAACTAATGCACGCAATGCACTGTATTTATCTTCAGTTTGTTGCAAGCTCATTAAATCTTGTTGAACAGAATTAGACATATCTACTGTGACAGCCTACAGATAAATTACATATATATATATATGTTATATATGTATGTATATATATATATAAAAGCAAAAAATATATATTTAACTTTCAACTTAAATATAAATATATAAAGATATATACTTGCTACAATTGTTTAATATATTTATTTACCTTCGGAGTTAAATCCACTTTAGGCAATATTTCTTTATCATTGCTCAGAGATATAGGCTCTATTACAGTTGCCAGACTGTTAAAACTGTCATTGTAATCCTTAGGCAAGTCGTTATTTCTAATTACAGTGTCTTTGAGTATTACTGTTTTCGACTGATTCTTTACTCCACATTTAGGAAATAGATCCAATGGAGCCTCTATCGTGGTGGGATCCTTATTTTGATATGGTAAACTTGCGGGTGTACGAATTTGAGTATTAATATGTATAGTTTTCGGTCCAGGAGCGGCTTTCTTGACTTTGTCGACTGTCTTCTTCACTCCTAAATTGTGATTAGCGAGTCTGCTGCCAATTGCGGAACCTTGTTTACTATCCCAGATAGGTGTGGCAGAGACACTAGAGATCGGTGCGCTTTGAAACTCGGTAAATTCATCGCAGGACTCGTCAAAAGATGACGCAGGTGGAACGTCGGTTTGAACACGCGAACTTTGTTTCAGATCTTTTGACAGGTTGTTGAAACTATTTGCGGTTGCGCCAGACACTAGAGTCTTGCTATCGGAACATGATAATTTTCCAGGTATATTGTTCGAGAAGGGTGTATTTGCATCAAACACATGAGCTCTACCTTTAACTTTACCCTTAACATCAGACAAATACTTCCCCTCCACATTATTGAACTCTTCATTACCATAATACTGAAGTTTCTGCGTGTTTGTCTGTGCGCTGGGTTGTAGATTCATCAAACATTCTATGTTTAAGTATGGCGTAGGGGGAAAAGGAAGTAAATGCAGGATGTCGAGACTGTTGAAGGTGTAAGAGGTCTGCGCAGCAGCAACAAGAGCCAGCACGACGTACAGCTCCTGCTCAGTCAATTGTCCTGCGTACTTCTGATTAGCCAAACTCCATATGTGACCCAGCACCTCGGTGGACAACTGACTGGTGAGCAGCAGTGGAAACACCTTGTTGGTGTCCACCAGCAGCTCAGTTTGCACCCCGTTCGACCTGACCCGATCGTCCCTCACCGCCTCCCACACCATCTTGTAAACAGGCGGCAAGGTGGTCGAATTGGTCCACAGCCAACTCGGCAGCTGATTCAGTCTCTTGTTCGAGTGGCTCTTATTCATGTTTGCGGCAACGAGGGATCAGGAATCACCGCTACGAATCACGTCGTGGATAACGTAAACTTATCCAACTCGCGCAAGAGTTCATTCTGGGTCAGTTGAACTACCTTAACGCATACATAATTAATTGCCAAGATAATGTCGAAGGTCCATTGAAGGTTGAGCTCGCGAAGACAATTTATAGCGCAAATATCATTTTTTTCTGCCAATGTAGACGGAAAATGTACACAATTCAATATCTACGTCAACTGACACGATTGACGTCAACTTCATCTGTCATCCCCTCCCTCAGATTAGGGTTAAACATTGTCAGGTCGTGTCCAAATATTCATTCATCCATCGCTGCTCAAAAACTGTAACTACTTTTCATCAAATAATTAAAAATTATATGATCTGTCATTTATCCTTCAATTTGACATTCCATCTGACATCTCATCCTCTACCTGTCAAACGCCTAAAAATACTGTAGACAAGGAGAACGTAAGAGATAGGAGGTGCGAGAGATAATCTAATAATACGCGCCATATTTTTCAAGACAAATGTCAACCAATTAGCGCCTCGGTTCGACAAAAAGGCGCAGCCAATAGGAGAGCGCGGTTCGATCGCGCAAATAGAAACGTCATCCAACGATCTCCATAAACAGTGTTGCCACTTATAGGGATTTTTATTTTTATTTTTTGAAACATCTATTATGAGTACAAATTACTATTTATTTTCGATAAATAAAATAATTCAAATTTTTATTTGCATAAATAAAATATATATTTTTTATTTTATTATTACATGTGTCATTGTCAATGTCAATACGGATGTTTAAATATATGAATAAATGTTTATTTCTCCAAAAAATTTGTTTTTATATTTACCCAAAATCTACTATATACTATGTATAAAAAATAAAAATTATAAAAATAAAAACTATGAGAATTAAATTAAATTATAAAAAATAAAGCGTAGGGAAAAGTAGGGATTTTCTATTAGATTAGTAGAGACAAGATCTTTTAGATCAGTGGCAACATTGTACATAAAAACAGACTCGAATGTTTGGTTACGGCACGGCAGACGATTGTCATCCACGAGCGAGAGAGAGCGTCGTCGGGATTATCAGACCTGAAACCTCGTAATCGCGGTTCAGGATGTCGACGGACTTCTACATACGCTACTACGTCGGTCACAAGGGCAAGTTCGGGCACGAATTCCTGGAATTCGAGTTCCGGCCGGACGGCAAGTTGCGTTACGCGAACAACTCCAACTACAAGAACGACACGATGATCCGAAAAGAGGCGTACGTGCACCAGTGCGTGATGGAGGAGCTGAAACGCATCATCCAGGACTCGGAGATCATGCAGGAGGACGACTCGCTGTGGCCGCAGCCGGACCGGGTCGGCCGCCAGGAGCTGGAGATCGTCATCGGCGACGAGCACATATCGTTCACCACGTCCAAGACCGGCTCCCTCCTAGACGTCAACCAGTCCCGGGACCCGGAGGGTCTGCGCTGCTTCTACTACCTCGTCCAGGATCTCAAATGTCTGGTGTTCTCGTTGATAGGACTGCACTTCAAGATCAAGCCCATATAAGCCCTCCCTAATCCAGATCCTGTATTATTGTAATCTTTTTTATCCCAATAAAATATATGTTTATTTCTAATTTGTTTTTTTATTTATTCACGAGCGTCGACAAATTTAATAATTTACAAATTTACTGTATCTGTCATAATTGACAGATTGAATGAATATATAAGTACATATATATTAATTAATTATTTTATTTTATCTTTGGAATTTGATATGAAACGGAATGAAATAAGATAGTTGTATATATTTGGAAGTTGATAGAGAGAGAGCCGAAAAGAAAAGTGCACAAAGTTCAGTTCAGCGAACAACACTTCTCGTCCGAGAAAACACGTTCGTTTCCCGCTAAGCAATTGGCAAATGGATAGATATATTGATATATATATATTGATGTATATATATATATATATATATATATAAGAGGTGAGATATAATTTAAAAAGAATGATAATTGCACGCGTGCATTGTTTTAGTATGCTATTGTTATAGTGATAACAATGCATTGTGTGTCACATACATATAATTATTTTCTTGCATTTATATTTTCTAACCTTCGTGAAAGGTCTAAATATATATAATACATGTAATAAATATATCATGTTTCTGAAAAAGCACTCTTAAAAATAAAAATTTGTCAAGATAGATATTCATATTATTTATATTTTTTATTTTTTATATCGAACATAAACTTTAAATGATTAATAACTTAATAATTTTATTTCAGAAAATAGAATAGATAAATATATTTCATTAATTTCAAGCAATCTTAATTTCAGATACAAGATAACTGCAAGATGTCAAAATATCCTGCTGAGCAAAATACAATAAACAATAAAAGTATCGACGATGAGGGACGTAGAACTCAAACAGACTCAGTCCATGAAAGATTTTGTACGAACGTTTACGTTTATTGTGATGATTGCAAGAATAAGATTGAACCAAACAAAGCTGCTATAGAGAAGCACTATGAAGATGAATTACATCCCTCAAGCAAAACTTGTAGATATTGCAAAGGCAAAGTATTTATCTATAGAAGCATAGTAAATAGTGTTGAGGACGGCCAAAGTTATATATATCATAGATGCAAGCACGAATGTTCAGAAGAAAAGAGTTCAGTTGATGAATCGTCATGAATCTCTGCAACTTTCTCTTACATAAGTTTTCTGAATTTAGAATGTTTAAAATGTTTTTAAAAGAATCTGAAAATATTTTTAAAAGATCTGTACATGGTAGATATTAATTTGATACGCAATATAAATTAGAATATAGCTATTTATCATTATTTATATTTTGAGACTAACATCATTTATTGTTATTTAATGCATGTAGCATCTCATAAATTATACATTTCAAATGTGTTTTATACAAGATAGATACAACAAATTTAGGAGATATTTTGTATAAATTTATAAATTTCTTTTGAATATGATATGAAAAAGAATGTAATTGTAAAAGAGTAAAATGTTAGATTGTAATTTTTTATATATAATTTTATATTTTGTACACACATACATAAATTTGTAAATTTTTTATATATTTTACACTGATATGGATCTTTATAAAAAGTACAATTAAAAACAAAAGTTTGTAACAGTTTTTTTAAATATAATATATACACACGCATATTTTGTCATATTGTAAACATTTACATATAATTTAAAAAGTGACAATTATTATTTATACATAATTTCATATTTTAATAAAATAAATTAAAAAATATAATATGTATAAAATACATGATTTCTGGAATTTATTCATAAATTTAATATAAAATTATTGTTTTTACATGCACATATAATCTGTAATATTTTTACAGATGTTAGAAATCTAAAAAAAATATAAAATAAAGGGATAGAGATAAAAAATATATATATATATATATATATATATATATATATATATATATATATATAACTTTAAAACTTAAAATAGGTAAAGAAAACAATTTTCTTATTTATTATAGAATGAAAACTTATATTATAAACTTTGAGCTTACAAATACACAAAAATCGATTTCAAGTACAAAGGTACATGAATTTGTACATAGTTTATTTTTCTATAATTAACATTCATTGTAAAACATTTCCGACATTTTAATTACACATTATAGAACTCTGATTATTTAATAGAAGCAATTTATAACAAAATTTTTTTAGTATATCACTTATTTAACCTCTTCCAATTGTATGAAGTACAGTACAATTCGTAAAGTTAAACATAGACAATTTACTTAAATACATACAGAATTCCTTTCTCTTTCTGATACCTACATATTACGTGCATAAATTTATAAATTCAATAACATTTATACACAGTCATCATATATTCTTGTACTATTAAAATAAAAAAAAATGATATTAAGGATTTATATATTTAGCTTAAATAAAAGATTATTATGTCATTTAAAGACAAAAAATACTGTGTTTGTAAATTCAATAAATGTACAGTATATCTTCAAAGATTTGATACAATAATTTGAATAAATTAAAATTAGTAACATATTAATTAAAAATAAATATATGCATATTACATGAACTATATGACTGTCCTATTAAATAGAATATAATGTATACAATCTTTCTTATTTTTTAGTCATAAATATTGATATCCTTCACATCTCTTTGGTATTTCTTGATGTGTATATATATATATACGCATTTATTTTTTATCTTTTTATCTGAATATGTATATTGCATACATATATAATGGCACATATACACACAGATCTTTTATAAAAGAAATCTAATTGTATAAATTATATATAATACATATAAGTTAGAAAAGATGTGTTATTATTATACTTTTTATAAATGCGTGCGATGAGCTTCAGTAAATATATTATTAACATAAATATTTTTAATGTGTATATTCTTCCTACATTTAAAGGATTAGAAAAGTACAATATCCAACATATAGATATCCATATAGACAATTATATCAATTATATTAGCTGTAAAATGCCCTGTATGCAAACACATGATGCAGCTTTGTAGACAGGACATGTTTCAGGAATAGATTAATTCACAGAAAATCCTGATAAAATCCTGAAATATGTCCCACATACACCGACTTGTAGAAAGTTATAATACTGGTATCATACTGTAACTATCAAATATACCATCATATTCATCAAATACAGAATTTGCAAGTGTACATAAATTTATTTTTTATTTAATAGGACTCTAGTCATATATGATAGGGCAATTTCAATTTCTCAATAATATGAGACTGATACTACTTTTTATCACATTCATTTTACGAAAAGGAAATTCCTTATATCACACCCATATACATTAAGGACATATCACGATCAGCATAGCTCGATTTTTCTTTTCTTCTCACACATAAGTTTTTTTTTCATGAAAATGTTAAAAATTATTTAACAAATGCACCATAGATCAGACTATTTGTTTTGTCAAGCCTCTGAATGCTGGGCTAAGCTAACACTGGCCCCAGAGAGATATATAATAATCAATAGATATTTATCAGATCAATAGATATTTTGTACTAATAATCGGGATATGCACGCACGCACGCGTGGACGCAGACTTTCTTAGGACGTGCGATATTGTTTCCTCACAATAATTTTATAAATATGAAAGAGGAGATATCGTAAAAAGTTTTAATAAATAAGTTCTTTCATCAGATTACAAAATATTAACTTGTCAGATTATGAGGAGACAAAGCATGCTTATCCCATAAATAAGGATATTCCAATATACGATCTGAGACCACTGATAAATAGATTTCACTGACAAATTAGATAGAAATGCGTATATACGACCGTACTACATACTATTAAAAATTAAAATTAAATTATTAATTTAATTAACAGTCGCAGACTGTTATTCGACTACTCATTGTGCGCAAAATAATTGATCAATAGTGATAATCAATATACTAGTTTAGGCTAAATTAATCATAATTTAATTTTAAAAAAAGCCTCATTATGCCTTATAAATAAAAGTGAATGAGAAAAGATAGTAAAATAAAGACTTGCGAGGCCAGAGCAATCTTATTCCGTGAATGGACGCTTGCATGATTGATGTAACAGTAATAGAGTAAACTACAGTGCGTGTGCAATATATTGTATATGTAATTTCACTAATGAATCGATTTGTACGGACTGTCGCAATTCTGGCAAAATTTGTTCAAGTTGGCATTTATACACAGAACATAAGCAAATAGTTCTGCTTTGCTTATAAAAAATATACTACTTTGTCCTTTCCGTATAATAGCTTATACATATATCTTCACACACATTATGTGGCGGATATCTCTTTATAGACATAAATAACTTTACGAATTTCCTCAACAGTTTGTGTTATCTGATGTATAATCTTTAAAAATGTATGTAACCATGCACTTCATTCTGTTGTATGGTTTTTTAAAAATAATTTTAATTTTGTTGGATAATCTGTCATAACACCAGTTGCTCCTAACTCAAATGCTTTTTTGAATTCCTCCTCTTTGTTCAATACCCAAAAGTAAACCTATACATAAACATATTTAATAAACTCAATAGTGTTAAAAAGTTATAATTAAGTGTATAATATAGTATGAATTATAATGCATATATACTTACATGTATGCCTCGTGCTCTTAGATGATTAAATAAGCACGGCCTCATTAATAGCACATTAATTGTACGTACTACAAATTTTTCCAGTGGTAAAAATGTCGGACTTGGACCGCCTTTGCGTCTAGAATAAAAACGTAACAGAGATAATTAGTTTAAATATTGTAACTCCATTGTAATTATAAAGAAATATACTACAATGATATATTACCTCAAATAGATCGAAGGTAAGAAAATTTCAAGATGTGTTTCTTTTAGTGGTACAAACGGCAGCAAACCAGTATACATGAGGAATATCAACATTGTCACACGTTGCATTGAAAATAATAAATTTACATTTGGATTCTATAATAAAAAAAAATCGAGATTATTAAAAACAAAATCAATACTCTATAAAAAAAAACATTCTATTCAATTTTTTATACTTACAATTAGGCCCGATTGTACCAACATTATTTTAGTTTTAAGCGCGACTTACATATGTATTTATATTTATCTTTCTTTCTAAATAAATAAACACAAACATATATTTAAGTTTCGTTTCAAATCAAAATGATGTTGGTGCAATCGGGCCTTAAAAAAATTAATTAGTAGACTTTATAACATTTGCAATTTCTTCTAATAATACTCTATGATATAACAAATATATCTCTTTAACAAATTCAATGTATCAATTTGCTCATGAATAAAAAACAGACATGTGTAAACATAAATATCTTATTTTGAACAAAACTAAGTAAAAATTACTGTCAAGTTTTTTATGAAGTAATATCTATATTCTTTCAGGTTTATTAAGTTATCTAAGTCAAATAAATATAATCCTAAAAAATAATATATGGAATTAATTTGCTAATTTTTGCAGTAAAATATTGTTTTGCTCACAAACTTAAAGTTTTGAATGGCAAAATAGCCTTGTAAAAAACAGCATATACATAAGTCAGAGCAAAAATAATAGTACTAAAATGTTTTGCTCTGATGTATATATATGCTATTTTATTACAATGACTTGGTAAAACAAATTTTTTAAACTTATTTCATGAACAAAAAATTCGGGGTCTTGATATCTTGAAAGCAAATAATTCAAAGAAGATTCTAATGCTATAATAATGCAAACAATTAATTTTTTAATTTGCTCTGACTTATGTATATGCTATTTTTTTTACAAAATCATTATGGCTTAATCTTAAGCTATCTAGCCATTCGTAACGTTTTAATAGTTTAAGCAAAACAATTTTTTACAACAAAAATTAGCAAATTAATTCCATATGTATAATTTATTGTTTTGATAATTTCGTTTAGATAGCTTAATATTCTTTTCAAAGATATATTAAATTAAATTTTAAAAGTCTGACAAACTTCTATATTGACATACCATTTTATAGCATTTCTGTGTGACCTCATCACTAAAGTTTCCCCAAACTGTATATTCTTCTCTATTGTATTGTTTTATAAGATCAGAAACTTTTGATATAAGCCGATCATCATTGATTTTAATATCGATATTAATAGGGATGGTGGGAAATGCCTCAAAGACTTCTCGTAACAAGGCAAATCGTCGATCTTCTTCCCTTGCAGACCCCACATACTCCACATCTGTTCAACTACAGCTTTTAAATACTTTTGTTCAAAGGTATAATTTTTTCTTAAAATAATAAATAACAATACCTGGCTCAAAATCAATTGGTAAACGTTGCTTTAAGAGTGGCAAATCTTTGTAATCCAATTCAGAGATATTTTTATCTACACCAGTGCTACGTAAAAGATTCTGATCGTGAGAGACTATTACTTCGCCATCTCTTGTAAGATGACAATCTAATTCCAACATTTGAGTTCCAATAGCCACTGCTCTGTAATTGTAAGTAAAAATGTTAATAGCTTGTTGCAAGCATATGCATATTTTGTGTTATTATTAAATTATTATTATTAATACAATTTCAACAAAATATAAATATTAATCAAAACATAGCTGATAAATCATAAGTGCTTTTATGCAGTTAAAATAATTTTATGATAGACATAAAATCTGCAGAAATATTAATTCAAATATATTATAGTATACCGGTACTATTATAAAAATATGTATTTCAAGTAACTTGACTTTTTTAATGCTTACAATTTTATACTTTATTTTATATAAATCAATATTAATATAAGTTTAATTTTCTGCATGAGTCTATTATGTTAATATTAATATTACATAATGTTAGAAACAACTACTAAAGTTCACAATGTATTTCTTGATTTTAAAATGTAAGAGTTGTGTATCAAATTGCTTGTGTTTATATATGTATGTATGTGTGTGTGTGTGTGTGTGTATACATACTAACATGTATATCTTGTGTGTATAAGTCTATCTTTATTGTATTCCTGTCATACTCTATAAGTGTTTACATTATTTAGTTGTGCAAAACCAGAAACTTTAGACAGGAATATAAAACCAATGTTAGATTATGAAAATTAACATGGCAACAAACGATTTTAACTATTTATATCTCCGTTATACAAATATATACAATGTATAAATTTCGGATAAAAAATAATTTACAAAAAAATACGTCACAATACGTATCTGGTGAGATCACTATTATTCACAACTGGCAATCATGATGAAAATTCTCGCAGTTCTTATAGATATCATAAGCACACAAGAGACAGAGTCTTGAGTAAACAATATATTTTAACTAACCGTCTAAATGCGCACATCGTGTTCTCATAGCTCTCGCCCGCTCCTAAAAGGGTTCACACACAGCAAAAATTAATGAGATTGCACAGAGAGAGGGAGAGAGGACACTCGCACATATCGAAAAAAAAAAAAATAATCTCGCACGCGAGAGATCTGACAGGGTAAACAAAAGAGGATGAGGGAAGGGAAAAAGGAAAGAAAAGAAGAAGAGGAAACAACGCCCACGACGACGACGTCGTCGTCAACGATGACGACTCACCGCCCCGATGACTGATATGCTGGCACAGAAACTTCACCCTCTTCTTCTTGTGCAGTAGGGTGGGATACTTGAAGAGTATCACCGAGGTGAGCATGTAGCCGCCGATCAGAGTGTACAGCAACATTTCTCTCTCTCTCTCTCGCTTCTGTCACTCCGCCTCGCGCGCAAACCTTTATCTTATCCGCCGTCGAATGACATATCGAATGCACCTGGCGCGCGCGGCCAAACAATAGATACAAATAAACGGAGGGAGCAGACGACGTGAGAGTAGAGCGAGGCCGTCGTCCCCGAATGATGCGTTCTCGAGAAGCTCCGCGCGACTGAGCCGAAGAAAGAAACTGCACCTGCGCACTTTTCCCGCGGTTTTTTCCTCCTCTTCGCGATCGACCAATCGAAAATCGCAATAGCCTTTTTTATAAATCATATCATAATATTATAATTATATAATTTAATAGTCATGTAAAATATAATAATAATATAATAAATAATAGTAATAATAACAATAATAATAATAATAATAATAATAATATATAATATAATAATTGATATGATATAATTATTAGAAGAGATACAGGCGTTTTATTTCGAGAAAGAAACGATTAGTAGATAATTTCACTATATACTCAAATACTTGAAAACTTAAAGCTCGACGTCACCATTTGTGTACTTCAATAAAAAAAAGAAATTCTCAAATGTTTTATTGTTCGATTCAAAACTAAGAAAAAAATCGTGTAATTTTAAAAATTATACTCGCATGTGTGTTATTTTTCACAACTTAACGATAAGATTATTTATGATAATATTGTGTTCCAAGAAAATGTCAAAAGAAATAATGTCATATGGAAATCAGGCATTAATGTAATCGCGCTCGCGCGCGCGCGCGCATTACTTTACTAGTGTTCTACTTGTTTCTACGTAGAGCTCGACGCGCTCTACGTAGCGGTTCCGAATGCACCTGCCACACAGGTCTTTATTCTTGAGTTCTTTATAAAAATGCGCTCCCGTCAGCGTCCCTCGCACGGTTGACGCGATGTCCGAATCGAACTCGCCTAAAACGGACACCGGTAGCTCCAGCCTCCTGCGGCAATTTCGCTTTCAAAAAAAACAAACGAAAGCAACAAACATGTGTAAGATCTTCTCTTGTTTCTCGAGCCTGTTAATCGAACGCAACCGGTATGCGCGTATATCCTTTCTAGATTTGTCCTTTGCATTCCTCGTCACGGTTTCTGCTAATGATTTTAGCATTCTCGGAACACATGTGAAACGTCAATTTACTTCGATTTAGCTCTTCGATTATTTAAAAATTTGTAATTTTGACTCGAGTAATTTATATTGAATAATTTGCAATTTGTATATTTAGCTATTATAAATCATAAACTTGTTATATGAACTTATAATCAATAGGACAAAGAATGACATCTAATTTGACAGGTTTTCGTCTTGTATAAATATATAAAATTTTATATATTTATCATTTTTAGCAAGAAAATTATTAAATATATATACATTATACACACACACACACATATATATATATATATATATATATATATATGTATACACATGTATATTATTTTTAAAAATTTTATTTCAGCTGACGATGACAGTAACTTGGTAAGTCCTGATATACAAGTACGCCGTAAACCTGTAAATCGCATTGAGGATAGTGACAGTGATATTGGTAGTCCAGCTAAACCAAGTGACTGTAATGCCAAAGGTAAAGAAAACAAGATAAAGTACCTGACAGCTTTGTATCCACAGAATGATGTACTGGTAAGTGTATTTAGATTTTCAGAGTACACAGCTTTTTCTTACATTCAGATAATTTATTTGATAATTTACCTAATTATATCACATCTAAACTTTATTTATTTTTTTTTATTAGACATAGATAAATCTTTCTGCCTTTAAAATAAAAGCTAAATTAAACTTGATTAAAACATAGTGTAATAGTAATAAAATGCTAAATCATTTATTCATTATTAATAGTGAATAAATATTATTTTTAATATGCAGCATAATTTTTTATGTCTTTACGAATATCTACATATATATAAAATAATTATGTGGTTTCTTTTTTAGCATATAGAGGAAGTACTTAGTAATACCAATTGGAATGTCGAAGAGGCAGAAGAGGAACTTAAAAAAAATAGGAAAAGGAGTTTGCAGGGATCTGCAAAATCTAGTAAAAAGAAAAGAAGAAAATTGAATGTAGATGAAGATGTAGATATTGATTCAGATGAAGGAAATTATAAAGACAAAGTATTCAATAGGTACATAATTTTGCAATATTTTTTATTCATAATTATTTGTCTTTTTTTAGTCAATTATTAACTATTTTATGCAAAATATAAATATACAAAATGCTAAGATAAATATTATTTTAGTGATGAAGACTCTGATATAGAGATATCAAATGAGCTCACAGGTGATAAAAAGGCAGTTCTAGAGTTTATGCAAACTGCTATGACTTCAGAGTTACTTCTCATGTCCCAGTGTTCTCAGAAGCGGGCTAATGCTATCGTAGAAGCAAGACCATTTGAAGATTGGAGAGACTTAGTGAATAAATTCCAAATCACAAAATACTTAGACACAGAACTATTAAATGCAGCTCAGGTGAATTTTTATGAAAATAGATATATGTATATAATTAACAGCATTTAGTTTTTAACTTCTTAGGATATAAAAAATAATTTTTATATGCTTTACATATTATTACATTTTTTAAAAGATGACAAAATATGTCTTGTTATTATCAATTTTTTAATTAATCTTATTTTTAATATATTTAAAGGTATTATTATCTACACGTCATGTAGTAGAGAATCTATTGAAAAAATGCCTTCGTTTATCCACTAATATGGAAAAAGCTGTGGCTGCTGGTGCTTCAGCTATAACACAACAGCCAAAATTATTATCATCAGATTTAATATTAGCTCCATACCAAATGGTTGGCTTGAATTGGCTCGCAGTTATGCATGCACAGAATGTAAATGGTATATTAGCTGATGAAATGGGTCTAGGGAAGACGGTACAAGTGATAGCATTTCTAACATATCTGAAAGAAGCTGGTCTTGTCAATGAAATGAACGGGCCTCATTTAATTGTTGTTCCTAGTTCGACTATGGGTAATGTCTTTTATAATGTTTCATAATAATTTAAAAATAGATTCTTCTTATCATATATACTTTGTTTATAGAAAATTGGTGGAATGAGTTAGAAAAATGGTCACCCAACTTGAAAGTCGTACAATACTACGGCTCTCAGGATGAACGAAAATATATGCGAATGGGTTGGCGAAATGGTGATCTCGATGATGTTGACATTTTGTTAACTACATACAATTTAATTTGTAGCACTCCAGAGGAGCGTAGATTATTTCGCGTTATGGGGATTAATTATGTAATTTTTGACGAAGCTCATATGCTCAAAAACATGAGCACTGTTAGATACGAAAATCTTGTTAGAATTAACGTACGTATTTATTATATATGCACATATAAATAAGAATTTTTTTTGTAACAAAATCTCAATTGCTTTTAAAGGCTAAACATCGGATCTTATTGACCGGTACACCTCTACAAAATAATTTATTGGAATTAATGTCTTTGTTGATATTTGTAATGCCTTCATTGTTTGCTGGCAAACAAGCAGACATAAAAAGCTTATTCTCCAAAAATCCTGTAAGTAATTAATTAATTAATTAATTAATTAATTAATTTAATTAAAATGTATATCACACATATAATCATATACATATATATATTTTTTACTGTCTAAATTGTAATTCATGTATTCGAAAATAAATTTTCAGAAAGGCGATAAAAAGCTCGGAGAACAGCCACTGTTCGAAAGAGAACAAATTAAGAATGCAAAAGAAATTATGCGACCATTTGTCCTTCGGCGACTTAAAACTCAAGTTTTAAGTGATTTGCCTTATAAAAAAGACGAAATCATACGATGCGCATTAGTTGAGAAACAGCAAAGTATGTACAACAAATTAGTCGCACAATTTTCAGCAGAGGCTAGTGAAATTGATGGCGTAAATGGAATTGGTATGGTGATGCAATTGAGAAAGCTTGCCAATCATCCCCTTCTCGTACGCGATTATTATGACGAGAAAAAACTTAGAGTAATTATTATTATTGTTTTGTGATTAAAAAAATATTTTCTTTTGTTTCTTTAAACCGTTTCTAATTTATATCAATGTATCCATATTAGGCTTTAGCAAATAGATTGGTGAAAGAACCAGGCTACAAACAGAAAAATCCAGAGTATGTCTTTGAGGATTTGATCTGGACATCCGATTACCAAATAAATCAATTGACACGTATCTACAAAAGTATAGCTGGCTTTGGGATGCCCCAGGAGTTTATTCCTCAAGCTGGTAAATTAAAAGAAATGGACAAGTTGCTACCACAGCTGAAAAGAGATGATCATAGAGTGCTTATTTTTAGTCAATTTACTATGGTATTAGACATACTAGAAGAATACTTGACTATTAGGGGACACACATTTTTAAGGTTTGCAATAATAATTACAAGATCTTAATTGCATGTTAATCTCAATTCGATTATTAATAAATTTATCATTCAAATTAGGCTAGATGGTAGTACACCTGTGACCGAAAGACAGACTCTTATAAATGAATACACACAAGATTCAAATATATTCGTATTTTTGTTATCTACACGAGCCGGTGGTTTGGGGATCAATTTAACAGCTGCCGATACAGTTATAATTCATGATATAGATTTTAATCCTTACAATGATAAGCAAGCAGAAGATCGTTGTCATCGTGTTGGGCAAAATAAGTATGCATTATCAAATATACGATTAGAATACATTTAAGTTGGAAAAAAAAATTTTATCATTAAAATAAATTTAATATATTAATTATTTATTATAGAATTTTATTAAATTATTTATTAATTAAATTAATTGAAAGGATTCTGACTTTTTTTACAGACCGGTTACAATAATTAGATTATTAAGTGAAGGAACAATAGAGGAAAGCATGTATGAGATAGCTCAAGAAAAATTGCACCTTGAACAACAAATTACTGGAAATGAAGGTAAGTGCAAGATATATAAGCGTAAGCACTTTAATTACAAAAATATTAACAAACTGAATTTCTACTCACAGAAAATGATAATGCAGATAAGAAATCTCTCTTAAAATTACTAAAAATGACCATAGGCCAGGATGCTCACAATAAATCTTTATCATCAACGAAAAATAGTTATAAAGCATTTGATGTAATAGCAAATAACGAAAATTGTAAATAGCTTATTACTATTTCTATTTAAATAGTCATAATTTTTATATAAAATTCCAACTGTATCTATATTGAAAATGTCAGATTATGATAAACACATACAGGGATAATATTTTATAAAATAATCATATACTTATTTAATCAGATACTCAAGTATAAAATCCATAATACTTATGTAACACAAAATTTGTGTAGATTTTCTATTTATGATGCATGCTGTAGAACATTCTGTAAATCATTCTTTTGTGATTTTGTATATCTATAATAAATCATTGTTTTTGTATTTATTTATCTACACAATGCATTTTTAATCTCGTTATAGAATGTGCTTTGCACATATTCGTTTATTTGCATTGTAGTTTACAAAATATAGAAATATGCAAAATGTGAAATAAAATAAGAAACATGTTAAATAATACAATTTTCTGTATAATAAGCAGGCAAAAGTTATTAAACTGCCAAAATCATTAAATACATAAAATCAACACTTCAACATTCAAGTACAAAAAAATTGTAGAATTTGCATATAAGTGAAATAAATATGGCACAATTTTGTGAAAGATATTTCAATTTATATATTAATCATGTTACCAATAATGTTGATAATGTTAATTCTTAATTGTAAGGAAGGCATGTGGAAAAGTTTTTTATTATACATTACAATCCTCAGGATATACTACTTTGGCTCACTAAAAGATCCGACATTCCGTCTTTGATAATTTTTAAACTTTCTAAATCGCTATTTATTGTTGCAATAAGTTGCGCCATGCCCTGTTGTTCCATACTCAGATACTAGAATAAGAGAAAAAAAAATTATGTTTCTAAACTATTCAACATATCATATATTGAAAATAAAAAAAATATTCTCTTACTGCTTTAATATCATCCTGTGCTATAGGGTCCATTGTATATCTCTCCTGATTTTGAATATCGATATGCCGCCTCATTCTAAGCTGAGAGAGCATCTCGCTAATTCTACCTTTATATTGTGTCGGAGCACTGATTTGCGAATGCATCGCTTCAAATCTCCGCGTTAAAACTTCTTCTTCCGGTTGCAAGGATAATCCAACTTTACGTGTAGTTTCTTGTCGAACTAGCACCTTTAAGTAGAATTTAAGCGTTAAATAGACAAAAACGTGATACGAGACTATACAATTAATGAACAGTAATTAACCGTCTACATACCTGCAGAACTCGATGTTGAAGTTCCAATAATGTACGTCTATGTTCCTTGAGCCGAGCCTGTGTAGCTGTATGCTGTCTTTGCAGACCCTGTATTTTTTCTGCTGCCATATCTAAGAACGCTCTATGTCTAGCAGTCTCCTCTTCTTGGCACTTCAATCTGTGTTTAACTTGCTGAAAACCAATCATAGGAACTGGAATATACAATTCTGGATTGGGATTGTCCAATTGCGCTTGCTTCCATAATCTGGCATCAATGGCGCAAGGTGGATTATCTAGATACTCTTTTAGCTGCGACGGATCGAGTTTCATCAGTGGAAATATATCTTCAACCCCATTCTGTAGCAGCTGTTGCTTTTGCATCATCTGCGACAGATACGCAACCAATTCGTTGGCGGGAATTTTTCTAGAGCCGGTGATTCCTTTTTCCGATACATATGTAGTCACTTGACTTTTGTTCTCTCCCGTGGATTTAATATTGTCAATGGTTATTGTTAGATTGGACCTGTTCCCCAACAAACCACTCAGAAATATAATTAATTGTTGTTTGCCATCCTGTACGTCTTTCTCTTTCTTATTGAAGCACAGCACCACTAAACCGTCGTTGTTGTCAGCATCGGGTATACGGCTATACCCGATGGCTTTGAATCTGCACAATGAATTTTCCTGAGTAAGATCTATAGGTGGGGCATTTATGGAATAATAAGCCTTTCCTGTACCCCATAATGCTTGAATGAGATTCCACCTAGCAATAGTATTGTCTCGCTCGTCGTTGTATAATTGACAATTGAACACAGCATTATAGAGAGCTTCCGAAACACTATTTGTAGGTGGCTGTTGTTGTTGTTGTTGTTGTTGTTGCTGCTGTTGTTGTTGTTGTTGAGGTTGCGTTAATCCAGTACCAAATCCAGTGAATCCTATTTATATACATACAAATGTATATATTAGTGAAAATATTGTAGCATCAAGAGTATCAGTTTATAACAAAATAAATCACCTGTTCCAAATCCACCAAATCCAGGAGCACCACTGGTAGTGGCTGGCTTGCTTCCAAATGCACCAAAACCTGTGGATGCACCAAAGCCGGTTGATGGAGTACTTGTAGTACCGAATCCACCAAATAAGCTAGGGGCAGATGTAGTAGTGGTTGTGCCAAATCCACCAAAACTTCCGAAATTCAATGACGATGTTGTCGTCGTTGTTCCAAATCCACCGAAGCCGGTGGTGGAGGCTGGAGTACTGCCAAAAGTTGAAGTTGTCCCAAATCCAGTGGCTGTGGAGGAAGCGGGAGTACTCCCAAAAGCCGGCGCTGAACCAAAAGCACTGGTCGATGTGGTACCGAATGTAGGTCCAGATCCAAAACCTGTGTTCGGCGTACCGCCGAATCCTGTAGCCGCTGGAGTACCAAATCCCGTTCCAGTACCAAATCCAGTAGTCTGAGTTGATGGACTACCAAATAAACTTGGTGTCGAAGTAGTAATCGTCGATGTACTAAATCCAAATGAGGGTGTTCCAAATCCTGCCACTTTAAAATTTTAACATAGATTAGTGCGTTTTCAACAAAACCAGATAAAAAAATTTGTAATTTAAATTATAAAAATACTATAAATTTTAATTTTTCCATTTGGTTATATATGTATAAAATAATATATCAAAATTATGTTGGTGTATTTAATTTATACAATCTGATAAATTTGAATAACTATACCAGTGAGCACACAGTATGATATTATCTGAGTTTTAAATATAACAATGAATATCAAACATCAAACCCATCTTCTTTTGTTTGATATGAAGTTGGATAAAACATGTCAATGTCATAAAAGGTATTTGCTTTTATATGTTACTTATTTTATGGTAACAATTTTAAATATCACATTGAAAGATATTGTATGGACATATTTAATTCTATCCCTATTATAACACAAGTATCTAATAAAATTTCAATATATAAATATTCAACTGACAATCACATTAAATACACAATTACATAAAAAATATTAAATGAAGAATGACATTTCTAAGTCATCAGAATGAAATACAGGTAAATATTTAATGGTAAAAGAATTATCTCACAAGGCAAAATTAGAAATATGATTCGAGTAAATTCTTTTACTTTAGTAAAATATAATTTAATATAATTATGTATATTCATGTAATGTGCATTTTTACAAATCATTAACAGACTAGTTTCTATGCACAACTAGCGCACGATTCGTTGGAGATAGGTTCTGTATCCAGCACTAATATCATCTTTCGTCGGATTAAATTAGCGCAAGACTTTTCCACTCAAATTTTAAACGAACTTGGCACTACGGATGTGACAATTGGGGTATATATGTGTAACAAAATACAATTCTTCCTCTCTATTTATAACATTATATTGTGACAATTTAACCCAATTACTTTTACATAGGATGCAACTGCAGAAATTATGATAACGACAGTTGGGAAGATACCAAATGAAATGTATTATCTGGAGGATACAACTTTCAACAGCAAAACTACTGTTTCCAACAATGAATTGCACACAATACTCGACAACAGTCAAAGCATGCTGACTCCAATCGAAAGTGTGAAATCTGAATATACAGAACGTTCGACGCTGCTACTTATTTTGCTGACTGCGCTCTTAATTATCCTATTCATGTGCTGCATCACCGCATGCATAATCGCGAGATCTAGGAGCAGACACTCTTTCTTCACAAAAAGGAGCGACATGGACTGCGATCCGGAATGCAGCGGAGTAAGTCAGCCCTTGCTAGGTTTAGACAGAGTAAACAAGACTTCCGATACTACTAGAACCAGCGATAATTCCACGAAAAATTGAGAAGAGGACCATATTTTCTCTCTTTCGAGGTTATCTGCGTTGATGTTTACGTAGAAAAAAAATGTTAGAAAAATAGCTGTCACGAAATCCTAACGTCATTATAATTTTATATTCAGCAGAGAGGTAAAGAAGACATTTTCGTCAAAAAAGAAATCGAAAAAAGGAGACGATTTGCGAAAAACTTTTACAACTCAAGTCTAACCATGACAGCTTACCAGGTTTAACCGGCGTTGCCGTGGAGGCCGGCGTGGTGCCGAAAGCGAACGTGGGTGCCGGCGTCGACGTAGACGTTCCGAAACCGCTGCCGAACGACATTTCGGGGCTTGCCGCGCGATTTCGATGATAAACGCAAGTCAAAACAATGTCAGCGCGTCGTCGCGTCGTGGACGACAAATCGCGAGCTGCAACATGGCGGTCGCACGTGCGACGAGAGTCGTGTTCGTAAATAATTCACCGCGCGAACGGGACAAAAATTCTCCCGTCGCGATTGGTCGGTCGGATTTCGCAACGCGGAGATTTTACGAACAACATTTGACGCGCGCGAGCGGGAGATTTTAAACGGACCTGCGCAGAAGATCTGCGCGGTGCTACAAATTTAACAGTTGTCACCCGCTATAAATTTGACAGCTGTCACTCGCTACAAATTTGACAGCTGTCACTCGCTACAAATTTGACAGCTGTCACCCGCTACAAATTTGATAGTTGTCACTCGCATATTTACAAGATAAAAAATAAAGGTATTTATATGTATTTAACTCTTTTTTACGATAATTATACTGACTTGATTTTCGGTATTTGTACCATGTATTTTAATATATGCATTCGCAATTATGTACATAATATATATGTATAATAAATTATATATGCATTTATTCTCACACTTTATTGTTGATATTCACGCGCGCTAATTAATCACGTTTAATCGAATGAATAATAAATATATATGCATCACAAAGTGTATATCGATGTAAATTCTGAGATATATAATTTTCTTTCTCTCCTTGTTAAGAGTTCCTTTATTAAAATCTCAATTCTAAAAACAACGTAGAGATATACGAATAACGTTCGCGTTACACACGATTCGCGTCGCATTTTTTTAAGTGTAATAAATCATTTCACAGGGTTCAATAATAGATAAAACCTTCGATATTTTTATAACGGATTTTTATAATTCAAAAACTTAAAAATAAATATCTCTCCATAATATCTAACGTACATATATGTGATACTTTCGTTCAACAGTTCGATAGGACTATCGTATATGTAATAATAATTACGTAATAATGCTAGACTTATTGAAAGCGCCGTTTTGCGCGGCAGTTGATCAAATGAGTAACAGTAAAAAATACTGTATACAGGATATATAAGGAGAATAGGATAGGAAAGGGGGAGGAAAAGGAGGGGAGGGCGCGTGGGATGAAATACAGAGTAACAAGAAATTAATATACATTCCATTAACAAACTTCTTCTACAATACACGGAATTTATACGGGATGTACGACTGATATTTTTTTTACGACGCTTATTAGTTTCCTTTCTCTCGATTTTTCTCTTTGTCCTCTAAGGCGCAGTCGAATCGCGTATTTATATACCGTATCGAAACATATAAAACAATTCCACACGCGCTATAAACTAACTTACACTTTAAATACGTGACAATCGTTTTTTTTTCATTCATCGTCGCGCGAAATCACATCTCGCGCGTTTCTCGCTTTTCTTTGGCGGTTTTTATTCTCTTCCTTTCTTTCTATCCGAGAGATTTATTTTCCATATATAATATATAATTATAATCATAATATAATTATAATATAATTATGTAGTTATATTATAATTAGAATTCCCAAGTATAGCAAACTGACATCGTTGAACGTCAACATGACGTACGTTTGCAACCTGAGTTATAATTATATAATATATAATTATAATATATATATATATATATATATATATATATATATAATAATATATAATTCGCATATTGACCGTGCACGTAGATTTAATACTAGTTTTAGAAGAGAGTTTTGTCGCAAGCGTAGCGCTCGTTTGCGTGTGTATTGCTTTGGCATCATAGTCGGTGCAGTTCGTACATTTCGGCGACGTGCTGCGTGCCTGAAAAACAGAAAGTCAAATACCATAAATCTCTCTCTTTTCCCCGTCTCTTTCGAACAAATTCTTTCTCTTTTCATAGACACCATTTGTCCGTAAATGATTTGGAAGTCGAGAATATTTTGTACACGTATACGCATTGTTTTCAGCCTAAGTAAGGGGATGAAACATATATAATCTCACACGATAAACGATTTTTCAAACAATTTTAACAAACACGCATCCAGCGAGAGACAGACTTATAATAAATTGAACAATAATAACGTGTAAGGTTTTACCTCATCAAGACTCCCAAATTATAAACGAACAACGTAAGATTCGTAAGCATTTAAATCTCGTTAGCATAAATATAACTTCGCGTTTAGGATATTAGAATTATTAATATCGATTGGGACCGAATTACAAATTGGGTTTTTTTGACAGATTAGTTCATTTTTAAATTTGGGAGTGCGCTTCATGAGGTTCACAATTTGATACGGTATTTGATTTACTGTATACAGTTAACACACTTTTCTAACGAGATTTAACTGCATTATAACATATAATAATTGTAAAGATTATTTTAGGCCTAACTTAAATATTTAAGTATTTTAAATATATATGTGCTCTGCAACAAATAATAAAAGCATATTATAAACATCATCCTGAGAGCCAGTCAAGTTCAATTTTTAATTATAGCCGCAGTATTTATACCGGGTTAATGATCAATTTGTCTTTATTCCAATTAATGCATGTTTATCGTAATTATATATATTGTGCGTTCTAAATTTTTTTAATTTCTTTTTTATTATCTTGTTTCGAATTGAAAAGAAAAATGACTTTATTTTCTTTTTCTGCTTTTTATTTAGAATTAATATGATGATTCACGTTCAGATACGAAAAAAATTTATCATTCAAACACGTTTCATTTTTATCTCTTGTATAATTCTTATTATATTATTAAATTTTTACAAAATATCTAGATATATTTCTAACCGAAAATTATAATAAAAAGCTTCATTCAGTATATTTTTTTTCTGAACGTATATTTTCTTTCTTTCGATAAAAAGTTAAAAGTTAAGATATAAAATACTCAAAAGCTCTGTCCCTGAAAACGTTATTCCATGGGATAACTTGGTCCATAGGGTAAGATTGTATGACGCTAAGAATATGGTTGAATACTTTCTCACAGTGCTAAAAAATGCACCTGATAAACTCTCACAAACATTCAATATATATGTGTATATATCTATCTATAAAACAGTTAATTTTTAAACGGGAAAAACGGACTATATATAAATATAACATATAATTATAGAAAAAAGAACACATTCATTGTATGTGTGTCTGTGTATCATCCAAAAGATAGGGCCAGCTTTTACATAGGCCTGATTTTCTTTCGATTGCATTTCTCGTATTTAAATATATACGCGCGAAATTACTAATTTGTTTATTAGACGAAAGAGTCACTAAGTTATCGTATCAACGACACTTATTGTGTATTTTAACATTTAAAGAAGTTACGCTAACAACTATAAAACTATAATGTACGTTCTTACAAAAGCGATGTACTATACGAGATTATTTACCGAAAAATATCTACCGAATATTATCTACCGAAAAAATTCTCTAAACAATTAGAACTAACATTTATGACACTAACATTTCCTTCGTTATCATTTCGTTATTGTATTAATACAGATTACTTTTTGTCGTTCACTTTTGTGTAACCGTATCAATAAAGACAAGACAATACAATAATTTATTGTGCGCTGAAATTGCGTAAAAAAAAGACGTGCTCTCCTGTCGGTTTTTGTTTCATATTTCATTGTGCAAATATAGTCGATGTTTCATCGTCACGTTGTAATACACTGTTCATTTTTGCAACGAGACATTGTCCCATGAGTGCATTATGAAAAAACGGAAAAGTACGTACCCATCGATACTTACGACAAATAATAAATTGGAAATACGTTCGATCACAAAATTTTTAAAAGCGAAGCGTAAACGATAATCATCGAGAGCTTGAAGTGAAAAGAACTTTAGGTCCCAAATGTATATCGCGCGGTCGCGCGAAAAGACGTCCGGTAAAGATGACAGCATGATTTTACTCGTATTTGCGGAGAGATTATAAGTACGTCTCTGAAAACTCAACATCAGAAGCGGAAGCGCGAGAGGATTTTGTACAAATGGAAATACCCCCACCGATAGCACTGTCCGACGTCCCCTCGCCGGTCGGATAATCGGTAACGATAAAGGATTGCTTCGGTTGACCTTGTCTGCAACGACTCGTCGTTCCGGTTCCCTTCAAGGCATCGCGCTCCGCCAGTTTCTGCTTGATGACTTGGATCTTTTCCTCCTTCTAAATTATACAGACAAAAATAAACATCTCATATATATATATGTATATATATTGTATACATGTAATAATTATTAATGTAAATCAATTATAATTATAAATTATAATTATAATTATTCGATTAATTATAATTAGTCGAAAAAAATCGTCGACATGTGGCGGATTCTTACCGAAGCGATGAGCTTCTGAAGCTCATCGTTTTCGTTGAGTAGTTTTTGATACTTCTCCTCCTCCTCCTTGGACACCGCGCCGTCCGGGTTGTATCTCGACTCGGACTTGTCTCTGGGATGCCTAATCACCTCGATCACCTTCGGCACAAAGATGAGCGCCATGCTGAGGAAGCAACAAAAGATAGTGGCCAACGCTGAGAAGGCGTAACTCGCGTCCTGTTGGCTAGAGATGACCATTACCACGGGTACCGTTATTAGACACAGAACTACGATATTATATATCGACATGCCCACGTATCTGGAATCGTTGATCAGTTTGATTTTGAGGCTTCTCGTCTCGTAAGATAGAAAGAGCCCGAAAGCTAGGACAATGCCCTTGTAGCCGTAGATCAAGCCTGGAAGAATATTTTGATATTTACATATCCGACACACGCGTTCTTCATCTTCGTCTTCTCGTCAAAGTAGGATATATTTGCTTACCGAGCCACAAGCTGTTGTTATCGCTCTCACAATGTTCCAATTCGGGCTTGATCATTGCATCCTCGTCTCCATAAGGAGGCAGCTCCAGCGAAAAGGTTTCGATTCTTCTACGCAACGGATCAACCATCTGCCAAGTGACAAGGAGGATGATATCCACCGACAGCAATCCGCTCAGCATAATGTACAGCTTCCACGGCTCAATCTTCTTCTGTATAGACGAAACTTTTTGTTTAGCCGTCAATGACTAAAAGGAATCGAGAATAGGTTAAAGATGCGGGACATACAGATGCGGGAACAGCAAACCATGCAGGATGGTTCCATCTTCGTGAAAAAACTAAAAATCAGTCTCATTACTAATGAGGAAAACTAAGAGGAAAAGCGGTACGATTGTACGAGTTCTATGAAAAGGGAATATTAAAAAGCGCGGAATGTTCAAATTTCTTTTTCAATATGTTGCAATATATTGCATTGCAATATAAAGATCCTTTCGTACCACTTTGCCGATTGAGAGACTCGACTACTACTATTCGCGACTAGTTTATCACTTACTTTTCCCTGATCGGCTTTGGCCTTTGTAGAGAGTCGATGGACTCTCCAAACTTTACTAAACATAGCGCCGAACGCAAGAGTGAAGCCGACCGACATCGTCCACGCTCTAGCTTGACAGATTATCAAAAACTGCCACGGTGTCACGAACCTACCGTCGATCCCTATGCACAACACGGCCAAGAAGCAGCCTATTATTCCCAGAAGCATTATCGTGTTGGCGGTAGGATGAGACGAATATATAACTCTGAAAAGTAGACATTGCATCTATCGATTGTAGACTGTGTGGTCGATCCGCAGTATACGTCGAATAACGTATTAACGAATGCGGAACACGATGAAGTATACACACATATATATATAGTAGAGTATGGTATATACCTTCGGTGTCTATTATAGACGTTAAATACGATCAATCCGATGGCTATCACGATACCGAGCGCCGCCAAGGTCGCCATACTTATAAATAAGGGCAGTGACACCGTTCTCAAAACGGTTCTTATTATCGTTCTGTCTTGCGGCACCTTCCCACCGATCCATCGCTCCAGATTTCGCCATGTCAGATTGTCACTTTGCGTATCGTAATATCCTAACTTAACGTACTTTCCATCGATCACTTGCTCGATCTGCGTCAGAGCGATCCTGTCGCCCTGCGAGCTGAACGCCACGACTCCCTGCGTAAAAGAAAAGATTGAAATTGAAAAATCGCGCTGTTGTATCGGATAAAAGGAGCAATTTTCAAGCCAATAAAATACGTTTACGTACGGAAACACCGAGAAATTGGGTCGAGTTCACCGCCGCATATATCTCATCGGCAATCTCTTTGTTACTGTATGTAAAGTTCTTCAAGCTGTTTCCCATCTTGTTTAGTCTCTCCATGGTTCTATTAAACGCTGACAGTAGTAGACGGGCGAGAAGAAGAGAAAAGAAACGATAAAGCAATTGTTGCGAGCATCGTGTGGATTTGCTTAAAATTCATATCCGAGAACTCACCTAACGCGACGGACCAGACCGCGTCGTAGGCGAGAGGCGCCTCTTGATATCCTTCAGGATATCGATTCTTGTCTATTTCGTAACCGTCGTCCTGCAACAGTTTGTTCAATCTCTTTCGGAAGTCCTCGGCCGTCATGCCGCTGATTGTCGTGTCGTTATTTTGATTCCACATGAGCGCCTCGGTGGTCAGGTGTCCCTCGGCTGCCTGTCGCATCTGCTCCTTCGTGCAGGTGATACCCTCTTTCTCCAGATTGATCTCGAACCAGTCGTCCTCGTACCAGCCGATGAAGAACCATACGTAGGTCTTGCCGTACAGTTTCTGATGATAGAGCTCGCAGAGTACGCGCCTTGCGGCCACCACATAGAACAATCCGACGATTACTCGTGCATCCTGACGTCGTAGATTCTTCACCGCGTCCGTTGGATCCGATAAGAAGCTTTGACGAGTGACTATCTCTATCCCAGCTTCTTTACACCGAGATTCTAGATCTTCGACCGTCTGCGATAAGTCAAATTCGTGTTCGTTTTTATCTTCTACGAATAGCAACTCTTCTCGTAAAACATTAATTTGCATTTGCGATCAACTTTTAGTATCAAAAAATAGATAAAGTGTGTGTTTTATATATGTATATCTAATTACTAGATTTTTTGTATTTACATCATGTAAAAAAATTATAAAAAGCAATGAAATAAAATTAAAAAATATTCCATCATAAAAGTTTGTTACAAAGCTTGAAATTTTTAATTTAAATTGAAGTTTAAATTTTATTTATTTTGAGAAATATATGGGATGTATCTTTGTTATATACAGGGTGTCCCAGAACTGGCGGAAAAGTTTTCAATGCCAGATTCCTGGTATCATTTGGAGACGATTTTTCCTTAGTGAAAATGTTGAAGGAGGCCATCATTTTTAGCATGTTCCCAATTTTTGTTATTATGTATCTTTATGACTAAGCCTTATATTAAAATTCTATTAAAGCAAACTCTACCTAAAATTAACTGAAGAATGTAGTTCTGTTAATATTTAATTTCCACAAGGCTTAGTTTCCAAGAAAGCCTTTATTTTCAACTGCTTATAATTCGAAAATTATTGGTGTCTCGACATTTTCGCTGAGGAAAAATCGTCTCTGAATGATACCAAGAATCTGCCATTAAAAACTTTTCCGCCAGTTCTGAGACACCCTGTATATAGGCATACACTATGTATTTGTTTAGATAAAGGTTTAATCGAGGGGATCTACTAATATACAGTAATTTAAGTACTCGAAATAAGTGATAAATTGGCGTTACTAATGATAAATTTCCATAACGGACGTATCAATTCTTACTGATATGAACACTTCTTCGGCTTGCTGTAATATCGCCACCCGTGACCAGCCAAACTTTTGCAGCAATTTAATTCTCGTCGGGTTGTGCACCGTGGCGGAAGGATGAGTCCTGAAGAGAGTCGGGAATCGATTTCGGTCGGACAACGCTGGCGACGAAGCACCGTAACAGAGCTAAGAGAAAAGACGTATTTTTTTCATTTCTATTTGTTATGTGGATGTCGAATAAAATTTGGCAAAATTGGAAAAATCCTCGAAAATCAAATAAAATAAAATAGACACTCACCACCACTAAATTCCACATCTTGGCTGCCTCGGCGACCGTGGTGCAGACCGTGCTGCAACCGGCTAACAGCATTAATTTATAGGGTGGAAAGTACAGTAAGTTGTACATCACGGATGCGCCGAGACCGGGTTCGCACTGGAAGCGAGATGCAATAAATTACGGCGGTAATTTCATTTGCGCCAGCCGGTGCAAAAGGAAGAGGGGAAAGGTTTCGGGAAGGGAAAGGGGGATATAATCCACCATTATAATGTCATTAAACGCATCTTCGTGAATTTACCTCGCTATCGTTGGAATGAAGGTGCAGTCTATATCCGTGTAACAAGTTCTTTTCGCGATTAACGTCCTCTAAGGCCAAACGCGCAGCTGGCATGCAAGCCTGTTGAATAAATGATAATGCAATTCAGCATGATTAACTTCCTAATTTGATGAACAAATTTACATGCAGGGTCAAAAGCGGTGCCGTTCGATAAATATACATTATTTGCGGGTTACAAGTTCCAAGGAGCACTATTTCTTCGTTTCAAATGGCACAATCAAGGAATCAATATTTACAACAATTATATATATGTATATGAAAGAAATTAGATTTTATTACGCAAACGATCCAAAAGATATCTGTAAAATTAAAAATACATCTTTTAGACATATTTTGATATCTGCTTTGAATAAATGATAGGCTCATCATAGTTTATTAAATTTCTTCGTGCGTGCTTGTAGAAATTATGTATTATATATCATCATGAAATGGTAACAGAAATAAATAATAAACCTTTCTGAATCAATTTTTCAAGAGCTGAAATAATTCATTATTTAATTTATATAATATAATTTTTTCATTGTACATGTAGATCAATTTTTACTGTGATTTTTATAATTCTACACTATTTATTATATACATAACACTATAAATAATATGAAAATGTGATTATTATTATAAAGTATTTCAATTTATATTTTATTTAAATATTTTATTTTTAATGTTTAGATATCTAGCCAAATCTTTTCAATACATTTATTTCACGTTTATTTAATAAAAGCGTTGCCAATAATTTTATAAAATTTTCTGTTTTATCTGTTTTTGCATATTTTATGTATTTATGTTACTAGCTGATAAGATAAGATACAGGTCACAGGCCAAAAGAAAGCAATAGAAGATGTTCTCATGTTACTGATTCTCAAATAATAATAATTCAGAAAAAATATATACGTATAACTTTATATATAAAACTAAAGATTTCGCTTTTTATTCTCTGCAAAATTCTCTGATATCTCAAAAAATATTTTGTACATTGGACTTTGCGCTCTAAAACGCAAAGAGAAAAATATTAACAAAATCAATCAATTTAACTGATCGCAACAAACTTATTTACGTCCAAAATCTTTCCAGAGTGGGAAGTTTGAAAGTTTGCCTTACAAAGTTTGCCCGGGAATTTATTCGTTCTATCAATGCCACAGGATATCGAACGCTTCGAGAGAAGTAGAAGATAAAAGATAAGCGAAATCAAGAAAGTCAACAAGTCACATATTCTTCCTTGTAAATATTTCATTTGTAGAATGGAAGTTTGAACAACGAAAAACATTAATGTACACGATTTGAATTTCTGAAAAAATACTATTGCGAAATGATGGCAATAAATAAAGTAGTTACCCCGAGTGTCAAATTTCGGAACATGAAACAAATTATTAATACGACCGTCAATTTTTCATGATATCACATCACATACACACATTGATTATCTAACGTTAAATATTTTGTTTCTATTTCAACAGAGTGTATTAATCAACTAAGATTAAATTACGGCTCTGTAATATTAAACTCTGTATTATTTAACTTCGACCCTACTTTCATAAAAGAGAGACAATCGTCGTAATTTAATGGACGTTCGCAGGATATTTTTCAGGGAGAGAGCATGATTAAATTTATTTTCATTTCTTATTTTGTTTTTTCGTAATTTTTTTAAATTTAATTTTTTTGTTATTTTATTTTCATTTTTTATATTAAATATGCAAATAAATTCCAGTAGTGTTTATTCAAAAGGAGGACAAATGTTAATTTTCTTTTTTTACTAATGAACACCTGCAGGATTTTTTCCAGAAGGGCTTGCTTATTTTTATTATTTGTTGCTTCCTTAATTTTTTTAAATTTAATTTTTTTATATAAAATATGAAAATAAATTCTAGTTTATTCAAAAGGAGAACAAATGCTTAATTTTTTTACTGATTCCAAGAGAGGGCAAATGCCCTCTCTCGCCCCCTCCCTGCGGACGGTCATGCATGTATTTTCGCATTTCCTTGACCTAAAAACTTTAGACGCAGTGTTGAAAAAAAAAAAAAAAAAAAAAAAAAAAAAAAATTTCCAGACAATCAAGTTCGAGCAACATTACATATCACTCATGAGATATTTGCGTTTTCGCGGGCTTTTGAGATATAAAAGAAGGATTTGAAATAGCCTGACTCACCTGGCCGCCCTGCCAGCCGCCCTCGCCGGCGATGGGGAAGATCCCGCCGATGTGCAGGACGTTCTCCTCCTCTTCTTCGGGCGGTAGAGACGCCTCGGTCCAGAGCGCTGCCATTAAAATCACAATTAAGCCCAACAACATCGCCAAGCATTGCCGAAGAGAGCCGCTCGCCATTCCGCCAGCAGCGTCTTTGCTCTCGCTAAAATCTTACGTTCCTCTCTCTCTCTCGCTCGCTCTCTCTCTCGCTCTCTCTTTCTTTCTCTCCTACGACATACCGGGTGTAGTGGGACACGTAGTGGCAAAATCGGTGGTAGGTAATGACGTCGAGAAAGCGCTCACTGCCATCGTCGAATTGACCTCGTCGTCCGATTAATCGAACCCTATCTTTCTACCTGTCTCTCTTTCTCTCTTTCTTTTGGGCTTCGCGACAAACGTCACAAACTCTTCCTCGTCCTTACTCCACTTCTCGAAGAATTAAGATTCCACGATGTCAATCTCCTATTTTCCTCGAAATCCTCGATTCAAGGATCCTCCACGTTGCCCGATCGCTTTCCGTGGTGCTCTCTCTCTCTCTCTCTCCACCTGCGAGCCTTCTTCGTCGTATCTCCAAGGTCGTAATCGACGAGGAATTAGAAACTATCACCCCTGCTCGTGTCACGTCTCGCGTGCAACTGGATCGCGTCCGGGGAAGAGATATATATTCGCGGGAGAATGAGCGTCGACCGACTTCTTGACCTCTCCGTTCGTTCCGGCCGCGGTGACGGATGACAGATGACAGCTGACAGCTGACAGCTCGCGCGAAAGTGCGGAATCTACGCTCTGCCTTCCCGCGCGACTCTCGCGTGGCCGGGATTTTCGCGTGCAAGCGGACAATTCAGCGACGAGCGCGCTTCGCGGGCGTATTCATATTGATTCCCAACCCTGGAAGACCTTGCGAGTGGGGCTGGTTAGGGTTGGATGAGTGGGGGATGACGACTCCGCGAAAACGACGCTGAAAATCAATATTTGCGCGGGCAATTCGAGAACTATAAAAATAAATATTTTTTTTTCTTTCATTTCTTTTCAAAGATTTTTTTTCCAAATTTCGTGTTCGAAAAGTAAGATATATATTTCGGATAATTAATTTAAGGTTTCTTTACCTTTACCTTTATAGAGAAAGAGAAAGAGAGAGCGAGAGAAAAAGAGAGAAAGAGAACTGCGATCGATCAATCGAGGCTTCGATGAAGGGTAAAAATGAGACGTCAAAGTATTGTGAATACTTACGTCAGATTTGCGCAAGTGGTGGAAGGTGGAACTTCATCAGCTGATTCTCCCAAAATGGCCGACGCGTCTGTGTGTGAAATCTTGTGACGTGATATATGAATAGTATTCTATGTTATTTTAGTTGTCTTCCTCGCAAAAAATGGCCACGCAACGTGCGCTTCCGCAGAGTAAAGAAGCTTTATTGAAATCTTACACGACAAGATTGAAAGACGATGTGAAGTCGATGCTAGAAAATTTCGAAGGTACCTTAACCTATATTCTAACCTGTATTTCTCGTGTTTCTAATCTGAATTTTAATTTGATTGTTATATTCTTTGATTTATTCTGTCAATTTAATGTAAAATGTCTTTCCCAACACTACAGATTTGTTTTACAAATTAAAATTATTTTGTAAAAATGTTTATACACACATTTGTCTTCTCTCTTTATTCGACTCTTGTTTTCGCTTTCAAAAATCTTTGTACTTTGATCATTTCAATTATCTTTAGTTAAAAGTTAAGAAAATTCTTACTTAAGTTCAAAGTTTGAATTTTTATATTTATTTTTGATTATTTCCAATTAGTGGATGTAACAAATAAGTGAAAAATCTTGGAATGTTGAGAATGTTTTGAGGTCAAAATGTTCAATCAATATTAAATGATAAAATACATGTAATATATATCATGAATGAAATAGAGTAATTATTCTTATTCGTCTTAATAATTTTAATCCTTTTTTTTGTTATTTTCAGAAATAATTAAACTGGCGAAAGGAGAAAATGAATCACAATTATCTCGGATGACACAATGCGAACAGGATACATATGAAATGCAAGTCAGAGCGGCCAATATAGTGCGAGCTGGCGAATCATTAATGAAACTGGTCTCCGATATAAAGCAGTATTTAATCCTGAATGATTTCCCCTCTGTAAATGATGCCATAATACAAAATGGCAAGTTATTTAGGACTAAACAAGTGGAGTGTGATCAAAAATTGGCATCTCTGAGGGATGACATGGCTGCGGATTTGTATGATTTAGAAGAGGAATATTACACTTCGATATACAAATAACATTAGTTTAAAATTTTACAATGAGACTGTGTTATAACTTGAATCATGATTTAAGATGTGATTTATCAACTTGTACAGATGGAACGATTAATGTCTAACTCTTATGAATTTAGACTTATATACATCGATGTATGCATAAATGCATGTTAAAGCATTAATGATGCCATGTGTATACTATATATTTAAATAAATAAGATTAATTTTCTATAACATGTTCCTGTATCCTCTTAATATTGCGGAGAGTTGTAAACAAAGTCCCGAATGAGGAGTAAGGAGTAATTGTCTTTTTTTATTACTTTGATATTTAGTAACACACAGACAGTACATCACACGATACTTTTACATGGTATAAGTATATTTAAAAAGGTAGTAATATATATTTATAGAGAGAGAAATGTACATATTCAAGCTTCTCTCAATAATTAATAGTCACCTCACAATTGTTTCTGCTTATTATTGTTTACTCGAAAGATGGTATCTTGTGATACTGTACAATGGTAATTTACAAAACTGTTACACAGCTCTCTCCTGTATTGGAGCAAGGAGATTACAACGGATTAATGAATAATTGACAAATCTGAAAATGAAAAGTACTTATACATACACGATTTGAATTTGGAATGTTGCGCAAATGCAATCTTTTCATTTCCTCGCTGTGTTCTCATGTATTACAACAATGAGATATACAAAGAATATCGATGACTTACTACATATATCTGACAAAAAATTGGGAATAATGTTTTATACTAAGAAAAATTAACAAAAATATCACAATATAAGATACCACGCTGTGACACAAGAACAGGTCTTTTGAACAATGCAATACATTGCAAAAAAATTTGACGAATTTATACAGCATCTAAATAAAGAGTAAATATATTTGAAATTTTAACAAAACGCGACAGTAGTTTTACTTCATACAACTTCATAATATTTAATACATATTTGTAATAAATTATTTTCTTATCGAATTTTTTCGCTTGAATTCGTTCATTGTCCAAGTCATAAAATTATAATCATATTAACTACATATATTGCTACAATCGTACATTTTTAAATAACTACACGAAAATTTAACACCTATGATTCAAAACAATGTTTTCAAATATTTGTAGTAATGCATCTGAGACGCTGCAATAGATAATAGAAAAAAGTTAACACAAAAAGAAAAACGAAGATAATACAAGAAAGCTAATCTTAAAGCAATATTATTTTCTTTGTCTTTCGAATTTTTGACTTAACTTATCTCAGATGGCTTTTTAGATTCGCATAACAATTTAGTATATACAAAATTTAATCGCTTAAAAATAACAATTAATATTAAACTGTCTTTCTCTTTTATGCTTCCTATGCTGGAGAAAGCTATTAGTTTCATGTATTATATATACTTGAAAAATAAATGCAACCTTAAAATGTGAAAAACACATATGCTGTAATGGCTTAACTTATTTGCAAGGCATACTTATAGTATGATTTGCTATATATTCGGTACAAATGACAATGTGTTTTGAAATTTACAATTCTTACAGTTTTGCCGAACTCTGAAACACTTATTGTACATATACATTATTAAATATACTAAGTAGACTTACGTTCTACTTTGGCAAAAACGTTTACAAATCTAAACTCGAAATGTTTCTCTTGAACTTCTTTTCCCTCTCATTGAATCTCTGAGACATGCAATCGTTCGTCTCTTTTTCTACAAAAACTCGCATAAAACCCTGGCCTTTTACTGGCAGCTTGAACATTCACAGCTTAACATTAAAGTAATCTCAAAAAAGTTACAAAACTCTCGATTTCTCCATTAATTCTTTTTTTTTTTATCATATATAGTATGCCAGAAAGATAATATGCTCTCTTTCTTATTTTTTTTTCTCTACACAACAAAGTATCAGTATCACTGAGCTTTTCCTTCCGAATGTTACTATAAAAGAGACAGCGCTCGTGTTTCTTGGCAGTTTCGATGATTCATTGTCTAGGAAAAGTCCATTCATTTGATATAGCATAAATACAAAGTAAATGCATATACTTGGAATGATACTGTTAGTTCTTTCTTAATCTAAATAAACTCGACTTTTTCAATATATATCTTTTTCGAGGCGTTCGTGAACGGAGATCGCATTTTTGATTTTCTTCGTAATCGAAGAAAAAAAGTTCATCTGCAGCTTAATTGCAAATATATGTACTTAAACTCATTTGTGGTCCAGCATATTCGTCCGATCACAAACGCGACGTCTAACTCGTTTTCTACAAAAAATTTTCTTTATATAATTGTGTGAGCATTCGTCATAAATCTTTTTATTATAAACTTCGATATAACATTGATGTTTGAGTTTGCGGTTTCTCGCGATTTCGTCGACGCTAGAAAAAAAGAGGAAATACTTTTCAAGTCTTATAAGTTTCTTTCATTCTATTGCTGCGGGGGACGTTGAGCTGTTAATGGAGTAAAGCTTGCAGTTTGCATTTCTTCCATTATCTCTTCAATAAAGAAGATCCCCGGTCGTTTCCGAACCCCACGCGCCTGCGTCCTGAGCCGGTCTCAAGTATTCCACATCGCTAGCATTTTCAGTGTTCCCGGTTGCTGCTGTTGGCGAAGAAACTATCATCGGTGCCGCTCTGGTGATACCCAGCTCGAAACCTTCCGACGTCAGATCCACTTTACTGGGTGTGTAACTGGCTAATCCACTGCTACCTGCAAACAATTAAATGTTTAGCCTCTGTTTCTATCCTTTCTATCAATTATTATCAAAAAGATTGTACGTTTTTTCTGAAATACTGCAGATATAATAATATATAATATAATATATAAGATAATTATAGTATATAATATAAATATATAATATAATTAGAATATAATTAATTAAAATGTATGAATCAGATAAAATATATCTGAAAAATGATATCTGATTTAGCTCGCCTTTTAATCGTTTATTACATTACGTATCGCAATAATAGCAAAACTGTCTTGCCAAGTCTGGCAAACGAGACTCGCGTTTGATTTTACCGAGAAGAGACGGCATACTTGTCGTCGTCGAGGAGGTTTTGTTGTTGCTCGTCGTAGACTGATGCTCGATGGAACCGGAAGTTTCTCCATCCACACTACTGGTCTCTCCTTCGAGGATCGATGCTTCGCTAGGATACTCGAAGGTGCGAGTCGCGGTGTCGTCGAACTGTATTCGATGCTGAAATTACAACGATTCAATTAAGATAGAGCCAAGTATAACCATATATATATATAATATATAAAACAATAATTCGCAAATATATTCTAATGATGATCACAGCGGGTGAATTAATTGAACGGCGACGTGTGGCGTGAAAAATTGCCTTGCAAATATGTAAACACATGTTGAAGGTAGCCCTGGCTTGATTTACACCTTTAGCGGAACAGTTATTCGCGGAAAAATCTTGCAAGGCGTCTGCCTCCCGGAGTAATAAGCGTTGCTGCTTGGTACAAATGAGATGCGAGGAGAACAAACAACGGCAAGCGCATGTAATGTAGCCTCCGTATAACAGTAACCGGTCACACTCGCTGCTTTTTCGATTGCGAGCGGTGAGCGGAGACGACGACCACCCGTCGTCGACGTCGTCGTCGTCGGCTTCGTCGTGTACGTGTACGCGAATTATTACCGGAGAAAGCGCTTTTTTTTCTTATACATACATTGTTGATTAAACGCCAGTCATTTTAATATGCAACGAGAGTTGCGGGAGATGATACCTTTCGCGTGGTTTGATTAAGTACTTTCATCTCTCTTACAATTTTATATATCCTACTTCTCTTGCGATAAATAATATTTATAGAAAGCTTAGAACTCTCTCTCTCTCTCTCTCTTTTTATGTGAAAAATATGCAATTTGTAATTAATAGTTTTTATGAAAAGTGTCGATCATTCTAAAGTAAAAAAAATTTTAATTGTAATATATTATATAAAATAAAAATTATTTAACATCTAAATGCACCTGGCTCGTTTCTTATTAATTTTTGAATTTACACGAATCTAATAATCATAAAATTATGTCCTATTTATAAAGATTACATATTTAATATATAATCTAAATAAATACGATTTTTAACTTAATATATAATTTAAAATAAATTTAATATATATTAAAGATTATATATTTTACAATTCTCTAGACTCGAATAAATTATCAATTCTATACACTTCAAGGTACACCGAGTTAAAATTTTTTTAAACCGAAGTGGAGAAAATATTATACCACGTGCTGTACGATCATCTTGTATCGTGCGTGTATTAGAAACAGAATAAATTTCAAACGCAATTTGACGTGGAACAAAGTTTTGTTCTACGAATCTGTGAACCTTCGCGACTACGTTGGTCTAGCAATAACAGTACCGGCGATTATTTCAACTAGGGGTTAACTGCTCGCTTCGTATAATTATATGTATATATACACCGTTCTTTCTTCCCGTCTCTTCGGCGTCGTGAGATCATTCTTAAACAAAAATCAAATCGGCAGGATTCATCTCGAACGTGTAGCAGTACATTTTCTTCAGGGGAACGTGATCCTGTACTCTCAATCGCGAGCTCGTGACTTAAGATCTGCGGATTAAATCGTCATGTGTCGTCTTCTATCGCGAGTGGTCAACAAAAGAGAGATTGCAAAACAAATAAAAAATAAATAAATAAATAAATAAATAAAAAAACGCTTTCTAAAGCAACGTCCCACTTTTCCGGAGGAACTTCTTCTCGCACTCTTGACGCAAATTACAATTAGCATTTTCTCACTGAGCGAGCGAATGCGACAATCGTGAATCGTTCCGGCTAGCTGGTTAAGTGGCATTAACAGCAAAATTTATACGCACAGGAACGACGCGGGACTTTCCACAGTCATCTTCCAAAGTTCAACGAATTTAAATACGCGACACTTTACTATTTCAATTCGATTCGCCTTGAGATTCTTCATCGATCATAAATATAGACTTATCGGAGAGCTTGAAAATAATAATTCATCATGCCGTTTATACACTTGAAAATTGATAATCAAAGTGGAAAGTTCAGGAAATATCTACGATAATCGAATTATTTTTTCAATATATATATATATATATATATATATATATATATATTGTATATCATTGTTTAATCTTAACCGATAAGATATTTTAATTAATTAATTAATTATCGCTCTCGATTTTACGATGAAATCGAATGTTGGGGATTTCAATAGATTGCAATTACGCAACTCACCGTTGCGTATTTTGCAATTACATGGTTTATTGTTGTGTATTTTTATAATTATGTGATTCATTATTTCGCATTTGGTTCTAATTCATCGGAAATATTCTTGAATCTAATTATCTCGATATTTTACATTGAAAGCAAAAGTAGATTTTCATATCAGCTATTGTGTTATAAGTTAGTAATGAGTAAGATGAAGATATCCTGAATATCTTCTTATATCTTATTATATAATAATTCATTATATAAAGATTATTAAAATAATAAGAATATTGGAAAAGATAGTCTTTGGAGCAAATATAAAATATATATAAAAATGTTAAACATATAATTATATTTTTCAAATATTATTAACTCTCTCTTCACATGAAGAAAATCTCTAATATATTAAATAAATTTTGCTAATAAAAGTAAAATATTTAAGACAAAAATATATAAATAATAACAATTCAAGTTTTCTAGTCAAAACAATAACTATTTTAAACTATATATTAATTAAAATTCCGTGTGTAATAATTTATATCTTTTCAATTGATTGCTGTTATTTGACAGACGATCTAATGCACATCTAATGAATAAGACGAGAACTATCGCTCCCGTATACTTAATATACTTTCATCTATCGACAATATCGTCATAATTTTCTATCAACATAAAATCCACCCAGGGCGGCATCATTATAGCTCGTTTTCTCTTTTAATTTACGATCGAAGGTGCATATTTATTCGTCGTGAAAGACGCCCGGGAATATTAAAACAAAGACGCATTGCGAGAGACTTTCTTCTCTCGCATTAGCGAGATTAGGGAATAATATAGTGTTATCGCTGAACGTGATGGTGATTTATTAAAAGTGGATATATATGAAAATATAAAATCCCCGACGTGCGTTAGCATAACGAGTGCAAGAAGAGCAAACACGCGTAAAATTCGCACCCCAAACTGTTCCGGAAGATGCATACAAACCAAAGGCGTGCATTCATTGGTCCTCGCGATATTGATTTTTTTTTACGAAGAACACCCTGTGGACTGTTGCCGATCGATGAAGGGGTATACTTTCGTTAGCAGCCGCACAAAGTGACCATATTTTGCCCTTTCGCTGACACGCGTAATTTTAGAGAAACATTCTTCATTTTTTTATTGCAATTTTTGATTTGCTTCTTCTATCTATTTATTAACACACAATCAACTACGAAATGTAATAGATAAAAAAGATTTTTTTATTTATGTAAGAGAATTGCTCTATTATCTATTTTCCAGAATATGCAATTACAGAAATTCATTTTTTATTGCCATTTTTGATCGCAAGACTTCGCTTCTTACGTCATTTATTAACACGGACAATGAAACAAGAAATGTTTCTGAGTTAGAAAAAAATGAATAGATAAAAAAAGAATTTTTTTTTAAATAGGAGAATGTTGCTCTATTAATGCATGATTTATTTTCTAGGATATACAACAATTACAGAAAAAATAATTATCTGCTGACCAAATAATATAATAAATAATTGCACATTAAAAAAAAAAAACAAGAAATAATAATTATAATATTTTTACATATGTATATACTGATGTTCGATGTAGATTTCTTGCGCAGATTTCGAAGATTAAAATCGCATGCGATATGGATGGAGAATTCTATAGAATCGGAAGGTGAATTCTATGCGAGGAAAATATCAGGATGACCTTTGAAACAGAAGGATACAGAATTCTTGCAACACGGAGCTATGCGATATACATATATATATCGTTCTTCCTGAAACACGAAGGCTGCTTGCAGAAGAGATAACGTAAAAGCACCAGGGAATTTATAGTCTCACGGCTTGGACAGTCTCCTGGTTAGGGTCCACGTGCTCGAGAATCCGAGTGCTGCGGTATCTCTCCGAGTTTTCCACGACGGTAGTAAATGAAATGTGCGCATAAAGGTCACGTTACGCGGCAAAAACTGGACGCAGACGCATCCGTTATGTCCTAATAAGATACCGGAGTATGCGCGAGCAAATCCCTTACGCACTTGCGTGCACGCGTTTCTGATGCAATTAAAGCCGCAGCGGCAGATTGCTCGATCAAGTCGGGTCGAGCGCTTTCGAGAAATGCCAGGTGAACCACCTGCTAGAATAGACGTAGCTGGAATGGATAAAGCGCATTCCGCGCTTTCTTTCTCACTTACAGATTTTATATCTTTTCTTATATCGACAATGTTTATCTTGAAGATACTAGGATCATTCATTGGACCGTCTCGCCGATAAATTGAGCCATTTTTTTCTTATCGAAATTATTCCATTTGTAAAATTAAATCATATATGTATGTATCGGAAATAAAAAAATATTTAAATATTGGTTGAATTATATTGCAAAGTGTGCGAGTATCGCATATTGATTATAAGATAACAGCCTTCTATATATATATAGTCATCGAGATAGGCCCTTCGACTTAATTACTTGATAGCGAACAAGGCTACTAAAATTTATAGCCAGTTTACAGACAATAATTAATCGATGTTCATAACTTGGAGGTCGTAATTACGCGCTACAATACTTAAGACGCGAAAATATATGGTAAGAGAACACTATTTTAAAATTAAATTTATTGTCCAAAGTTGCAATAAAAAAACTAAAAAAATTCTCTGTGTTATAATTTACAATTTATAATTTATATGTGCTAGGGAATTTGCAAGAATCACGAATACACAATATAGGAAAATTTGTGTTAAAAACGGTCCCCATTAAAATTTTTATGTTAAATATTCAACACATTCAGGTGTTAATTTAACATATAGCTGTTGTGTTAATTGAACTTAAATGTTACATTATTAAAAGAACTGAAAGTAAAAATAACAATATGTGCATTTATATATGTTTAATTTTACAAAATAAATACGTTCTGTTTTATTAGTGACAAGATTTATCTGTTAAAATCTGCAGAAAAAATGTTAATTTTTATTTTATAATATAAATAGAGATGATAAAATCTAAAATTAAC